AGATTAATGCCGATGAAAACATTATTAACCTTCTTGGCGAAGGTTATTATATATTGGATGTTTCGAAAAAATATAGGCTCCAGACTTTTAGCTTAAGCAAATATTCAATATGCTTTTTAAAGGGTCCCATTCTAGATGTAGTAAAAGGTTATGCTAAACTAACAATATTAACATGCTAAAAACATAAACAGTTACTGATCAACTATCCCTCCTACCTTCCCAATTCCATCACAGCTGTCACAAAATCCATTGTATACTGAAGCCTGGCTAGAACATACAAACATGATGAGTGGGGAGGATGTCTGTGAAGATGCACCGGTGACATTACAACTAGAAACCTTTAAATATATCCAGGAAAATGAATTACTGCGTGCTTTGCTTCAAGGCTCAGAGGAACATTGTGCAACTGATGTGTTCATTATTCAACATAAAGAGGAGCCTGCCGTGTCTACTATCTTGCACAAATTGAAGGATGATGCTACAGCTGATGACATCACCACAGTTTTGCAGCAAGTGGTTCCTTCTCATTCAAAATACACAAAAATTGTGTCAAACTCAAATGTGCAACACAGCATGCTTAACACAGTAGTCAGACAGCTGATAACAGTGATTGGTGTAGAAAAACTGGAGATCAATGCTGTCATACTTGAATCTTTGCCAGAAGAGGTGTCACAGCTTGATGACTTCATTTTGAATCTATCCACTGGAAAACAAAGTCTCAAGCACATTGATAATATGGTGAATGAAGTTGTGTATGTACTTATAATGGAAAGGAAAATTGCTATTGATTTTTGTTTTGATATGTTGGTATTCTATTTCCTTCTGTCAGATGAACATGTAAGCCTCATACCTTTACAGTCCAGAAATGAATGTCTGGAACATCTGCAACGATATTTACCTCACATTTTAGAGACTAGGTATTCTCATTCTCAACTTTCAGCTCATTTAGGTGATGTTACACTAAAATATATTCTTTCACTCTTGGAGAAAAATGAAAATCTCCCTGATCCAATCTTGTTAGATTTCCTAGAGAAAATATCAAATAGCAATAGGCAAGGGAAATATTTTGTAGATCACCTTCCAAATTTTGGCAGAGGTTTCAGAGAGTTGGTATGCATAAGAAACAGATTAAAAAAACTGAAACACTTAGTACATGTACCAGAGAGAGCTAGAAACCATTTAACTGAACTGCACATTAATAGTAATGGAATAAGCTATTTCCCTCAAATCATCTTTCAATGCTGCACATTAAAGATTATCTGCTTAAATCATATTGACACATTACCAGACAACATAGGTGACTTGGTTTCTATGAGACAACTATCATTGTCTCATAACTATGTGAAGACACTACCACAAAGCATAGGGGGCTGTTCAAGGTTAATACTATTGCAGATAGACAACAACCGACTGGAAAGAATTCCAGAATCTCTTGGGAACTTGAGTCACCTGGAGAAACTTGATGCATCTTCAAACAAGTTGGAAGTCTTGCCATCCACCTTCTGTAGATGTAATAAACTTACCTACATAAACATAGCAAACAATATGATACAGAACATCCCTGCAAATATTGGGAATCTGGTAATGTTGGAGCACTTTGATGTTTCATCAAACAAGTTGGAAGTCTTGCCATCCACCTTCTGTAGATGTAAGAAACTTACCTACATAGATGTAGCAAATAACAAGATGCAGTTTCTTCCTCAAAACATTGGTAACCTTGTAAATGTGGAGCATTTTGACTTGAAAGAAAACGAGGTGTCATGTCTTCCTCTAACTTTTGATAGGATGAGAACTTTATACAAGCCTGGCTCAAGACTTCTTCTAGAAGGAAATCAATTAACCCATCCACCTAGGGAAGTGTGTTTAGATCTGGGAATGGATGGAATTCATACATATCTCAAAGGGTTAAGACGGTCTGAAACATACAAGATGAGCTACCAGAAGCTAGTCTTGGTGGGGGAAACCATGGCAGGAAAAACAAGCTTAGCACAAACGTTGATGAATAGCAGTTCACAACTCACGACAGATCAGCAGCGTACTGTTATTTTGGAGCAGCACACATGGCCAGCAGAAGGAGGGCTGGAAATACAGATCAATGACTTTGGTGGTCATGAGATGTACCACCTCACAAGTCCTTGCTTCTTTACTCCTAATGTTCCCTACCTGCTTATCTTTGACATCAAGAAGTACACACGTCAAACCCATCATAAAGACATAGGGTGTTGGATAGACATTGTCCGAATGAAGGTCCCAAGAGCCACTATACGTATGGTGGGAACTCACCAAGATGAATGTTCCTCTGAAGAAATTGGTGAGAAGCTGCACTATATTGCACAGACAGTACAGAATGATGAGGCAAAGTGGAAAGCAGACATCACATCCCAGCTTGACATCATTGAGAGCAATGAATGTTTCGGGAATCTTGCAAGACAACGCCGACAAGAATGCCTTCAAACCCAGCTGAACAATCTTCCCAATCTGCATGAGCCTGACAGACCTGTAGAAATAAGAATAGTTAGCTCATCTGATTTCAGTGGCATAGATAGTTTAAGTTTAGACATTCGTGAGCTATGCAAGCAAGTTGGGTCAAACAGGCAAGACACTATTCCAAAAAGTTGGTTTGACCTTCACGAGATGCTTCAGAGTGTAGAGTATGACAACCAACATTTCGTGCACTTGAATGACGCTAGTCTCACAAAACTATATCTTGAATTTGAACCAGACGATGAGGCCTACATGTATGACGAAGAGTCTGAAATTGAATCAGACAATGAGTCCTACATGTATAATGAAGAATCGGACATTGAATCAGATCATAGTCGATATGATACTGCTAGTGATGTGGAAGTGAGTGTTGCACTACGAACTGTTGATACACAAAGCTGTGTGGAAGTGTCTTCATGCCTTGCACATGATCAGGAAACAAATGCTGCTGGAATACCTGTAGGTGCATCTAGCGAGAAAGAAGTGAACAAAAGTGATGCAAGTGCCAACCAGCCTCTAGTATTCCCCTTTGAAACAGTGAAAGCCAGAGAAGAATCAATGTGTCCTCCTCCTGTCACAAATAAAAGGCTGGTTGCTGCCCTTCACTATCTTAATGCTGTTGGATTGATCACATGGTATCCTGACGATGAAAAGCTTAAGAATCTCATTTTTCATCGTCCCGCCAAACTGGTGGAAATCTTCAAAGCAATCGTCAACCACGACATCAAAAACCAACTGGACTTTAATGATGTCGTGTTTTCCACAGTAGGGCAGTTCTCCAAACAGGGATTTGCCAGAGCTGTGCAGGAGTTTGAAAGCACAGCGAATCTTTCTGTAGCAATAGTCAGGTGCCTGTGGCACAAGCTTGGATTCAGCAAGGAGGACATAGAAAGCCTCATCAAGCTCATGATCAAGTTTGACATTTGTTATGAGGTCCTAGAATCCAAAGTAGCACCTGGTTTGCAATCTTCCCATTCGCTCCACATCCCATGGTATCTGTCTGCTGACCCTCCCCAAGACCTGTCCAGAATGTGGCCCCAACCTCCTCCCGATGACTACCAACAGCTGACAATGCAATACCACTTCCCAACATTCTGCCCAAGAGGCCTGTTTGAGAGAGCATCTGTCAGATTACACCGTCACATAGCACATCGTGTCAACTGGAAGAATGGTGTGTGGGCAGAGGTAGACAACAGACAAATCCTGTTATCAACATCAACAACAGATGACGAAAGTGGAAGAGAAGTGGTTTTCAACCTATCTGTACGTGCACCAGTCACCGATCAGGAACCTGGACACGCTGGTGACATCTCACAACTCTGGAAAACATTCCTCTCCATTCATCGAGACATGCAGAGTGTCATCCAGGACTGGCCAGGACAGAGGTGTGACCTGTTCCTCCAGTGTGCACACTGTGCAAAGATGTGGAAAGACAAACCAGGTCTCTTCCCAGGTGAGGTTCTGGAGCAACAATGTCAACAGGATGTTAGGTAAGTACATGCCCATGCAGTACCACATGTATATCAATGGTATTTCTTAAAGTGAATTCAAGAATCTTTAATTATTGTGCAAATTGTCTCAAAACACAATATGTTTCTGCACTTTTTCCAGGACTGTTCCATGCCCTCAGTATCCAGTGATATTTCCTGTCCCAAAAGTGAGCACAGATCTTGTCTACCCACCAAAGTCATGTATACGTAAGTAAAGTTTACTCACAGTTTTGACAACTTGAATTACAAATGGGGAAAAAGTCTAGGTTTATATCATAATTTCAATTATAATTACAATTGTCAAATAAAAATAACTACAAGTACAATGGACTTTGTAGGAAAAGTTGTACTGCACTAGTGACACATATTCCAGTTCTGCAATCGCAACTTACAAGTTACATGACATTATTGTACACTTACCAGATAAGTTAACAATACACATATAGTAGCTATGGAATTGAAGCCATCCCTAGGTCCAAATGTTACATGTGCTTGCAGAAAAAGAACAAGCAGGCTTGGCAAGTAAGACATCTGATGATCATGCTTCCAGCCCTGTGTCAGAAATGGACAGGTAAGTCATAAACTTCAATGCATCACCCTTTGTTACCTGTGGGATTTGTCTCAGATCAGTGTTAAAATACATGTTCATGGCTGCACACGTCTACCCTTTAAATTTACCTCTGCTTCAAATACGTAACAAATGTTTTTACAAAATGCATATTTTTAGCATTTTCAAGTTAAACATTACAGTTAGTGAAAAAAATTTGTCCCATGACAAATGTGTCTGTCATTTATGTGAAGTAGATGTAAGTCAAAATAGAAACTGACTGCGTTACATGTATGTGAGAAACCACATGCACAAAGTACATGTACTACTAGATTTAAAAGGCCAAGGCTTGATTTGCATTTTCCAGCAGAATCTAAACTTATATGACAGCATGTGTACATAAAATATGCAAAATTAATTCTACATGTATATTATTTATACTGAGAATCTAATAAGTCGTATTTGACATTTATCTGTAGGTTACACCTAGGAGTCGATATCCTTCAAGAAGTGACTGCCCTGGTCCAGAAGAAGTACCCAGGGATCAGCTTTGTTCCAAGCAGAGACAGGCAAGACGAGGCACAGCGTACAACGACAGTGAGAGAATTCCACGACCAGCTGTCCAGCCGAGTTCAACACTTCTCCAGTGTCACAGACTACAGCATTGACTATGAGGACTTCCCTACAATCACAGAGAGAATGAAGTCTGTGTGTTTGTTAGTATGCCCAGAAGGGACAGCAACTGGTTTTCTGGTAGGACCAAAGCATGTCATGACCAATTACCACTTCCTTCAACTGTATGTTGAACCTGCTCTGAGGACAAACAATAATCCAGATAGATATACCGCAACTTTTCACTTTTCCTCCATGCAAACATTCCGTACACGGTTTTGCCCAACGTACTATCTTTCCTACGATGCAGAACTAGACTATGCCATACTTGAACTAGAACATGTTCCACCCCATGCAGCACCCCTAGGCCAGTTTGTGTCAGAGTTACATGTATGTCACCAGGATGGAGTAGTGATTGTTGTTGGTCATCCAGGTGGTCAGAGAAAACGAGTTGACTTCTGTCCTATTGCTGTAGTTGACCAAAACTTTGAGGTCCACATACGCAATGTCAGAGGAATTCCAGACAACCCTACAGACTTCCCCGGACAGGTAGCTGGCAGGGCTAACTATCACACTTCCAGCATGTTCCATGGGTCCTCTGGTTCCCCTGGCTTCGACAAGAGTGGTAATCTTGTTGTTATGCATACCAGGGGTTTCTTCCCTTATTCCAACTCTCCGAGCATTGTAGAACAGGGGGTGCTAATGACAAGCATTAGAGAGCATGTAGGGAGGACCCTTGGAAATGACACAAGGTTTAGTGAAATGTTCCCACCTCAGATGATGGACATTGGGTAAAACAGTATGGCAGCACAGATGGTGCATGCATGTACAGTACTGTAAGGCCACACCGATTTAATTTGTTGTTTCTCAGATTATTTCAGAAAAAATCAGGAGCGACAGGGCAAAGGGCAAAAAAAAAAACAGGCCAAGGCACCCCATGATAGCCAGAAATGTTACAATATGAGCCATGAAGTAAACATACCAGGCTGGTGTATAATTAAAACAATAAATTTTGAACTTTTAACGAAACAAAATTGCATTGTTACATTGAAAAACTTAAGAACTAAGAAGAAAAGGACTTTTTCAACTGTTGGGGCCAAAATATGTCACTGAGCATTTTGCAGTTAATTTAGAACAAAAAAAAACTTTTTTTTTTTTGCAAATCAGAAAAAAATGGACAGGGTGACCCGAGAAGCAACAAATTAATTTGGCGTGGCCTAATCTTGAAATGTTCATGCTACCTATCCACCTCAAAATCACAACAAGACAGTTTTGTTTCAAATGCAAAGTAACTTAAAACACTGTAAAAACCTCTATCCAACATCTACCACAAAGTTATCTGTGTCAAAATAAAAGATTCTACAGTACATAGACCCAAATAACATTCCTTTATGCATGTTACAAGTTGTTTTTCTAAATTCCTACATGTTGTAGGAAGTTGTTGCAAGTCATTGTAATTTGTCATGATTGATTTTCTGATTACTTGGCTTCACTTATTAACTACTGGTATATGTTAGATGAAATCAGTACAATGCATCATTACATGCACATTGTACCTGTACTGACAACTACTGTTCGCATTATGTTAATGCATCTTTTTTAATATTCATGTCTGGTATATGCAAATGTACTTCGTTTCATAGTCATACAGCCAGTTCGAATTCTCTCATGTTAGTGGTCTGGTTGCAATTATAAGACAAAGTTATTTGAATGGGGAACTTTGTTACTTGTAAAGAAACCTGCTTCTACATGTAACAATTTCTTTGTTCACTTTTACGAATGAATCGCAATGATTTTAACTGTAACACTGGTGAAATGTATTATCAATAACATATTTTCCAAATGTAAGTATATACCTCATTTTAGTGTAATGATAGAATTGTCTCTAGGTTATAACTTTCAACTAATTTATGATGGACCATCCTTTTGACATGGTCTGTAACAACACTAAGCGTTGCTTGTATAGTGTTGCCTTTCTATTGAAAGAACTGGTCAATTGTATGTACAATGTATAACTAAGGCATTAAGTCAGATTGTAATGGAAGTTCTACCTCAGTCAAAATACAAAGGAATATTTTTGTATGTGGTTGGTTTGGTCTTTGTGTCATTGCAAAAGCCATATTGCTATTAACTTTCCTATTAGGACTTTAAACATTGAATGAACACAAATTATTAATTTTTATTGATCTGGTAACAAATATTGTGGCAGCATATTTCTCCAACAGCAAGCAGAATTTGATTTAGTGTCTAGATGGAAATGGAAGATTTTATGTTGAGATTATATTTAGGCCATGTTGATTTGATTATATGGATGACATCCGCGCGCGCATAAATTTTCGGCCGTTTTCAAAAAAAAAAAGTTTTCAACCATACTGTAAATCGTACAAAACAGTTGCAAAATGAGCAAAAATATACCATAAGTTACAAAAAAAATTAACAAAAACTATACCAATGTCGTAGAATGCCAAAATCAAACGAAAAAAGACGAAATTGTAAAGAAATGAACTTGAAGACTAGATTATTCCCCAAACCATATTCTCTGCCATTTGCTCAACCCTCATGACCACGTAGATTTCATAATGAAAAGAACTTTTTTTTTGCAAAACTTTTTTTTTATTCGCACGCACGCATCAGTTTTGGGGCTCTCGGAGGATGTCATCCATATAATCAAATCAACATGGCCTTACTTGTGCTGTAAACAGACTGGAAAGTATAAATCACCATAGACATTACATGTACCTTTCATAAAAAAGGCACTGACCATGCAAGTCTTGAATTCATAGAGATTAAGAGCAAAAGCTCAACAATACTGACTACTAAAACAAATCACACCAATTTAATTTGTTGGTTCTAGGATTCGCCTCTTCATTTATTCTGATTTGCAAAAAACAAAAAAAAAAAGATTCTGAATCAACTAAAATGCTCATATTTTGCCTCCAACGGTTAAGGAAATCCCTTTCTTCCTTTCTTAGTTTTTTTTTTCTCATCTATCAATGCAGTAGTTTGATTAAAAGTCCAAAACTCATTGTTTAAATTTTAACCCAACCTTTTGTGTTTTCTTCATGGCTCCTATCATAGCATTTGGGGCTATAATAGGATGCCTAGATCTGTTTTTTTTTTAGTTTTTTTCGCCCTGTTGCTTCATAATTTTTGTAACAAATCTGAGAACCAACAAATTAAATTGGTCTGGCCTAAGGCACCAAATGAAAAACAAGGGATCTGGAGAAAATTCTGAGGCAAAATCACTGAAATAAGAACACAAGAATCATTGAAAACAGCCAGTTTTAATACTGAACATGTGGAAACTGAACAATATGAGCTATATGCTAAAACTTTGAAAAATATATTCTGATAAATGAGTGTGATGTTTAATCTTACATGTATACCATTCCTAACCTATCATCAAAAATACAATTATTGCATACGGACATATTGCAATATGTTATGCACCAAGCCACGGATGGCACGTTAGGCAACTGGTAACATTAACAACAAAAACTAAAACAAAGTTAGATTTTGAACAAAACTGTGACAGGGACTCTAAAAGGTAACAACAGCTACAAGTTAGTAGGATCCAAGATGTATATAATGATACATAATGTAACACATGTACAGTCATTGGACAAAACTTAACCAAGATAAAACCTCTTTGAAAAACTTCTTTGAAAAAAGTTAGTAAACTAACAAAAAATAGGTACCGGTAGTTAAACTTTGCTAGCTAAATACAACAGAATATACATGGCTGTGAAGTGTTACAAATGTACTTTGAGTTTTTGTAACATTACTGCTTTTTCAGAAAGCCAATCCCTACAAATAGCCCTCCCCTATTGTTGCCCTTGATCAACAATTACCAGACTAGAGTATCATAATCATTATCATTGAGTCTGTATTGCAAGTCAATGAAATCTAGTTGTAGACATATAAAGTCTTTGCTTCTTCCTTTCCACATTGTTATCTTTCCTTTTTATTGCTTTTGCAACATTAACAAGCAGTGAAAAAACTTTACTTCATTTGATGTTGAAAGTAACAAGTTAGCACCATGATTGTTTTTCTAGATATGAACAATCTAACATTTCATCTACAGCCTTCAGATGTGCAAGTTGTTCTGTCAAAGGACAGCTTCAATTCATCTAACACCTAGTTTTTAACCAATGTTTCGCACTTTTGTGGCAACAATTTTCTTATTAGACTGAGGTCTAAGTCATAAACTTCTGAGTGGTGAAGTACATGTATGAATACATAATAATTGTATCTGTAGTCACAGTGTTTAGTGTCCCTAGGTCTGGATTCTACATTTCTTGTTTGAATAGTATGTGTACATGGAGTTGTTTTCAGTTTTCTGGGGAAGGACTCCTGGAGGCCACCTACCTCTCCAAGCCGGTACTGCACAATGACTACTAGTCAACCAAAGTGCATAATAATTGTACCTGTAGTCTCAGTGTTTAGTGTCCCTAGGTCTCGATTCTAGACTTCACCTTTGAAGAGTACAACATGTACATGGACTTGTCTTCAGTTTTCCAGGGATGGAGGCCACCTACCTCTCCAAGCTGGTACTGCACAATGACCCCCTAGTCATCCAGAGTGAGGTCAATAATCTCTGGAACAACAAATGAAACAAACTGTAACTTAGAGTAAGATAGACAACCTAAGTTAATATTGGGGGTATGTTTATTACAACTCTGTCTAATATGTACTTAATTACTTGAAGGCATCCAATGCGATTTAAAGCAGCAAAACTGGAAATATTTTGAATAAGGCAAACTTTATGATATTGCCACATACTGTTTCACATTAGCACATTTCAATCAGTATTTCATACTTTGGGTATTTAAAACTGCAGAAACAAGCCCCAAAATGAGTATTGTATTTATTGGGAGGTACCCTAAAAGGAATTAGCAAAAGATAGGAAGAAGTGGAGGGGACTGTTGAGGAAGAGACGAGTTCTGTGCGCAGGCTGGCCACTCGAACGACTGACTCGAGGAGACCTCAACAAGTACAAGTACAAGTACAAGTACCCTAAAAATCAGCCTAGGGCCCTTCCAGTAACTCTTTTTTGTCAGAATTTTGGATATTTTTGCTCCATGAGGGTCAATATACACAGGGATAGTGTGGTTTCAACTCACCATGTAGGTACATGTAAATGACTAGAATATTGACTTTGAAAAATCTAGTTCCTAAAAACTGCACTGGATGCCTTTAATGGGGCGCTGGCTTAAGTGATTCAGATATAATTTACGACATTCAAAGGTAATCAATGTGGGGACAAATCTTACCATCAGGCTGAAATTTCCTCTTGTTCCTTCTTTGATTTTCTCTCAGAGGAGACCTGGGCTCCTGTTTCACTGCTGGCCAACCCTGCTGTCTTGCAACAGGCACTGAAGCTTGGCTCCCTCGGGCACCCTTCCCTTTGCCTCCTTTCCCTGGGGTCTTGGATGATGCACCTTTGGCTTTGGCACTTGACAAGCCTTGGCTTGTAACAGACTTGCTGGCAGAATACGTTGATGCCTTTGCTGAGACAGAGCCTCTATGGGTAGCATTTGCAGAAAGCTGCTTCCCTGCTTTGGTTCTTGTTGACAAACTTTGACGACTGGTTGCAGGTGTTGCCGCTCTGTGCAAGAACGGACTTACAGCTGCACCTGTTTGCTGGCTGTTTCTGTTCTGTTGCACCTGTGCCGTGGTGTCCACAACAGGGAATCTCAGCACCTGTCCGCCCTGTCCTACCATGGTGACAAAGTAGCCTTCTTCTGTTTTCACCTTCTTTAGAACGAGTGGGGCAGTGGCTTGGCTGTTACCAGGGCCAGTCATGCCCTGTAGGGTTCTCTTCCTGAACTGGCTAACTGCTGTAGGGTTGAGTAACGGTGTAGAAGCTCCTGCACATCCAACATGCTGGTTTTCCTCTCTCTTGATGCGAGGCTGGGTGACGTATGTGTTCGCAGAAGCCTGATGTGACTGGATATAGCCTGGCACAGGTGTACCAAAACGACTGGCAGATGGTCCTGATCTCATACCAGCTATAGCACTAGCAGGTGCAGTCATTGTACCAGCAGGTAGAGGCCTGATGCCACCATAATGGAAGTTTTGGGTTGGAGGTGTAGCGGCACCACAGCTGTGCATCAACTCTTGTTTTATCCTCAAGGTCAATGGATAGGTGGGTGTTACCACAGAGACTGGGTTGATGCCGGTAGGTGTAGTTCCAGTGGACATGTTGGAGGAACCTAGGGAGGAAAATTCAGTCAACTCATTATGATGGAGGATGTTTTTTTTAATGTCATACATATATATTATAGAAAACATGGTCATCTTTCATCTATGGAAGCTGCAAGATTTATATGTAATCTATATTTCTCCTGTCAGGAAAATAGAAGTAAAAACACATTTTGTCCCTATGACCAAATGCTGCAAAACACATGTACATGTAAGTTGTTGTGCACCACCCACCAACTTTCTAACAAGAGAGTGCAACGGTACATGGATCTATCAGGGCTATATGATTGCTATGCAATTTGTATTCTCTGCATTTTATCTGACCATACATGTAATCTCCTCCCTCCTGATCTCAATGAAAAGCAGCCAGGAGGAGATTTCAGTTTTTCATGGATAAAAAAAGGCTCAAGCAAAGAAAACAACAAACAAGCACATATCTAAAGATCCTCTAACAATAAACTTTTCCCTACAAATTTGCGCACCTGGTCTGTTCATAAAGGAGTAGCTTGTATGAGCTGCTAACTGGTTGACAGCAGGAGTCTGTGGTGCTGGTTCAGGCAGAGGTGGGAGGTCCTTCAGCTCTGCATCTTCAAATAGGGACTTTACCTTGCCATGGATGGATAGCATGTCTGAAACAAACAAACATGAAGAGATTGTTCCAAATTAATATACAAAATGTTGAACTGCTAATTATGGATTCTTTATTGATAACACAGAACTTGAGGCTTCAAACTGACAAGGGTAGTATACAAAATTAATGTAGGTAGAAGTCCTTTATTCTGGAAAATTATCATCAGACTAGACGAGTCATTTGCAAAATTCAAATGCAAGCAGGGTTTGACAAGTTTTCTGAAATCCACTTGCCCTATCGGGCATGGTTATTTCCACTTGACCGAACCAACTTTTCACTTGCCCGAAGTAATACAGTAAAAAACTATGCATTTTACTTGCAGAAAAGAAATTATTTTATTTTTCAATAAAAAAAAGCACTTTACAGTTTATAATGTTGCTTGCTTTATTTACCAAAATAAGAGACATTTCTGACAACAGGACATATTTTTGACTGGTGTCAATATCACATGTACTTACTTGTACTTGAGTATTACATGTAATATCTCTATTTGAAAATGATGTGTAATTTTGCTCCAAACACTGCATCCAAATAATTTACTTGCCCATACAGGAGGATATTTACTTGCCCGAACACTGCTTTTACTTGCCCTGAGCAAGTGTGCAAGTGGACTTGTCTAACCCTGGCACGTTCCAACATTCCAGGTCTTCTAATCAGTTCTTACAAACAGGAGGGTTTTGTGATAGTGGCAATTGGGTAAGACAGCTGAGGAAGACTGAGTGTTTTGGTCAGAAATTGGGCATATTTGGTGTTAGGGCTCAAGTTCATTTTTGGGAATAGGTGCACTTGTGCACCCAACCTAAAAAGTTGTAGGAACAATTTTTTTTGGTGCACCATATGAGATAAAATAAGTAGAATGTCTAATTATGTTTAATTTCTAAAGAAATGGCGATGATCATGGTGTTATCATTTTTCTGACACTTAGATGTTAAGAATATGCTGTATACTACTTACAATGTAGTCTACATGTCTATATTTAACATCCTTACATAATGTAAACCTATGAAAATATTTGGGTGCACAGCTCCAAATTTGGGTGCACTAAGGTGCACATGCACCCAGTATTTCAAGCCCTTGGTGTACATGTTAATCCATTGTCATCATCATCATCATCAACCCACCATCCATGAGGTGTTTCTTGAGTATGGTACAGTGAACAGGAGCTTCCCAGAACGGCTCATACAGCACTGCAAGGTCCTCACACAGCTGGTCACACAGGACCTGCATCCTCGCCACTATGTCAACCTGGAAATACACATAAAATCATGTTATCTGTCTGTCAAATCACCCTTAATTCTTACAATATAAAGTAATAAAAAGTCAAATTTGAAAGAAGCTGTGAATTCTGAAGAATCTGAAGACAAAAAATCTTTTGCTAAAAGTACACTGAAGGATTCAACATACACAGAAAAAGGATTGAGGTTTCATTTTTGGTAACCAAAAAACATTTACAATGTCATGTATCTTGAATGAAATAATATTAAATTTGATATAACATGTATAACAGTTATGTATAACAGTATAATGTATAACAGTTTCAAGACAGGAATAATACTACATACTATATACTGTACAATTCAAAGATTAAAATGTCTGACAATGTGAATGTATTGGTGACATTGCCCTTCATATTTTTCATTAGCCTTTACCACACTGAAGCCATTTTGCTGCCAATATTCGTTTACTGGACTATGTAGTGGGAAGGTTACCTTAAACATAATGTCATATCAAAAGTAATGAGGACCCATTGTTCCCTGTGATGGCATCGCTGATGTCCACGTTCAAGGTTTTTTTTACTGTTTTAACATCATTTTTCCTCGAACCAGGGGTTAGACGTGCTTGCACAAAGTACAAGTCTTTTTGTTGAAGCAAGATTTTTACGGCTGGATGCCCTTCCTAACGCCAACCCCAACGCTAGTAGCAGGGCCCAGGAACCCTCTAACTTTCCCAAGGGCACAACGTCTGGGTGCATGTCCGGACATGTCTGGGTCCAACCCTGGGGATTGAACCTGGGTCTCCTTGCTTGACAGTCAGATGCTCTATCCACTACATCACACAGACACCACCTGGTTCAAAGAGATAATATGGATAACAAACCTCTAAGTCAGCCAGCTGTTTGAGAAGGATCTGTGAGGCCTGGTCAAACATGATGTCCTTCTCGTACGCCACATAGACGTCCATGTGGTTCCTCATCCGGTTGAAACTGCCCGGCCCGGCCTCGTTGGTGCACGTCTCATAAACCGGCTCCATCCGGTTCTGTACAGCCGGGGTCATGACCCTGCTGATCTCTCTCTGCTGACCTGTGATGAACTCCTTCAGCTCAGCCACCGCATTGTCCAACTGAAAAGAGAAACAATATTGTATATATTCGAAGCAATTTAGTAACTCACAAGTTTTATTGTTGATTTTAGTCATAATTAGTTAAATGACCTCTGGCCTCAACCTCAATTATTTTAATGTGTAATTGCAATGATTGTATGTATTCAGTGCTTGTATTTTATGTGTTGTACTGTTAATGAGCCCTGGAAGATTACCCCTCATGGGGCTAAAGGGCATCTCAATAAATCAAATCAAATCAAACTGTTTAGGCCACACAAATTTAATTTGTTGGTTCTCAGATTTGGCTCTTCATTTTTTCCTATTTGCAAAAAATGAAGAACCAAATCCGAATCAACTCAAATATGCTCATACTTTGCCCCCAACAGTTGAGGAAAGTCCTTCTTTTCTTCCTAGTTGTTACAGTCTTTACATCTATCAATGCAGTGGTTTGATTAAAAGTTTAAAATTCATTGTTTAAATATTGGCAGCCTTTTGTGTTGACTTCATGGCTCCTATTGTAGCATCTGGGGCTATACTAGGATGCCTAGACCTGGTTTTTTAATTATTTTTTTGCCCTGTTGCTTCATATTTTTGCTGAAAAAAATCAGAGAACCAACAAATTAAGATGGTGTGGCCTTAAGTACTGCCAAGTAGCGTACTGTAAATCACTTTACTTTCACATTAGCAAAAGTTTGTGGTCTGAGAAAAATGGGCGTGTTCGTGGAACTACAATATACATTCATAGTGGCAGCAGACACAGAAAAAGAAAGTGCTTGCGGTAATAAGTTTGCAGTACAAATGTGACAGTAAAAACTGTGAATATATAAGTGCACCGTGAAAAAATCGTGATTCAAAGTATAGAGTTTTGCCATGTTCGACGTTTGCAGTTGAAGTAATTCTGCAGTGCAGAAGAAATGCAAAGCATATATTCTCTTGTTCACACCAGCTAGATACACATGGAGCACAGTGTATACATATAAACATGTAAGCTACAATGTATTTCAAAGGGTGGTACATGCAGGTGGGCTTATTGGCACCGTATATCATGTAAGTTTCTTTGCCATTGAAGTTAACCATGCAAGACTTCAGAAAATGACACTGTAACTTACCCTCATCTTGGTGGAGTTGAGCTGTTGTTGCCCCACTCTGTTGACCCTGTCTGCGTCCATGCCCAGAGCCTGGAGCTCTGTCCGCAGCTTCAGCAGGAACTCTTTCAGGGTCCTCAGTACACTCTGCTTACAGTTGTCCAGCGAAAAGAACAGGGTACCATTGCTGTAAAATATATTCAAGGTATACAATTGGTGCCATGCAAACATGGATATCAAATTGAATATTCTATTATAGTAACTGTAATAAAATTAGCCAATGATGTAATACAACATATGGAACACTTTAATTTAGTAAAGCACCACAGGGCTCATTAGCTTTTAGCACCAGAAGGGCAGGGTTGGACAAGTTTTCAAAATTCCACTTTCCCTATTGGGCAAGTACATTCATTTGGTTATTTCCACTTACCCAAACCAACTTTTCACTTGCCCAAAATATGACACATTTGACTTGCAGAAAGGACTTTAATTTATTTTTCAATAAAAAAAGCACTTTAAACTAAAGTTTATAATGCTGCTTGCTGCTTGCTTTACCGGTATTTACCAAAATGAGACTTTTCTCACAAAAGGTCATATTTTTGACTGGTATGAATATAATATCTTTATTTGAAAATGATGTGTAATTTTGCTCCAAGCACTGCATCCAAAATATTCCCTTGTCCGATACTTGCCTGAACAGTGCTTTTACTTGCCGTGGGCAATGGGACTTGTCCAACAAAGCGTTAAAGGTGAGAAATGAATGGGTATCATTGCTCTAAATTACACGTTTTTGCAGACTAGTGCAACAAAAACTATCATGTGGAAGTGACAGAAAGTGAGGTTCAGAGTTGGGAGAGCTGGTTAATTGTCAACCTTGAATGTGACAGACAAGACAGACAATCCTGGCCATTGGCTCTTACAAAGTCAAGAAGATTGAGCATTTATTTTTTTTCCTACTCACTCAAAGACTTTCTGCCATGATATGGTGATGGTGTTGTAGAGAGGGCTAGACAGATCCTCGTTCATGTCGATGGGTCCGTAGGTGGGGGACTTGTAGACCCCGCTGCGGCGTACTGTGGCCTTGTAGGTGCTGTAGTGTAGGCCCCCTGCTTGTCTATAGGGAAACAACAAAGACTATTAATTTTGTAAAATGGTTTAGATTGGCACACTCAGTAGCACAAACAATTGACGAAAACTTACCACACCTCACACAGAAACTAAACTTCCAGAGAAACTAGCAGTTTGGGATACAGGGCTCGAAATTCTTTCTTGGGGAATAGGTGAACTGGTGCACTGGCGCACAATGTAAAACAAAACATCTGAAATGGGAGCTACATGTAACTTCAAAATCGTTAACAAAGTACTAAAACAAAAATTTTATTGTTTTTCTGACATGCAAAGAATATCCTGCATATACATGGTACATTTGATATGTACAAAAATACAAAAATATTTGGGTGCACCCACAGCAAAAGTTGGGTGCACAGCTACAATTTTGGGTGCACTAAAGTTCACATTTACCCAGTATTTCGAGTCTGACGATATATAATCACCTGAGGTCCACATGCGAACAAAAAAGGAAGCTTTTTTTGTGATGGACAGTGAATGACTTCTAATAGCTTACAAATAGCTTGTTTCTCTGATACCTTATTACCTACATGCAGGGAGATGGTTAAAATAAAACGTCACGTATCAGTAAAGTCGTGTGTGAATAAGATCACGTGTTTGTAAACCGTAACTCTCGCGATATCACGTTGTGAAGTGATTGGTCATTAATTATCCTGATGAAGGCAACAGTGGTCGCTGTAAATTTGATCTCTGTAAATCGTGCGTTAAAGTTCAACGTTCTACTATAATGATTACTACCAACACAGGTGAACTTTCTTGATAATCCTTTGACATACCTTTCTCAAATATTAAGAGGACTGTCATCATAAGAATTACTTAGACTACTCAATGACAAGTAATAACATACTATCTATATATATATAACTATGATACAGTATGCTGAGGCATAACCCCTCACCTGTTCTCCTTACAGGTAGGAGCGCCCCATTTCTTGGCCATGGCCTGGCACATGCTGGCTGCAGCCTGCACCCCCTCCTTCAGCTTGGGGTGGATACAGATGCTGATGGACCGGTCCACGTCCGTCTGTAGGGTCCCAAGGACGGGCTGGAGGGACGTCTTCAGTTCACCCAGGTGGTGCTCAAAAATGGTCTTTGCCGACATACGGGTCCCGTGGTTCTGTAAATGGTTCGAAGTCAAACAGAACGTGTCACTGTCAAGTAAAAAACTAAATGGCTGTCAATATAAACAAAGTTCCCTGGCAGGACAGACTAAAGACAATTACACTAAAGTTTTCCAATGTAAAGGCATCCAATGCGATTTCAGGGCAGCAAAACTGGAAATTCTGAATAAGGCAATCTTTGTGATATTGGCACATACTGCTTAACATTAGCATATTTAAATCAGTATTTCATACTTTGGGCATTTAAGACTGCAGAAATGAGTCCTTTATTTTTTGGATGGTACCCTAAAATCAGCCCAGGGCCCTTCCAGTAAATTTTCTGTCATAATTCTGGGAATTTTTGCTCCATGAGGGTCAATATACAGTCAAACCTGTCAATATTCAAGGGACCGTCAAAAACTGACCGCTATGGCCGAGTGACCACTACACAAAGGTGGCCGCTATTACAGGTTTGACTGTACATTGGGACAGTGTGGTTTCAACTCAGTATGTTGATAAATGACTAGAATATTGGCTTTGAAAAATCGGGTTTTCAAGGCCTAAAACTGCACTGGATGCCTTTAAAGATGAAAGGAAAGTTACTGAAACAGTTGCTTTTACCTTGGTTCCTTCGTCCAAGAGATAGCTGGCGATGTCACTGACAAAGCTGCCCAGACTGCGGATGAGTTTTTCCGTACCGCTCTGTCGGCGAACGTTGGTCATCTCGTGAACAAACTCGCGGAGAGCTGGGATCTGGGTGTCATGGACGCTACTGAAGACCTGGGCTGGTCCGTCCCTGGTGATAGAAATACATGAACAGTGTATGACTTCATACGTTACTTTAATTCCAATATTGATTTTAATATCAGGGCTCGAAATTCATTTTGGGGTATAGGTGCTCTAGTGAACCCAACCTAAAAAATTGGGTGCACAATAAAAATATTAGGTGCACCATATAAGATAAAATAGGTAAAACGTCTGCAAAAATTATACTTACATGTATGTTTCATTTCAAGAACTTTTCATGTTTCATTTTAAGTACTACAAAATGTATAACTGTTACAATGATTGTATTTTCTGTGGGTTCACTGCTGCACCCACGGAAAAAATTGCCATGGGTGCACAGCTCCAAATTTGGGTGCACATGCACCTAGTATTTTTAGCCCTGAATATTGATATGCGTCTACGTTTGACATTTCAGGGGTCGAAATACCCCTCATGTGTGCAACTTGGTGCAAGTAAATTTGGTGTCGTGCAACTAATTTTTTGCCGGTATGCACCGCAGTGCAAGTTTGCTTTATCCACTGTTACTACCTGTAGAATTACCCAATAATAAAGAACTGGAAAGTAGCGGTGGACCGGTTCGGACCGTAAAAATTTTATCGGTCCGGTCCAAAAAACCAAAAGTTGGCCCAAAAATCTATTTCGACCCCTGCATTTGAATTAGAAAGCATCCTAACAGCATCCCAACAGTTTGTACCTTGTGAGTTTGTTAGTGAGTTTGAGGTACTCGGTGGAGCTAACGGTGAAGACGCGCAGTCCTCGGGCGATGTCCTCCTCATCCTGGTCCTCTACCTGCTCCTCCTCCTCATCATCATCACTGTCAGCATCTTCTCCCATCAGTCCTGCTTTCCTCTTCATCTCCTGGAGTCATCAAATGGGGGAGAGACAACGATATACATGACTGTTACTGAGCTAAAGGAAGTGTAGTCGCATAGCATTTTTAGGGGCAGTAGGTTGTTAGTCCAATGGGTATCAGCATCACTCCCCTTTCAATGCCTTAGGCCATGTTGATTTGAGTATATGAATGACATCCATGCGCGCATGAATTTTTGGCCATTTCCCCCCAAAAAAATTCAACCACACTGTAAATCGTAAAAACAGTTGCACAATACAGGAAATATATATCATGAGTTGCAAGAAAAAGATTGGAAACAAAACAAAAAGACGAAAATGTAAAGAAAAGAATTTGAAGAGTAGATTTTTGCCATAACATACTCTGTGTCATTTGTTCATAACCATGTAGACTTCATAATGACTTTAGCAACTTTTTTTTGGCAACACTTTTTTTTATTCGCACGCTCACATCAGTTTTGTGGTTCCCAGAGGATGTCATCCATATAATCAAATCAACATGGCCTTACCGTAAAAGTTTTACCTCCTGATTTTCCTTCATCATTTCTTTAAACTTTCATCAAATATGTTAGAATGAGTGTTAATGAAGATCAAATACCCTGGTAATGAGACACCAATTCTAAAAGTAACAGTTACTTAGATTTTGAAAACGGCAAAATGTTTCAGGTATAGCATCTACAGCCTTTCATAACTTGACATAAGTGACTGAAATTTCTATCTACATTTAGGAAGTAAAAATGAGCAGCACATACCCTGATGCCAGCCTTGAAGTCTGCCCTGATCTGAGTTTGGGAGTACTGGTTACGGGCCTTGGCACACATCACTGACATCTGTCTCTGTTTGCTGGATACCTGACGATCAACTCCAGTAATCTGAAACACAAAGTCCCCTATCCAGCAATCTCTAACCCAACAGTTTACAAAGCTTTGAGTGCAAAGAACTAGGGAAACTAGAGAAGTAACATTTGCAAAGCAACAAACACATTCATACATATGCACTACTAGTACATGTATATGGTTACAGGAGCAGAGCAGACCATGAAATTGCAACATTATGTAACCGAACACCAGTTACCATGGTGAGAGATGTCAACAAATCAGGGCACTGGCCTGGTTAGAGATCAGTATTTGGAATGGAAGAAGAAGAAACTAAGTAAAAACAACTATCTACTGAAATGATGAACACGATTCCTTTCGCCATGTCCAAACTGGTGCAATTTGATCCATATGGCATAGCATGTTAAGACATAAAGGGAAACTAGAAAGGTAACATTTGCAAAGCAAAGGCATAATGTTTACCTTCCCATTTGGTCTGCTATGTTAATTCTCAAACACATTCATATACATGATGACAGGAGTCTAAATCCTTCCTGCTATAAAATTGCAATATAATGGAACCCAACACTAGTTACCATGGTGACAGACACTTGGCCCAGGTCATTGACATAATTTGTTTGGAGAAGAAGAGGAAGAAGAAGAAACAGAGCAAAAACAACTTTCCTTTTGTAAAGTTAACATAACAAAATACATTCCCACCTCTTTCTCTTTGTGAGCTATGTGTAATCTTGTTTCCTTCAGGTCTGTTTTCTTGTCCTGCTCTGTGTTCTTTTTCTCCTCCAAGGTGGTCCTCAGACTGGTTAACTTCTCCCTGTCATCATCATCAATGATCACTTCCTGTGGAACAAAAAAGGGCTGGACTTTATTTGGCAATCTAATGTTTATAGCAATCATGAAACAAAAAGGGATTTTTTTACATCTCTAGAACATGATGTGTGTTAATACTGCATATGACAATCCTTCAGGAAGATAAAAATCATTGGAGTGAAATCACAGTGACATCATTCCTCAAATTAGAGTTGTACACCAATTTTTTTATTATGCACAGGTGCGCCTAGATATAAGTACAATATTTTGTTTATGGAGAATTCTTATACAAAACTAAGATGTTTTAGTTTTTATCTCCTACCCTGCAACACAAATTTGACCAAAGTGACATCTTGAGGGAACATAACTAATACGTGTATGTAACAGATCTTTCAGCATAGTTAACACTGTCAGTCTGTAACACAAACACACTGTCCTTACTTTGGGAGAATTGGGACCCATGGGGGACCAGCTATTTAAACCTTTTAGGCCACAAATAATGCATATAAATAAAATTATAATTAGTGTGAAATTATTTAGGTACAGTACTGGTGCTTCAGGAATAGGTATTTTGGACCTATAGCTCATCAATTTTTCTGGTACAGAACCTTTACTGTGTCCCGGTACACAGCTCTAGGTGGCAGTTATTTCCGAAAAATGGATTTCGAGCAAACACTATTATATACCTCATCAGGGTTTATATCAACAGGTTCCACAATCTGCTCCAGTTCAAAGACTTCCTCCTTCAGGTCGTTGACCTCCTGTTGGATGGCTGACAGCTCATCCTCCTTCTCCTCTTCCTCCTCCCTCAGTGACTCGAGCTCCTCTGTTAAGGACATCTTTTCCATCTCCAGGGCGTTGATTTCATTTTCTAGCTGCTCCACTTCTTCTTCTAGATTCAGGGCTCTATGATGTGATTTAGAAAAAAAGTAACATTTGCAAATCAAAACGCATAAGATTTACCTCCACATATGGTCTGCTCTGTTAATCTTACACATTTATATAATATTATATGGTGACAGGAGTCTAAATTCCTGCTGCTATAAAATTGCAACATGATGTAACAGAGCACCATGGTTACCATGGTGACAGACATCTGGTTCAGGTCATTGACTTTATTTGTTTGGAGAGAAAAACTATATGTTTTCCTTCAGTAAACATAATTATAGCTTTAAACTTGAGAGAGAAAGATAAAAGAAGTGGAGAATTGACTCAATTTAGAAGCTTTTAGCTGGAAAGTTGCACTTAGTTTGTAACATTAAAAGTCAACATGTACAAACTTGTGTAAATGTAATGTGCAAATACATGTATTTGGGTATGTTAGAATTTTGTGACTGTCCTGTAGAGCATTTAAGACTTCTAAAGTCTCACATGAAGGCAAATCAAAGGCTACAAGAACTTTCTCTGAAATGCCCATAAACTTGAACAGGAAATTAAGTATTCCTGAACTGTTACCTGATGATTTCTGAACACCTGAGGTCGTCAGTCTTGGTACAGATGAAGGCGATACTGCCGTACTGTCCGTCCATCAGCAGCTGTCTGCGGAAACCCTCACCCAGCAGCTCTTTGGCCGTCTTGTCATCTACCGCTCTGTGGATACTCGCAACTATCCAGATGGCATTGCAGTTTTTAAAGTACTGTGGGCAGCAGAAATACATTTTGTAGTGATAGTAAGCCAGAGTGATGTTCACTCCCAGGATGGAAGTACTGTTTTGGGTGGTGCTAATGTGCGCTAGGTTTGTATGTGTGTGTTCTTGTCGTCCACCGCTCTGTGGATGCTCGCAACAATCCAGATGGCATTGCAGTTCTTAAAGTACTGTGGTGAGTAGAAAATGCAGAGTTAATTCACAGAAATGGTTACATTGCATTTTGTGACAAATCTTAACAAAAGCCAGTGTGCAAAATAATGCAGCCCCAAACATGTATACCTGTATAGTTTTGTCGCATACATGTGACATGTAAATTACTATAAATATTGTACATTGCAGCAGCAACACCTAAGTCATTTTTGCCCTGAAGAAGGTGACTGATGATCATTGAAACATTGGGAGTAAAAAAATCATTGGTTGTTGAATGAATAAGCCTTTATATACAGTCTCTTGCCAACCTGGTGAAATAATTCATTGATGTCAGAGCTCGAAATTAAAGGTGGTCCAATGGCCACTGACCACTAAAATTTACACTGAAACAACTAAAAAGACACTTTGGGACATTTTTTGGGGACAATAAAAAATAATCAACATCAGAATGTCGGCCTTTCTTTTGTTTATCAGGCACACGTCCCGGTTTTTGGATTTGGAAAAGTCCCTGGGAATTTCCCGTCTACTCTGCAATTATAGTGCGCCTGGGAGCATGGAGGTAGAAAAAAGGAAAGGAGGGAGCTCAAACTTTCTGCCTATTGTCCGATGTTGGCCGCGGGCGTCAAAACTGTAATTGGCACGAACTTGTCAATTGCCCTGATTTGCGTAGCCCCCAGAGCGGCACAACAGAGTTTTCCATTGTTATTAATGTCAGTGACAAGACGGCATGCCCGGCATTGACAACTATAAGTGTAGCAACTTTTATTCTACGATAACTTTGTATCAAATTTGAGGATTACTTCGATGAATGCAGGGTATGTCGGTCCCTGCTCGGAGTGGACTCGGCTACTGTCGCTGGCAGTGACGTCATTTTCGGCTCATTTGCATAGCCATATATGGAATTCTGGCGGGAGAGACCGCGGCGAACATAGGCATCAAACAAAGTACCGCCGGGCCGGCGGACAATAGAACCCAGCGGGATCTAGCGCAGCAAAACAAAAGGCCGCGGCGGGTGCTAACGTGCTCCCTCCTTTCCTTTTTTCTACCTCCATGCTGGGAGTGAACATTATAGCAAAATAAAGTTGACTTCAAGTTGAAGTCTTACAATACTTTCCAAAAAACAGGCTGGGACAGTTCATCCTCACTTCAGGAAAATCTAAATTTATTTTTGGGACAGTGCTGGGACAATAAGAAGAAAAAATAATTTGGGACAATAGGAAGAAAAGTTAATTTCAAGGCCTGGACATGTACATGTATAACCCACCTGTTTGGCTATGTTATCCCTGGCAGCGTTGGAGTCCCTAACCCCAGGTAAGTCCACTAGGATGGCACCACTGCTACACACGTCACAGTTGGGGATCTGAACTTTCACCCTCTTCACGATTGGCCAGAGCTGACCACCTGACCTGTCCCGTGACCCCGGCCCTCTGGCGGGAGGGGCGTCCATTGAGTCCACATACTTGTCAATCTCACTTCGGAACTCTCGGGCCTGAAACAGCAGGCGTAGCAGTTCCAGGTAGTGCTGTGTACCGGTTCACTGGAACTAGTTCCAGACTTGTAAAATGTTAACTTAAAGCTACAAGTTAAAAAAAAAAACTGATTGTCTGGACCTTTTTCCGGACTTAGGCCACACCAATTTAATTTGTTGGTTCTCTGATTTTTCCGAAAAATGAAGTGACAGGGAAAAAAAAAAAATGAAATAAAAACAGGTCAAGGCATCCTATTATAGCCCCAAATGCTACGATACGAGCCATGAAGTCAACACAAAAGGCTGAATTAAAATTTGAACTATAAATTTTGAGCTTTTAATCAAACCGCTGCATTGATAGATGGAAAAACTGTAATAACTAGGAAGAAAAGGACTTTCCTCAACTGTTGGGGGCAAAAAATGAGCATTTTTTAGTTTATTCAGAACCAGAATCTTTTTTCTTTTTGCAAATCAGAAAGAAAAGAGGTGAATCCGAGAACCAACAAATTAACTTGGTGTGGCCTTACAAACAAAAATCATGTCACATTCTCCTTTTTTTTGTTCTATACCGCCTGAAATCTTCAATAGTTTACGGCCTGAAAAACTGAAAAGGGGCTATTGGACTACCTTTATCATAACTAAGAGGAATGGAATATATCATAAGCATACATACCCTTGACTTTGAGATGTGTTTGGTGGTCCCCAGTAGATGTCGTACATGAGGCAGCCTGGAGAGAACGTCGTATGACTCCACTCTACCGTACACGGCCTTGATTTTACTCCAGGCTATACCAGCCTCAGACTGGGGGTCAGGCTTCCTCTTGGCCTTACCGTCTTCTCCTATCAGATCTGTCAGCAGCAGGCGTAGCTCATCGTCCCATTCCTGCAGAAGGCGGTTTGAAAAAAAAAATTAAAAATCACAAGAATCTACTTCTAGTTCCTGCTGGCTCCTGAGTAGTTTATGATACCTTTCAATTCCTTTGACGATCTGCCTGTCAATCTACCACCTATCCATGTGCTGTCAACCTACTCCACCTGGCTCAACGGATACACAAACTGAAAGCTCAGTCACCCATATATATATATAATACATGTGTGCAGGGTCGTGTGGCGCAATGGCAGAGTGCTCGACTTGGAACCGAGAGGTCCTGGGTTCGACTCCTGACATGCCACTGATCATGTGCACTTGGGAAAGGCACTTAACGCGACTTTCCTCACTTAACTCAAGTGAAAATGAGTATTGTCCTGTCCTGTTTTTGTTTCTGTGTGTGAAACACAACACAAGCAACAGCTGCCTGTGTCCAGTCACGTAAGATCCCCCCCCCCCACGAAGCCCATTTTTGGCCTTGACAATACCTATCACTAAGACAACCTGCCTGCCAAAAATCATGAACCTCGGACCATGCCTTCAAAAGTTATTGTGCATAATCTGCCGAACAGTGCCAAAACCATTCTATAGCCTTCTTGTCGAAAGCAATCAGATCAAATTGCTAATCATGAATTAAGATCTACAACTGACCTTCCTGGACAGAAACTCGACATCAGCCTCGTAGTTCTTGTTCCTGTCATTGTTGGAGACTTCCACCACCACAGCCGTGCAGGCGCGCATGCCCGAGGTGGGGAGGACAGAGGCGTGGTCCAGCAGGGCGTTCATCAGGCTGCTCTTCCCTGCGCCGGTGTCACCCACCACTGCGATGATGGTCTCAGGCAGGAACATCTTCTCACCAAGCTTAGCAGCATCCTTCCTGTTAGGTGGGAATGTGGTCTTGTGATTAGAGTTGTTAACTTCGGTTAGAATCGTGATTGTGGGTTTGAATCTCTAGCCAACCACTGTCCACTGTAATGATGGTCTCAGGCAAATGGACATTTCACCAAGCTTAGCAGCCTCCTTCATGTTTGGTGGACGAGGGAAGTTGATCTTGTGGTTAGTGTTGATAACTTTTGAATCTAAGGGTTTCGGGTTCAAATCTCTTGTCAACCACTGGTTAGGGCCATTGTCTTAGAATGTAAGGGCACCAAGGGTTCTGGGTTCAAATCTCTAGCCAACCACTGCAGAATAGTGCAATGATGGTGTTGTGTACCTAAACCCAATTTTAGATTCAGGTCAGGATTCAAGTCCATAGGTTTAGGTTCAGTTCCGGACTCTGAAGTCCAGACCTAAACCCATGGCATATACAGAATTGCATGTTGGCAACCTTGCAATGTTGTATGGGCAAAACTGTGGCCACGTAACATGGAGGCTGACACTTGACAATGCCTGATAGCAATTGTTTTCTTCATTTTGCAGTAAAGATTTTGCAATATACGGAAGATTTTAGGCGATTTGGAAAGAAAAGAGGTATGTGACACGTATTTTTTTAGTAATAAGTCCGCAATCGGTTCTAGATTTAAGGTTTCTTTGGACTTGAACCTAAACATTTTTACAAGTCCGGAGCCGGTCCAGCGAACCGGTACACAGCACTAGCCATACCACATCTCAGTCAGTGCTGTTTCTTGATATTCAAGATGTCTAAAAGATTTCTTTCTTTCTTACTTCCATGCCTGCACCCTGGATATGTCCTTTAAGCTGGGCTCCTTGTCCAAGGTCTGCTGAAGACTGGCCAGGATGGTCTGACACTGCTCCATGTACTTAGGGGCATTGTCTGTGGTCACCTTTCCTGCAGGGAAAAAAGGATAAACTAGAAAGGTAATATTTGCAAAGCAAATGCATAATGTTTACCTTCCCATATGATCTGCTCTGTTAATTCTAACACATTCATATGACGTTATATGGTGACAAGGGTCTAAATCCATCCTGCTATAAAATTGCAACATGATGTAGCCCAGCACTAGTTACCATGGTGACAGACATCTGGTTTAGGTAATTGATCTTATTTGTTTGGAACGAAAGAAGAAGAGGAATGGAGCAAAAACAATGTTTATTTCCTTCGGTAAACATAAAAACATAATAAAACTGTAGTTATAGTTGAGATGCACCTATTCCCAAAAATGAATTTCAGCCCCAAATACAGAGCAAGTATGAACTGCAATACCTGGGGTATTTACTAGTCGGCGTCTTGTCCTTCCCACATTTGTTGGCAGCACTCCTGGTGTTTCTTCAGTCATCTGTGTTGCTGGGTTTTCTTTAACTTTTCCTATGCTCGGAGTTTTGTCTGTTGTCTCCTTCTCTGATGATAGGTTTGTTGACTCAATGGCTGGAGTTGTTTTTGTTGTTGTTGTTGTGCTTTCTGCACTTTCTCGGCTTGCTCCAAGTCCAAGGTTGTCTTCATTTGGTGCAACATTTGTGGTGACCTTCTTACTTTTCTCAGGTTCTGCCATTTCTGACTTATTGTTGTTTTCTTTCACTGAGACGTCTTTTCCTGAACTGAAGTTAGTTACAAGAGAAGGCTGATCGGAGCTGGTGTGCATGGATGGACTCTCGTCATCAAAATTCTCATCGTCAAAATCAATGTCATCAATGTTGATGTTCGGTGCACTGAACTCATCATCATCATCGAAGTCACAACTCAGACCCTGTAGGGACATCTCGTTACTTTGTTTATCTGTCTCCTTGGTAACATCTTCGTTAGTGTCTCCTAGTTTATCAGCTATTGAAGCCTTGGGTGACTCAACAGTAGAATCCTGTTCTGTATCAGGACAATCTTTTGATAGAACGTTAGTCTTTTCTGCAGTAGTGCCTGTTAGAGATTCTTGGTCGCTAGAGTTGCCATTATCATCATTGTCATCATCTTCACTTGTGTCTTCCTCATCACTGCTGTCCTCTTCCTTATCATCTTCATCACTAGCATTCGAATTTTCATCACTGTCAAACTCTGCTCCATACTCCATAGAGTTTGAGGATAGAAACCTGTCATTTTCTGAGTTGTCTGAATCCCTATCTGACTGTGCGTCACTCGACTCGGCGTAACTCTCCGGGGACAGAAATGTTTCGTTCTCTGAGCAGTTAGAATCCCTGTCTGACTCGGCATAACCGTCCAGCGAGGGAAGACATGAGGAGTCAGAGTTTGCGTCGGTATCGGAGTCTTCTTGCACTTCTTCTTCATTGCACACTTCTGGTACTGCACTTTCTTGAGACGTTTGACTTGGTTCTTTACTGCAACTGGAAGATGTGCAGTCGTCTAATGGTGAGGTGCTACATGGTTTTTCATGGCTTGTTTCTTCAATCACAGTTAGATCTGACTGACTTGGCTCTTTACTACAACAGGAAGGAGATGTGCTCTTGTCTAATGGCGAGCTACTACAAGGTTTTTTGTGGCTTGTTTCTTCAAACTCTGTCAGATCTGACAACATCCCTTCCTTGTCTACCTTGCTTGGTACTTTTGTCAAATCCTGACACTGCACAACTTTAATCTCATTGGGAGAAAGGGTCCTACATGTAGTAGTATCGGGCATTGTTTCCTCACAGGCCTTGCTGGTTACAGTGTCCATGACTTGACAACTGGGTTTGGTGACCATTCCCGAGAGGTCATCTTGAGTCTTGGTAGCAACCACGTCTTCCTCAATGTCCTTAATCGTTTCTTCCAATGTCTCAACTTTGTCTTCAGCTGAAAGTGATGCTGAGGGCATGCACTTGCTTTTCTCATTCTCAGAGGCAACTTTGACGAGGTCTGAAGCCTTTGAATCACTTTCTGTAGAGGAACACAACTCCACATCTTGTGCATCTACCAGTTCTCTGTTATCAGTATCTTGTCCTGATTGTGTGTCCATCTCTTCAGTAGAGATCTCACCTTCATGTCCACCTTTGTCATTGTTATCCTTCCCCACAGCTACACTCATCTCTGTTTCTTTGCCATCTTTGTCGTTTGCATTGTAAGTTTCAAGACCTCTGTTATCTGGAATACCGACTTCTTTGTTGTTGTTTTCCAGTTCATCATGTTCAGGTGTTGTATTTTGTTCATCTTGGTTGGTCTTGTTATCTTTGTGAATGTTAGCAAAGGTCTTAGACTCTTGGTTTTCTGGCAGAGAGGTGTTGACCTGGCTATTGTCTACTTCTTCCGTAGTATTCCTACAATAATCAGGATGTGGTGATGACACCTCTGGAAGTACCTGTCTCTTTACTTCTGGTGTATTCTTACTGCTTACATCATCAAGCTGCTCTGATACCTCCTGAAGCCTTGGTCTCTTTGCCTCTGGTGCACATTCTAGCATACGTTCTTCATTGCTGTGCCTTTTGTTTGACAGTTTATTTTCTGTCTCGTTGGATACAGTGTCTTCTGGCTTATTTGCTGCAGAGTTCTTCTTCTTGAAGAATTCATGCACAGCCTGTTCAATAGCTTTCCTCTTCTCTACCTGTGGCCTTGGAATTTCATTACAAGTAAGACCTTCCCTTCCATTTTTGGCACTTGAGTGGTCAGATACATTTTCACAGCCATCTTTAGAACTGCTTGTGGGCTGCTCCTTCAAAGAAGGACTTGCGAAGAATGCTTTCACCTCCTCTGCTACCTTCTGCTTTCTAGCCTCGTCCGCTATCTTGTCCAACTTTGAGGACATCTTGTTGACGAAGAAACGGTGGGCGAAGAACTCTGACACCACATCCCTAACATAGTCAGCTCTGCTTTTTGCCGAGACAACTGGTACACACTTTTGCTGAAAGTCTGCTGCTATGTCTGCATTTTTAGTCACTTCACAGTGTGCGTCAAAGAAGTCTTCTGTGCCACATGGTGGATTTTCTGTGATGTTTTCACACTCTTCAGATGTCAACCCTTCAGCATTATCTGTCTCTTCAAGCTGTACCTCCAGATGCAATCTCTTGCTTTGAGGCAGAACTGCATCAATCTCATCGTGTGGCCTTTTAGCAGTTGACAGAACTTCACTAGCTTTACAGGTGAGCTGATCAACTACTACAGCACCTTCCTCTTCAGTCTGACTGTGGATCTTGACATGATCTTCACGTGACTGTTTCTCGGTGACACTTTCATCCTCAGATTCCATGTTGAGCTGCCTCTTTGGCTCAGACTCTCTGTGTGGGGGATCCATAGCCTCTGCCTGACTGATACATGGATTTGAAACATCATGTTCACTGCCAATTGTCTTATCTTGCTCTTGTGAACTCTTAATCTCTGTGGAAGTTTCTGAATTTTCTCTTAGTGGCACCTGCTCTGCTTCCATTTCCTTGGCAGCAACAACTTCTTCACTGGAGTTGTGAAACTTTCCAGGCTTTATTTCTGAAAAGGTGGAGTCTGTCGAAGTTGGATCAGTGTCTTTCCTCTCTGGCGATGTCACCATTTGCAGCTCCTCAGTTTCCGTTTTCTTGGCAGTATCTTCTTTGTTGCTTAAGTTGTGAAGATTTCCGGGCTTCATTTCTGAGAGAGTAGACTCTGACAAAGTTTGATCGGCAACTTTCCTCTCCACATCTGGCAATGTCATCATTTGCAGCTCCTCTGTTTCTGTTTCCTTTGCAGTATCTTCTTCTTTGCTGATGTTGTGAAGCTTTCCGGGCTTCATTTCAGAGAGGGCTGACTCTGCTACGGTTTGATCGGCAACTTTCCTCTCCACATCTGGCAATGGCACCACTTGCAAAGTTTTCTCTGTTTCCATTTCCTTTGCATCGTCATCTTTTTCTTCACAGATGTAGGGAAGCTTTCCAGTTTCGCTCTCTTGACTCGGCAAAACTTTTGACAAACTTGCATCATTTGCAGATATCTCTTCCAGTGAAAGGACTTCTTTTTTATCTTCTTCAGGCTTTGCAAGTTGGGTACTTGTCCCTTGGAAGTTGTTAGAGAGTATATCTTCAATACGAGAAGAATCTGACAATTCATTTTCCTTCGACTTTTCTTTATTGCTTTCTTCAAGAGTACCACCAACACTTTTGCTTTGCTCTTTAACTTGAGCATGGCTGGAATGTCCCTTGTGACATGAACCAGACTGGCTACTGTGTCTCCTCTCTTCACTCTCTCCTTCACTATCAGACAGATGTAACCCTAGGCCTACCTCTCCTACGCTTTCCGGCTCCTCTTCGTCAGAACTTTCCAGATCCGAATAGTTGTCGTATTCAGCTCTGTAGTCGATGGAGTCTGAGACCATGAACCTTGAGTTTTCGTCTTCAAACTTCTCTTCCAAATGAACCCTGTGCAGGTCAGCATTTTCTTTAGTACCTGTGTCTAAACCAGTGTCTTTTACTTCCCAGGTCACTGACTTCTTGAAGTCTGTAGTGACATTGTCAACACTAGTTAAAGTAGCTTCTCCTTTGTTTTGCGTTGGATGGCTTGTGGGCAAGGTTTCGCTGTCTTCATTTGCTTCTATCTCTGCAAAGGCTTCTTTCTGTAGAGCATCCAAGCTGTCTTCCTGACTGCCAGTTGGGGAGGCTAGGAAGGGTACAACTCCAGACAAACCAAAGTCGCTACCAGTTGAGTTCTGACTCAGCGGTGTCTCTCCTTCCTCGCTTTCTACGTCGCTTTGCGTGGCGTTATCGCCACTCTTTCCACTTGGGCTCAGTCTCAGCATTCCCATATAGCTGTCAGATGACCCACTACTGCCAGATTGCCTGTCCGAGCCTTGGCTTGACGGTATCATCTCTTTCTCTGTCTCATTTTCCGCGGTAGGAACACTTGGGGTGAATGACATCTGTGACAAATCTTGAGATGCACCTTTAGCATTGCTAACGGGTGGAATTTCTGGTGAATACTCCAGATTCTCAAATTCCTGTAAGACCCAAGCAGTACTGTCATCCATAGTGGTCCCATCGTCATCTTTCATTTTGGGGCTGGGAGGTGAAATGCTTGGATCCTCCTCATCTATAACACAAGCAGGTTCAATGAAGACAGGAGGATCACATTTATCCACCACTTGGAGGCTATCTTCCCCTCTTCTAGGATAAGGACTAGTGATGCTGTCTTGAGAAGCATGTGACAAGATAACCTCTTCATCATCCTCTTCCTTATCCATTCCATCAGTCACTGGCACATCTTCTGACACCAGTGCTGCTGTGTCATCTACATGTACGGCTGATTTCTTACATATTGTGTCGGATTTCTCTGGTGGTGATTGCACAAGCTCCGATACCTTAACATGGCTTTTAAAGTATTCCTCCTCCAAGAAAGTGGTCTCTGTCGATGTTGGATTAGTGTCTTTCTTCTCCCCTTCTGGCAATGTCTCATCTTCTGACTGACTTGCTGTCATGTTTATGCTCTGTTCTTGCTCGGTGAAGTCGTCTGTCTTGACATCAATTTCTTTTTCCTCCATTTCACAAGATTGGTTACTTGGAGACCAATCTCGTGTATTGTCTGCAAAAGGACCCTCTATCTTTTGCTCATTTGATGTGTCATCAGTTATGTCTTTCTTCTCAATACTGTGATCTTCCTCAACTGACACATTACCTTCAGCCTGTTTGCTGCTATCCTCCACTAGCTGGGGAGACATGGCTGTAGTGTCTACATCTGTATTTTTGTCTGCAAAGGGATCCTCTATCTCTTGGTCATCTACTATAACATCAGCTATCTCTTCCTTCTCAAAACTGTGATCTTTCTCAACAGTTACTGACACATTACTAGTATCTTCCACCTGTAAGCTGCTGTCTTCAACTGGCTGAGGAGACATGGCAGTAGTGTCTTCATTTGTCTGTTTGTCTGCCTCTACCTCTTGCTCATCTGCAATGACCTCTGCTATCTCTTCTTTCTTGACACTGTGATCTTTCTCAACAGTTACTGACATATTATCTTCCACCTGTAAGCTGCTGTCTTCAACTGGCTGAGGAGACATGGCTGTAGCATCTACATCTGTATTTTCGTTTTCAAAGTGATCTTTTATCTCTTGCTCATCTGTAGAGACATCAGTTATCTCTTCCTTCTCAACACTGTGATCTTTCTCAACTGACACATTATCTTCCACCTGTAAGTTGCTGTCTTCAACTGGCTGAGGAGACATGGCTGTAGTGTGTACACCACTGGTTCTGTCTGCTAAGGGATCCTCTATCTCTTGATCATCTGTAGAGACATCAGTTATCTCTTTCTTCTCAAGACTCTGATCTTCCTCAACTGACACATTATCTTCAGCCTGTTTGCTGCTATCCTCTTCTGGTTGAGGAAACATGGCTGTAGAGTCTACATCATTTTTGTTTTCAAAGTGATCTTTTATCTCCTGCTCATCTGTGAACACATCAGTTATCTCTTCCTTCTCAAGACTCAGATCTTTATCAACTGACAAATTCTCTTCAGCCTGTTTGCTGCTATCCTCTTTTGGTTGAGGAGACATGGCTGTAGTGTCTACATCTGTACTTTTGTTTTTGTAGTGATCTTTTATCTCTTGCTCATCTGTTAAGACATCAGTTATTTCTTTCTTCTCAAGACTCTGATCTTCCTCAGCTGACAAATTCTCTTCAGTCTGTTTGCTGCTGTCTTCAACTGGCTGAGGAGATGTGGCTGTAGTGTGTACACCACAGGTTTTGTCTGGTAAGGAGTCCGTTATTTCTTGCTCATCCGTGAGGACATCATCTGCGGCTATCTCTTTCTTCTCAAGACTGTCATCTTCCTTAAACAATCCATTGTCTTTTGCCTGTGTGCTGTTAGCCTCCACTTGCTGAGGAGACATGGCTGTAGTGTCTACACCTGTATGTTTGTCTGCAAAGTGATATTTTATCTCTTGCTCATCTGTAGAGACATCAGCTATCTCTTTCTTCTCAAGACTGTGATCTTCCTCAACTGATACATCATCTTCAGCCTGTTTGCTGCTATCCTCCAATGGCTTTGGCGATTTGACTGTAGCAGCTATGTGAGGGAAAACAGTTGACTTGTCAGGAGAAGTCTCTTTCATCTCTTGTTCGTCTGTAAGGACATCAGCGTTCTCTTTCTTCCTAGAATAACAGTGATCTGACACATCACCTGTTATGCCTACGGGCTTCACGTGTGGATCAAGAAATCCACTGGCTGTCTTCTGCACTTCTTCTTCACAATCGTTGTCTGAAAGGGCCTGAAAAGTCGTACTCTCATCCAACTCCTGCTCAGGCACACGAACAGGACCTTCCACAATCTTGGGAGGTGGCACAGTCTCGTTAACTACCAAACCTTGAACATTTTGAGTTTGCTCTTCGCTCTGTGTCAAAAGCACACTTTGATCAGGATGGCTATCTTCCGTTGACTGCACAGAGTGTCCCAAAGAGTCTTCAACCCCATCTTTTGATGATATTACTACAGGTACTGGTGAACACCTATCCTCCTTGACATCTCCTCCTACTTTTGTCTCTACTGTAGGCTCTGTCTCTACTACTTCTTTGGCACTATCTCTGACTACCTGATCTTGCTGGGCAATTGAGCCTGTATCTCTTTCATCTTGCTTCTCTCTCACGTACCCTCCATTGTGAAACTGTGCAAACTGTTGCATTCCTTCCTTCTGTACATCAATATTAGAAGGTTCTTGCCTGCCCTGGTCTGGCTTTTCGGCTGCTTTACTGCTGTTATCTGTGTTTTCTGTTGAGATGAACTTCTCTCCAGGGGTTAGGACTTGGCTCTCACATCCAGTTTGGCTCACTTCTTCCTGATCAGCTTCCTTATCGTAACTGGTTTCTCCATATTTCAGGGTTAAGTCCAGTGGGTAGTCATCTGTGTGTTCCTCTGTTCTCTCTACTACAACACTTTTGCTCCCTTCATTTTGGCCTGGTTTCTTACAACTCGGAGACTCTGTAGGTATAGCAGGGGGTTGTGCATGGACGGTTTGCTTGGCACTTTGACCGCGGCTGGCCTGTTTGTATTTACGTTTGTCTTTTCCTGACGGTTTTTCCTTTGCCAGGCTTCTTTCATTGGTCGATTCTGTTTCCGTGTCTGATTCCAAAGACGAGTCATTTGATTGGACGCCCGCATCCTTCTGGGTGGTGTAAGGTCGTGTTGATGTCCTTGAACCTACGGCCCGACCTTGACTTCGGGTTTGCGGTCTGCGTCTTGAGCTGGGAGGTGTGGTATGGTAGGTACCTAGCGGAGCGGCCCCTCTCTGAGTAGTACAGCCACGTGTGAGTATGGCTGGAGAGTTTGCCTTCTTTTTAGGGACAGTCTTGGGTACTCTGAATGTTCCAAGCATTTCTGGAGTTGTGGGTGCAGCTCCCTGGGACAAAAAACACCCAATGGAAGGTATTATTTTTTGATAGATTTTTTGGGGGATACAATTACAAAGGCATCTGACTTTTGGCTAAATTATTTCAGATGTCTTTTTGACAATAATCCTTTTCTAAATCCTGTATTCAGGCTTCAACTCATGGTTAATATGACACAACAAAGTGGATTCCAGCATAACAATATTCTCTGATGAATCATAATAACCCCTTCTGCAGCAGTGAACTCCTTTAACTATAAACAAATCTATCTTTAATCTTATGCCTGGACTTACTCATCCTGCATTAAATAGGAGATCTATGTGAGAAATAAAATGGTCTTTTCCCCTTTGAAGGATCTTTGAATGAATTCAAGTTCAACTGAAACACACTGCATCCAACAGAGCAAATGTAACTTCTTTAAAACAAGCATCCAACAAAGAAAATGTTGTCACAGTAACTTCTTTAAAACAACCCAGTTCACAATGTCATGATCCCCTTCACTAAATTTCAAATACCTTTAACAAGTCACCAAAAACTCTAGCCAAGTAAATTCTAATCACAAGTATTAAGACCATCAAAAACTGGACTTTTATTATCAACAGTGACATATATTAATAAAGAGAATATTTTTCCTACCACAAGCTGCTTGTTTCTTTTCTGGCTCCCTGCTTGGACCACATTCTGTTGATGGTTTTCAGCTGTGCAACTGCAAGCTTCAAACTGCAAAGAAGCAAAATTCAAGAATTCTGTTTGAGTATGTTCCAAATATAGCACATATTTAACTAAGAAATAACCTGGAGTCAAATATGATTATGCTTCAGCAATTTACTCGCATTCAGTACTTACAAAATGTATTTGTAAGCATTTGTTGTATATAACTTATAATACATTTAACAGAAAATTGATGCCAGGAAATCAGATAACCTTTCTGGGGACCTTTGACCTAACTTTGGTCAGTGTCTCCAACAATCAAACACACAGACACAAGTATTTGGCTCAGACTAAAGAGGTCTCAGGTTCGAATCCTGCCCGATGCCACCTATCTTGTGCCTCTGGAAAGGCACTTTACACAACTTTCCTCACTTCACTCAGGTGTAAATGAGTACCTAGCTTCGGTTAGGGACATCCCTCGGAAAGGACATCAAATGGAGGTCCCGTGTTTGGAAGAGCCACAAGCCATGCATGTTAAAGAACCCACCGCACTTATCGAAAAGAGTAGGGGTCCATTCCAGTGTGAGTGATTCAAACATTACAGTCCAGTCTTACGTAGCTTGTACTTACATGTACAAAACTGGTGTGTTATTCAGGTTACGCGAAAAAAAAATGCCTTACCACAAACTGGTGCTCTGAGTCCGGTTGTCTCACCCTGGTCCCCGCCTGAATGGTATCACCCTTGGGGTGGCCAAAGGTCACCACATCTCCCTCCTCTAACACACAAGATCCTGCACAGGTGGTAATAAACAGCCTCCAGTTTAATATTCTGATGAAAAAAAAAGGGCTGACAAAAGTCTGTCACAAACAAACTGATGACATATCCTGACTGTCCATCACAGCAGTCAACCAATGACAGCAAGGCAATTAGCAATTTGACCAATGACAGAGGTCCTTAATGAGAGGAAAAAAGTTCCTGACCAGCAATCCTGACATCACCTGACTGTCCATCACAATAAGCAGTCAAACAATGATAGCGAGGCAATTAGCAATTTGACCAATGAGAGGAAAAGAGTTCCTGACAAGCAATTTTGACATTGTTGACATACACTGACAAAAGTCTGATACAAACTGCTGACATATCCTGACTGTCAATCACAATTAGCAGTCAACCTATGACAGCAAGGCAATTAGCAATTTGACCAATGAGAGAGGTTCCTGACCAGCAATCTTGACATCGTTGACGTACACCCCCGTCATGCTGGAGTCGATGAGCCTGTGTGAGTCGTCTGCCTGCGATCGGACCAGGCGACAGTGGCGGCGCGACAGGAAGATTCGCTGCTGCCACGCCGCGGAGCTGACCAGGTAGTGCACATTGTCCCCGCGCCCGATGAACGTGATTCTGTCGCTGAAGCTGGTACATGGACGAGAAAAATTTCAACCATCAGGCTGTCAAATTGTTACTGCTGCGGTTATATTTTGACCAATATGTATTTTCATTTGTATAACTACTATACTACAGAATTGTTTCTATGCAGTAAACTGAAGGAAAATGGTGCAGGTGTAATATTACTATTAAGCAGAGATTGGGCCATGTGCGGTCCCAAAGTGCCGGTTGCAGTCGCAAGGGAACAAGTGGTAACCTAATTATCTTTATGCTTATATGTCGGTGGGGGGAAAAAGCTAGCCTAGGTACCATCCTGGTTAGTGGTAGTGCTGTGTACCTAGACCCACATTTAGGTTCAGGTCCGGATTCAAGTCCACAGGTTTAGGTTCAGTTTTGGACTCATAAGTCCAGACCTAAACCCATTGGCATATACGAAATTGCATGTTGGCAACCTTGCAATGTTGTCTGGGCAAAACTTTGGCCATATAACATGGAGACTGACACTTGACGATGCCCGATGGCAATGTTTTCTTTATTTTGCAGCACAGATTTTGCAATCTATGGAACGTTTTAGGTGGTTTGGAAAGAAAGGGTTATGTGACATGGGTTCTTTTGTGATAAGTCTGGAATCGCTTCTTGACATTTAGGGTTTTTTTGGACTTGAACCTAAGGCTAAATATTTTTACCAGTCCAGAACCGATCCAGTGAACCAGTACACAGCACTAACTTGGAGTTGGACAAGTTTGACTGTACAATCTTACCAGACATTGTTCGCTGCAGTAGAAAGTGTGCGATGGCTGATCCTGCGTAAGTGGAACTGCGGTCTCCCGTCAGAGTTCTGTGACCTGGCCATGTCGCTGCAGTCTGTCTTTCTTACTGCCCTTTTAGAACAAAAATGTGATGCAACCATGTGAGAACAGTGGAGTGAGAGGTCATTTGACCCCAGACGGTTTAGAATCTGGGATAACAACCATGTCCACAACTTTATACATGCAGAATGCAGATAATTTTCTAAACCATTTCTGTATCTGTATAGCCGGTATAATCACCCTTCGGCGTAACACACCAGCTTCGCAGGCACGCGGCGCGGCGGCAGCTGGCTATATCACACTGAACGACTTGTTACACCTAACCCTTGAACATCTAACTCTAGACATTGTTTAAAGCTATCTAATGACAATGCCCCTACTGTACTAGGTGACAGCGAGTTCCACTCTGCGATAGTTCTAGGAAAGAATGAATTCTTCATAACTCTGGTACTTGAAGGCATGGCTATTTGTTGTTCTCTTCCGGGCTAGTATAGGCACAGTCTGGTCCTTTTTCTTCTATTTTCCAGTGACATCCACTGTAGGTTGTTGTTGTTTTTTTCCGTGTCTTGCAGCTTGATTCTGTACCCTTTCCAGTTTGTCTTTGTCCTTCTTTGTATATGGATCCCATATTGATATTATTATCGCATTTAGAGCCCAAATTATCCTGCCTCCAATGTTTTGGACAAAGGCGTCTTGTTTGCATGTGATGCATAAATTATCATCTGCATATGAAAACACCCCAGCTTGAAGTTGCACACCCAGGCTCTACCGCGGATCGCTGGAAAAATACTTAGAAATTGGCCGAAATGAAGGGTATACCAGGGGAGTTAGCCGGCCAGAGAAGATAAAATTTGCGACCCACGATTTGGATATTCTCTGGCCGGCTAACTCCCCTGGTATACCCTTTATTTTGGCCAATTTCTACTATTTTTCAAGCGATCGCGGTGCCTGGTAGAGGCTTGGGAGCACCCCCTCCCCACAAATTTCTTCTTTTCAAATTCCCAATCTGAGCGCCGGAGAGGACTACTATATATTAAAGTCACTAGCTATACAAACTTGTGCTTTTAATTCTTTACAACCCAGATCCATACATACGGGGAGGATATTCCCGCGATTTTACTTCTAAGAACGCGAGAGAAACTCGGGAACTGAGGCGCGGGGAGTGGAAAATTCTTCAGGCAAGTTTCGGCGCCAAGATCGAGCTGTCGTTTCAGTTTTCCCGGCCGCTGATACCTCTAAAACTTTACCAGAACGATAATCTAGTTCTAGCTACCTTGTGAGTGCGTGTGTGTGCGTTATTTGTGTACACTGTGAGGAATTTGAGGGACTTACCGGGCATCACAGTCAACAGAGCCCTCGCCTCCAGCATCGCATTTCCCGCCAACTGCTTGTTTACTGGCTCGCTATGGTTGGTGGGAAATCTGGGAGATTCTTTTCATATATGGGGAAGTGGGGTAACAACAAAAAGCTGCTAAAAGATTACAATCTCAAGCAAATGCATTAAACTGCTTTCAAAATAATTATTATTAAATATCGTATATTACAAAATGATACTAGTTGATGTATACAGCAAATTAAAAATGAAATGAAAAATACTGTGTCCCCTTTGAAAATTGAAGTATAGACTAGCCCAATTTGACGGGTTAAAGGTCCCTGGGCAAGCCTGGGCATGCCTTGACATTTCTGATGGCGGGAAAATTTGAATTTCTTGGTTTGAGCCATCACTACTAGTGGGCAGTCGAGGAGCAGTGAGTGTGACTGAGGGTTCAGTTCTGTTGTTGAGCGAGGTAGCTCAGGTTTGAACCGTCGATCCAATGTATTTGTATGAACCCGTATACGGTAAGGCCAAAACTGATGCGAGCGTGCGAATAAAAAAAAAAGTTTGGAAAAAAAAGTTGTCTTCATTATGAAATATAGGTGGTCATGAAGGTTGGACAAATGACTAAACAGACAGAGTAATATTTTATATAATAAAAACTTTATGAAACGTTTAGATTCTTCGAATTCCTTCCCAACACAGCAAGTATCTGGATTAGTAATAAAGATGCAAAACAAGGATATTAAAGACATCCAGTGTTCAACTTCCATTGTGAAAAAGTCTTTATTGTTTCTTTAATAATTCATAAAATAATTACGAGATTTCGAACAGGCACTGTCAGTACTTGAAATCATCAATTGCAAAAGTTGCACAAATCAATTTTAAACATCGTTGCTCAGACCGACCATTTCGACAGCGACATGTGTCGCAGCGGTAATTTAGACCGGCGGGCGGAGGGCTCTTGGCTGCCGAAGGGAACGACTGGCGGCCCGAAACGAGTTTGGCTTCCAGGCTAGTATCTAGTATTTTCGGTGCTGAACACACATGTACGGTGACAATAAAGAAAAAGAAGTCAAACACTTAACACAACGAAACACGAGGTTGTCCGTTATGAAATATGTCATATAAGAAGACAAATTCATCCAAGAGAGCACACTTGTAATCTTTTTCTTTCCTGAATTGATTAAGAATAGTTCTTATTTCACCTTTAATCTTACTGGCGTATGGGTTTAGTTTTTCTTCTCTGTGAGTACTAATAATAAGTAACGTTACATCTCATAATTTACTACTGTTTTGCTTGGATTTCCAAAAAAAAGTTATCATTATTGTCCAAACGTTAACTTTAAAAGTCCGTGCAGTCTTTTCAATGTGTACAGAATTTCTAGAAATCTCATAATTTACTACTCAAGTTTTGCTTGGATTTCCAAAAAAAAGTTAACATTATTGTCCAAGCGTTAAAACACTTTAAGTCCGTGGAGTATGTCTTTCCAATGTGTACAGAATTTCTAGAAATCTCATAATTTACTACTGACTGTTTTGCTTGGATTTCAAAATAAAGTTATCATTATTGTCCAAACGTTAAAACACTTTAGAAGTCCGTGGAGTCTTTTCAATATGTACAGAAGTTCTAGAAATCTCATAATTTACTACTGTTTTGCTTGGATTTCCAAAAAAAAAAGTTATCATTATTGTCCAAACGTTAAAACACTTTAAAAGTCCGTGGAGTCTTTTCAATGTGTACAGAAGTTCTAGAAATCTCATAATTTACTACTGTTTTGCTTGGATTTCCAAAAAAAAAGTTATCATTATTGTCCAAACGTTAAAACACTTTAAAAGTCTGTGGAGTCTTTTCAATGTGTACAGAAGTTCTAGAAATCAAGCTTAAGCATACTTGGACACAGTATTAATTTTCACACTTTCTGACAATGCTAAACAACTTTTAGTTCTTCGCGGCAGTTTGGTTTGTTCGAATGACATTAACTGTGAAATTATGTTAGCCGCGCAAAACTACATCACAGAAACAAAACGCTTCTAGTTGTACGTGTCCTGCTATGCTTTCCTTCTCTTCTGGGGTGGGAGGTTTGACTCATGCTATCCATAGTTTTACAAATGTCTTAGTTGTAAACGCCCTTTTTTCCATTGTAAAAGTGGCTGCGAGGATATAAGTTGTACCTAACTTTAGTTCGCAGTCACTTAGTCCATGTCCTTTTATTTGTATTCATCACTGTGCTTCTGAATAAAAACAATCAAGTTCCCACGACCACGGGAGGGACCTTTCTCCACGGGTCCCTCGGCGTCTGACTCCGCAGTACCCGCGTGTTCTCCTCGAACGCTTTCCGCACCTTGGACCGGAAGGCGTCCATCTTGGACGTCTTGGACAGCGTCACCAGCCACCGCTTCTCCTGGTCGATCAGCTTCTCGAAGATGACGTCGATGTTGTTGCAGCTTTTGACGGAACCTTCCACAAACCTGCAGTTCCAGAGACGGGCCAGCTGGAAGCCCTGGTCGACGGAAACTTGGCGCGTTTTCTCCGACTCTGTGTCGAACTTGTTGCCGACGATGATGATCGGCGTGTTGTGCACCCCTCCCCCGACAGCAGAGATAGAATCCATGATATCTGTAAAGAAGAAAAACAACTGAAAATGTAACATTTGCAAAGCAAATGCATAATGTTTACCTTCGCATATGGTGTGCTCTGTTAATTCTTACGCAAACACATTCATAGTATATGCTCAGACAGGAGTCTAAATCCCTCCTGCTATAAAATTGCAACATGATGTAACCCAACACTAGTTACCATGGTGACAGATGTCTGGTTCAGGTCATTGACCTCACTGGTTTGGAGAAGAAGATTAGAAGAAGAGGAAACAGAGCAAAAACAATATTTCTTCCTTGGGTAAACATAACAACTTATTGTTTGGGGGTACGAAAGTATTGTTTCGGCTGGGTTTTCTGTGGGTTTGTGTGTATGTTTGTGGGTTTGTGTATAAGTTGACAGCACGTAGATGTGAGGAAGATTATGATAGGCAGATTGACAGGTTAAAAGGTCAGACACAGGAAATGGGGTCCCAGCGATATTAGAGAGCCGTCGGAAACTACGGAGCTTAAGTCAACGATTCCACCCAAAAAGCCATCCTGCCACACCTTAACACTTAATGATGTTTACATGCAACAGAGATAGTTTTACATTTACGCAACCCTTTTCACGATTCATTAAGCTTACGTTTCACCCTAAACATACCCCCTTTGTCTGTGGACACTACAGGGTAGATAACATTTCTGTTTAATCTCCAATCAGATATTGGGGGAAGCTGATACTGTTACTTTTTTCGTGCGACGATTTGAGACAGAAACATACATTTTGGAAAACGTTAAGGATTTGGCCTCTCCAACATCTGCTTGAAGATTAATTTCTGTTTACTTTGAGTTTGAAATGACGCAGATGAGTGCAGTAGTGTCGTATAGTACTGAGCTAGGCAAACAGTAACCGGTAAACGTCAGTTATAAGCCCCGGTCACTGTGTTACAGAGATATCGTATGACGTACCTATTGTACATATAAGGCTATGTTGATTTGATTATATGGATGACATCCGCGCGCGCATGAATTTTCGGCCGTTTCCAAAACCATACTGTAAATCGTACAAAACAGTTGGAAAGTGAGCAAAAATTTATGCCGTAAGTTGCAAAAAAAATTATACCACTGTCATAGAATGCCAAAATCAAACAAAAAAATACGAAAATGTAAAGAAATGAATTTGAAGAGTAGATTATTCGCCGAACCGTACTCTGTGTCATTTCTTCAACCTTTATGACCACGTAGATTTCATAATGAAAGCAACTTTTTTTGCCAAACATTTTTTTATTTGCACGCTCTCATCAGTTTTGGGGTTCCCAGAGGATGTCATCCATATAATCAAATCAACATGGCCTAAAGGATTTTCAGCAACGATTGTGTGGCCTCGCGTCAAATATTTGAGAGAAAAACAGGTATAATAGTTTGACTGAAAATTATACTATTTCACCTGTGTCTTCTCAAATCTACGTGAGACATATATCGTCGAGGAAAAAAAACATCGTAGGTGGCCGGTACGACGTAAGTGACGTGGCTTTAGAAATAACGCTTGGCCCATATGTTTTTCCTGGAAATTTACGATCAAAATACTAAGTGTCTTAGACAATCTGGGTTAAGTTTCCGCTCAATTTCTAATTTTATAACCCCTTGTAAAGGCTTTTAGCCACCTCAAATACTCTAAGCGGACCGCAATATCGTTGCTCCACTTTGAGGCACAATCTCTAGCCTCCATAGCATGCCACAAACAGGGGGTTTGGGGGTCTTCAGGGTCTTTGGGGGCTTTTATGTGTTATTTTCTGATTGCATATAGACAACATGTAGCCGGCCTGGTTGAATTACCCCCGTTTTAGAACTGGGCTAATCAGAAAACAGCCGAAGACCACCAAACCACCAGTTCTATAAGCCTGCTACGGAGGGTAACTAATTATAAGTGTTTCAAACAATCTAGGTTAAGTTTCCGCTCAATTCCTAATTTTATAACCCCTTGTAAAGGCTTTTAGCCACCTCAAATGCTCTAAGCGGGGCGCTAGATCCTCAGAGTTGCTCCACTTTGAGGCGCAATCTCGGTATTTACATACTTCTGAAGCCCTTATCGGCGACTTTTGTTCAACATGAGCGTTTTATGTTCACCACTCTGTATCCAGTAGCGGCGAGACGGTCCGCAAACAGTTAAAGAGCGGCGAAATAAATCAAGCAAATACAGCTGGATTTTTAGGCTATTTCTGGCACACATACAGGTACGCTAGAACCATCTTTGGAATTCGACTAAGCCCGGGGTATATGCTTACGTTTGGACAAGTCTTTGGGTGTATATACATGTATATCCCTCGATCACGAGATATCAGAATTGTTAGGTTTTCAGTTTAGGCTACAGCAAGTAATTTTTATGGATGACATTAGTACGCACATAATTTTTTTGAAAAAAGGAAAAGAAATGTTGTTGCCCTCTGACAGTGTTCAACATGCCGAAAATGGGCAAAATGACATTTCTTGCCATGCCGGAAGGTGAATGGGATATGAAGAGGGGGACAAGACTCTGATTTATGTTTTGTCATTTTTTACATTGATGTAGTGATGTATTTCATTCCTTTTATATGTTCCCACTGATTCAAAATCATTTGTAAAATGATTGAAAACTCTTATTTTTCAAAGTTGTTTCAGTGACAAATGGATGTTGTAATAGTTGGCAGTAAATTTAGCACTATATAGGTATAATTTCTTGTTTAACAAGGTTTGTGATGTCTTAGTTTGAAACTGTAGGAATCTTGTTTTTGACCAGCCTTGTTTTTCCGGAATTCCCTATCGCATTAGATTTGGAGCCTGCGGGGGATGCCATCCATAAAATCTACTTGCTCTTGCCTTACAGTCGACCACTTACTCTACCACCTGGCCGATGTGACCACTTTTTTTGCGGAGATTTTTACAATTGACGTCGACACAATTACAAACATAAAGAATCCTGTGCTGTATAATACTTAGTAACCATCTGTCATCGGTCCCCAGATGCAGGAGTCTAGATCAGACAGTTTTAAGGGATTTTAATAGGTATTAAAGGCCACACTAATTCAATTTGTTGGTTCTCAGATTTCTTCAGGAAAAATTAGAAGCGACAGGGCGAAAAAAAATAAATAAAAACAGACCAAGGCAAACTACGATAGCCCCAAATAGCATGATACGAGCCATAAGGTCAACATACTAGGCTAGTTTGTAATTAAAACATTAAATTCCAAACCTTTGATCCAACCACTGTATTGAAAGATGGAAAAACTGTAACACCTCTGTCTCTGAAGAGAAGGGACTTCCTTCAACTGTTTCGGCCAGAATAGGGGCATTTTGGAGTTGATTCTGAGGGTGAAGTGTTTGTTTGTTTTTTTTTGCATATGAAGGGGCGAATCTGAGAACCAACAAATTAGATTGGTTGGTGGGGATCAGGACAAAAAAAAACCCGGCCATATATAAAAAGGTAACGATCATTCCCCACAACCTCTGCTTGGAGAGTAGTGACCTAATAAGTGCAGGGTTAACTTTCTGGTCGCAGGCGTCTCAAGGACGTCCAGTGATTGATTAATCGCTTTCCTGTCTTCCCTCCGGCGTAATGACGTCTAAGATTCAGTAGTTTTATCCAGGTCGACATCACATCTACCAAGTAGGTTCCCTTTTCTAACTTCCTTGTACCTTAGCCTCCGTAGCAGGCTTATAGAACTGGGGGCCGGGTTTGGTGGTCTTCGGCTGTTTTCTGATTAGTCCAGTTCTAAAAACGGGGATAATTCAACCAGGCCGGCTATGTTGTCTATATGTAATCAGAGAATAGCACATAAAAGCTTCTAAAGACCGGGTCACCCTGAATCACCTCAAAGGCAAAACCCCCAGGTTTTGGCATGCTATGGAAGCTACTTGTATCTATGTAAGAAACAGAGGCGAGCAGCAGAAACAGATAAAAACTCTCCTGGTCCAAGGCCGGGGTTCGAACCCACGGCCCCCAGCTTACAATCCGACCCTCCTACTGAATCAGCTAAAGGTCTAGACCCATCGGTCCTATAACCCCCCCATGTTACACTACTCAGTCAGTCTCGACGCTCCTAATTCAGCGTAACTCTCCCAAGACCCTCCGTGGCGGCTTCAGTGACATTCTTAGACACCAAAATATTTGCCCAACAAGTGCAACTGTTGCCATACAGATTACTCATGTGTGGTAAGTTTATGCCTGAAGTAGAAAGCACCAGCTGTGAACGGGAGTTAAGTGTGTGGGGGCGAATTCTCGGGCCATATCTTCACAGAAACGACAATTAAAGGCGATTTAAGGGAAGCAAAACTGGAAATATTCTGAATAAGGCAATCTTTGTGATATTGACACACACTGCTTCACATTACATCATTTAAATCAGCATTTCATACTTCGGGCATTTAAAACTGCAAAAACAAGCCCAAGACGAGTGTTTTATTTTCTGGGCGGTACCCTAAAAATCACCCCGGGGCAATTTTTCATCAGAAAGTTTTGGGAATGTTTGCTCCATGAGAGTCAATATACATTCAGGGATAGTGTCGTTTCAACTCACTAGATAAATGACTAGAATATTGGCATGGAAAAATCAGGTTTTTCAGACCCTAAAAACTGCACTAGATGCCTTTAAGCGACAATCTTCTCATAAGATGTAGTAGAAACATGTGTTTTGAAAACACTTACTTCAAAACAAATAGCTAGTGCACTCAGGCGTAAATGTGCCTGTTTAAAATATGCTTTCCAAAACATTTCGCTAAACTGGCCCAAATTATTCACAGACAAAGATCTACACGCAAGACAGCCTTTTTATAGCTAAGACAGCTTAAGTTTCGCAGGACACATGCACGACTATTCTTGCAAGAATGTCCTCATCAGTTTTCAATCGTACGACAATCGCACGAAGTTTTTGACCACGCACACACACACACACACACACACACACACACACATATATATATATATATATAGTGTCAAAGATTCAATATCACATACAAAAATAGACATTTATTTATCTTAGCCTGGTGTCCAGTCTATCCTTGTTTGAGTGGGCTCTCGTTAGGCCTTAGACGATCATGAACAGCTGGAGTTTTACTCTCGTAAGAGTTTTGCACGGCCTTGGGGTTTGATTTATGCCTATACAAACCCTACCGGGGAGACTAGTTAAACTGGGCGGTGGGGATCGTCTACCGGGCCCGTGAAGAGACTAACCAAACCACGATACGGACTACGGACTCCGGGACTATGTATTTACATTTGTATTTATGCCTATACAAACCCTACCGGGGAGCCTAGTTGAACTGGGCGGTGATCGTCTAGCTACAGGCCCGTGGAGAGACTACCCAAACCACGAGACTATATATTTACCTGTGACACGTATGAATGACTTGAGGCTGGTGGCGGAGTAGACCAGTACCAGCGCGTGTGCCTGGGAGATCTCCAGCCGCCTGAGGGAGGGGAAGGTGTGCGTGCCGCCCGTGTCCACGATCTCCATCCGGCTGCGGCGCCCGTCCATGTACAGCGGGTGCAGGTAGATGTCGTCCAGCGTCGGCCTCAGGTTCTCCTCGAACGAGCCCATGACGAACCGGCGGATGAGAGACGACTTCCCCACGCCGCCGTCCCCGAGAACGACCACGCGGTACCCCGAGGGCTGGGCCGCCGCCTTCTGGGCCTGCTTCTTCCTCTTCTCCTCCTCGGACTCTGACGCCATTTACCCCGTATACACGCCTCCGTCTAGTCTCAGCGTACAGTCAAACTAGAAGTCACACTCTCAAGTCACGCACCAGTTCCTAGACTCCGGTTTGGGTCAATGTACAGACCACCTGTTTGGCGACTTTGTAAGCCTACTACTAACACAGTCACACCGATTCACACGTAAACAATGGCCGGAAGATCGTGCAGAAAAACCGGTTCTTCCAGTGACGACAGCCGAGCTAGTCGAAACAGTCCTACAGGTCTACTAGTGCTAGTATTCCGTGCTGGCGGACGCCCCCGCGACCCGGTTTGGTGTTCTCACATGCCCAAATGGCCGACTAATAACAAGTGGCTATGATGACAGTGCTGTGTATACAGTAATACACGTCAGTGTAACGTTAGACCTGTGCATGTATCCAGCTGCTCGGGCGACGTGTGACGTAGTCTGCCGTGCAAACTGTTGTATCGATGTCTTAACATGTGTGTACAGTACCGCCACTGGGCCGGAACTTGTCTATTTTGTGCGCGCGTAGCGACCAGTCAAGCCTAGCCTCCACCAGGCCTTTCTATAGAAATAGTATAATATAGGGGAATATCGTAGAATTCGACAAAAAAGAGAGTAAAATTGGCCAAGGGAGTCCGGCAGCGGGGAGGTAGTTTCTTTGCCTGTTTGGCCAGTCAAACCTACAAGGCGGCCAAACTCCCTTGGCAAATATTCTCCTATACTAGTATATAGCCAGCGTAGTTAGTCTGGTATAGAGACTAAGTCAAGCCCAGCCTTCGTTTGCGTCCGTGAGTGCGTATATATGAGTGTATTGATTTTAAAAAGGGCAGGTATTTCTACTGTCGCAATAGATGAATCCGGACCACATTGTGAACCTGTGTTGACCGAGAAAACAGCAAAAAGGTCGAATGTGTTCCACTGGCATTTCTTATAGCTGCATATTGCGTTAATTTATAGTTTTCATGATAAGGCCACAGCAAGTAATTTTTATGGATGACATCAACGCGCGCATTGATTTTCGCTGATTTTGGAAAAAAAAAACACAAGAAATTTTCTTGCCTTCTGACAGTGGTCAACATGCCGAAAATGGGAAAAGATGTCTGTTGCCATGCCGGAAGGTGGATGGCAGATAAACATGAAGAGAGGAGACAAGAAAAGGCTCTGATTTTAATATTTTGTTTGTTCTTACTTTGATGCAGTGATATGTGATGTTGGCTGTGTGTATGTGATGTTCCCACTGAATCAAAACCATTTGTACAATGATTGAGTCAAAATTTTAAAATGTAGGAACCTTGTTTTTTTGGCCCACCTTGTTTTTTTTCGCCCGCTCGTATTAGATTTGGAGTCTGCGGATGTCATCCCCAAAATTAACTTGTTGTGGCCTTAGTTCGAGAACAGATGAAATGTGACCAGACAACTTCTGTCATGTAGAATCAGAATATTTTTTTAATAAGTAGCACTTCAGACACATTACAAAAGAATGCACTGTAACAGTGCATGTATATGGCTCGAAATACCAACTGCATAATTATGCAGGTTAGTGCAGGTAAAATTAAAGCTGTGCATGTCTTGATGATGTCTATCTGCACTGGTCCAGGTACTGGGTTTATATACAAATTTAGGTGTATTGACTGTTTCCACCTTTGAAGAATAAAAGAAATAATGGCAATGGTTTCTGATTCATACTTCTTAAGTTCTGAGTAGTGCAGGTAAAATTTATCTGGTACACAGGTAATTTTCAAAGCTACCTGAACCAGTCCTGGTATGCAAATAAAAGTATTTTGAGCCCCAGAAATGCAAATATTCAGAGACACGCAGTCACTCTCTCTCTCATTGGTCGAGCCGTAATTGCGCCTCTCTCATTGGATGATCTGCTAATTGTGATGGACAGCCAGGATTAGTCTATCCCAATCATCATTTCCATGATATTTTGATACAAGTACATTGTATTACTGTAACAGTGGTTACATTCATGCCATCATCAAAAAGATTTTCTTTTATAAGGCCACAGCAAGTAATTTTTATGGATGTCATCAATGCGCACATTAATTTTTGCCTGATTTTGGAAAAAAAAAAGAAATTTTGTTGCCTTCTGACAGTGGTCAACATGCCGAAAATGGGCAAATAAAGATGTCTGTTGCCATGCCGGAAGGTGGATTTTTTTTTTGGCCCACCTTGTTTTTTTTCCAGCTCGCATTAGATTTGGAGTCTGCGGAGGATGTCATCCATAAAATTTACTTGCTATGGTTTAATTTATAGTCACTGGCTATTTTACATTACTTCCTTGATTTTAAGGCAGTGATAACTTTTAATTACTCATAGTATTTGTATGCAATTAATACTCTTATTAACTGTGAAAAGCCTTCAGAGCCTGGATACCATCCCCCCTGACATGACGATGGTTTCTCCCGTGATGTAGGCAGCGTCGTCTGAACACAGGAAGGACACAGGACCAGCACAGTCCTCAGGCTGTCCCAACCTGTTCAGCAAACAAAAAATAAGACATTTCAGACTTTCAGGAAGTATAGATTTTGCATACAGTTGTATGACTATTTTGCTATTAGGCCACACCAACTAAATTTTATGGATGACGTCCTTTGGTGACCCTAAATCTAACGCAAAAGGGCGAGAAAAAAACAAGAAGGGCCCTAGAAACAAGATGCCTAGATTAGAAATATACTAAGAGACAACAAATGTTAGGACACAAATTGAATGAGTTGACACAGTGTAACAAGCAAGAAGTATTTTATTCATCATCAAAACAGCAATAAATCAGGTGGAACAGCAGTTGTCGTCCTGTCCTGTTCTCGCGTTACGGGTTTCACGTCAATCTGACGATTTGCGGCACTGTCGTGACTCTTTGATCATATAGTTACAGGAAGTGGAATTTCTTGTTTTTTCTAGGAACAGGCCAAAATCAATGCGCACGCGGACGTAATCCATCCCAGAGTCAATGATAGAGTGATGATAAATGTTAGAGTTACAACTGTATAATTTGCATACCTGCTTAGAGGGATCTGTAAGAGTTGCTCCTTCAGTGGACCTTCATTCTTCCAGATCTGAAAATTAACAAAAGGTCCTTTTCACCACTTCTGTGATGTCACACTATCATCCTTGAGAAAGACTGGAGTTGTACAGTTGAAAATTTTGGTAATTTCTTGTGTTAGAAATTACAATCCAATCTTGCTTTATAATAACTTCTACCAACACAGATGAACTTTCAAGACAAAACCTCGAGGGGAGGGCACTCACCGCTTCGCTGAACCTAGTCTGGATGATGCCGGGTGCGATGCCGTTGACCCTGATGTTGAGACGGCCACACTGAGGAGCCATGGCCTTCACCAGACCCAGCAGGGCTGTCTTACTCACCGAGTACGGGCCGAGAAGCTGGCAACAACACACGACAATATTCACATCACACGCTCATATCATCCTCAGATAGCACATATCACTTACAATAATTTATGTACAAGTCTACCTCTAGGTAATTATGGCTTGAAACATATCCTGTAGTTAGATCCTGTAGATAGAGAAATAGCACAGGAACGTAACAATTGCTTCTTCTATTCTTGTTACCAAGTTATTTAACTTAAGTGCATTTGGCCCGTGTAGGGCGTGAACATGCAATAAAGTTCATTGTCATTGTCATTGTTTCCCCTCATGTTTCTTCTTCTTCTCCTCCAGCCATTTCTTTAAAGGGATTCAACATTTTTGGGCTAAATAACATGAAATTTGACATGAAGGTAGAGTGGGCAAATACCCCCAGATGTTTTTTTTTTGTTTTCTGGATATTGAGGCCTTTAAAATTGTTTTCTGTGTTTGTTTTTTTGGCTATTTTCAGGCAAAAACTATGCATTTTGGGATCTGGAGCCCTGGTATTAAATCTGAATGACCTGAAATTCGGTATGGGGATACCTTGGACACATGTCCAAGAAATGTTCCAAATGAAGAAGGCGTTGGAAGATTCCATTGCTGCATGGGGGTATAGACTATTGGGACACTTAACATTTTCAACAGGGGTGATTTAGGAACAATCCATTTCATGCAGGAGGGGGATAGGTCCATTTTTGTACGGGGGACGTGGTGAAGCCATTTGCTCCTAAGCAATGTCGTCCTTTCTTGTTGGTTTTGTTTTTAAAGTGTTTGTTTGTTTGTGTGTGTGTTTGCTTGAGGTGACATACTTACAATGTATGTTTACATGCACTAGACACATCTGGAGACACTGAGAGCATTTAGTTGGGACAAAGATCCAAGAAAGCTATGAGAAAAGGTGATCTCATTCCCTGTCTAAAATCAGTATTCTGCTACTATACTAGTATATGCTTGTTGGGTTGTAGGAGTTAGTGGGAAAACGCTCACTAGACACAATCAGTGAGAAGTTCACAAAAATGAAAGAAAAATCACAAAATATCTAACTCTATATTTCAGGGAGGTGTGAGTTTTGCTCCTCCTACTTACCTCAAAAGGTACATAGCCTCCAATGGATGATACAAATACTACTGACCCTGCCCTGCAAACAGATTACAGTTAATTTAATCAGCAGAAGTACAGCTATGATTGGTGCAGCCTAGTAAGAAGCAAGCCCAAGACATGATACAAACCTCTGTAGCTAACGTTAGGCCACACTGACTTAATTTTATGGATGGCATTCTCTGAAGACCCCCAACCTAGTGCGCACAGGCGATAAAAAAAAATTCCGTCCAAAAATAAAAATGCTACTAAACCACAGGAATACAAAACTGGTATTGTGAAATTGCGGCAGTACATAGCGACGCATACGACAAGCTGGCAAATGCTGGCTTTTTGCGAAATTTGTAAATTGGCACTGTAGGTATGTACTGAGTTCTTGAGTCTTGGAGCTTCGGCAGCCTGGGTGCCATCCTCCAGAGTTACCACTGGCTCCGTATTGTCGCTAACTACCATGGACTACCCAGGCCAGAGCCTCGGAGGACGTGTTCTTTTTTTTTTTTGAGAACAGGCGAAAATCAATGAGCGCTGGGATGTCATCCATAAAATTAAGTTGGTGTGGTCTTATCAGAAAACTTCTGTTGTCTGAAAAAATATGTCTGTCAGGTTTGCAGGAGAGACTACAGAGGGAAGCATGTACATGTGCTGGACTTGCTCTTTACCATTGACTAGCAATTATGAGGTTGTTGTGAGGACATACCCACCTCATTTGCTCTATAACCAGCCGTGGAGCCAACAAAAATTATAGATCCTCCCCTGCATGTGAAAATTATTATCATAATTTTTTAAACTGGTTTACTTATTATTTACAACACACATACCATTGCAGCCTTACATGGCCAAATTAGGGCGTGATACATATTAAAATTTATCAAGAATGGTTCAGCACCTCGACAATAAAGGGCAAAACACTATTCTTAAACCTAGATGTTCTGCAGCTAAACTGTGTGAAGTTGTCCTTCTCTGCCATGCAGGCTTTTACATTTAGGAGGTAACCATCTAGAGAAGTTGGGGGATTTAACTTATCAACATTGCAAAGTACACACAGAGGTTATGGCGTCTCAGATACAATGTTTACTTTGTGGCAAAACCATAATCTTTCTTAAGAAAAGTTAAGGTGCTGTTTCAGTGTTCATAATGATCCATGATGACATCTTAGAATGCGATGACTAGAATAATGAGGACCTTTTCTTGTATGAAAACTAACTGAATACCATGAACTATGTAACCATTACAGGGTTACTATCTACGTGAAGTAAAGAAACGGCCAAGCAAAAGTACACCAACCCTCTCTTCTCCATGTGAGGCACCGCTTCCTTGGCCAGGAAAAATGCTGCTTTCACATTTGTGTCAAAGATCTGTTGGCAGGGAAATATTAATCAGAACAATTCGTTCCTTTGTCAAAGAAATATTTTTTTCAGTTTCTTATTTGTTGAAGTGTTAGAACCTACTAGTACATAAAAACTGAATGTAGATAGGGACACATACCTTGTCCCAAGCAGTCTCAGTTGTCTGAAAGAAGGAGAACAATAGAAGTCAGTACTATCAGTATGACATGATAGTACAACACAAAGAAAGGGTTTTCCTTTGGGTGTAATCTCCAAGTAAATCATACGTTTTCTGACTGTATGGTGTACATCAAACATCCTAGCATCAACAGAGCAACTTACGTCCAACATAGGTCCGAATGCAGGGTTGGCTGCAGCATTAGAAACCAGGATGTCCAGACCTCCGTATTTGTCCACTGCCTGCAGAAGAAAAAGTTATCAAGACTTACAGTTAGTTACAAATTATAATTAGAAAGTCTGCAGATACATGTACCTATATACACTATGTACTAATATATACATGTACACTACTGGGTACAATGCCTTCCCCAGTCACTAGTTTAAGACCCTTACATGCTGGATAAGGTTTTTCCTGTCCTCTGTCTTCCCTAGACCCTCAAACTCGGGCAAATGAAAAAAATTCCTGCCAAAAATAAAAATTCTACTAAACCACAGGAATACAAAGCTGGTGTTGTGAATTTGTGGCAGTACATAGCGATGTATGTATGACACATGCTGGCCGTTTCCGGAATTTATGAATCGGCACTGCACGTATGTATATCAGAGTTCTTGAGTCGTGGAGCTTCGGTAGCCTGGGTGCCATCATCCAGAGTTACCACTGACTCTGCATTGTTGCTAACGACCATGGACTACCCAGGTGTAACAGTGGGTATAGGCGCTACCAACTGACCCGGCTGATGGGTCTAGACATTTTAGCTGAGTGGTTAGAGTGTCGGCATGTGGCCTGGTGGGTCGTGGGTTCGAGCCCGGAACCAGGAGTGTCTATCTGTTTCTACTGCTTGCCTCCTGTTTCTTACAGTGGTTCCCACACCGGCCCTGTGAGTTCTGGCAAAGAGTGCCGCTCCAGGGATGTTGAATTCAGAAGATTTGAGGATGAATCTTGAAAAAAAAAGGGAGAGTAGTGTAACAGTGGGGGGTTTATAGGCACTAAAAACTGACCCTGCCGATGGGTCTAGACCTTTTAGCCGAGAGGTTAGAGCGTCGGGATGTGGACTGGTGCCCGGGTTTTTGTCGTGGGTTTGAACCCCGGCCCGGGACCAGGAGTTTCTTTCTGTTTCTGTTTCTGACACAGTCGATAGTATATGTAAGACCCTTACATGCTGGATGAGGTTAGTCCTGTCCTCTGCCTTCCCCACGTGACACACCATCCCCGTGACGTCCAGGTTCTCCCCCTGTAGCTCCTGCAGGGCTCGCTGGACATTCTTCTCCTTACGGCTGCTGATCACCACCTTAGCTCCGTCCTGGCCAAGACGCCGCGCTATCGCCAGGCCTATTCTGTGGACATAAGTGGGTCTTAGTTTGCCTTCTCCACACCAAAATTGAGAAAATCCTCCTCTTTCAAGTTTCAGCCAATAAGCCTCAGTAATCAAGATCTGTAAATAGTCCGCCTCTATTTCAAATGGACTGACCTATAAAAATCTGAACTCTGTCTAATTTTAATCGTCAATGCCGTATACTTTTTTAAAGGTGTATTTCTTTCAAGTTTTTAATATGTAACACTTGTACAATTCAGCCAACACTGGCTGCCACTCAATGTGAATAAAGTATTCATAGTATTCGTATTAAGCATTTTGACTGACACTTCCACATGACCTACTGGTCATTAGCAACTACAATGTATACTACAGGGTTCAGAGGGGGCTGGGCAAATGGACAGGTAACATGCCAGGGGAATTAGTCCGCTAAAGGAAAATAGCTAGCTCAGTTGTATTAAATATCATTTAGCAGAAAAACTTCCCTGCAATATCTTTTAGCAGACAAACTTCCGTGGGGTCATGTGGCGTAGCGGCAGAGTGCTCGACTTGGAACCAAGAGGTCCCGGGTTCAAATCCTGCTACCATGCTACCGATCATGTGCCCTTGGGAGAGACACTTTACACGACTTTCCTCACTTCGTTCAGGTGAAAATGAGTATTGTAATTGTATACCATAATATAAGTTGAAAAAAAATTGAGTGTGCCATCACTACGTCTTGTGATTACATGTTGGAATATAATAAAATAAAATAAAAACTTCCCTGGTATGTTATCTGTCTACTTAGCCAGTTTTTACTCTTTCCATTGCTGCCACTGCTGCCTCTAAACTAATACTAGTGTTACATGTAACATGTAACGAAGCTCCCAGGGTCTGGTGCATAATACTAGTAGTAGTGACCACAACATACGAAGAGTGACTCTGGTCCTCACTAGCACATCAAGTACTAGTAAATTCAGTTTCAAGAGACCTGAGTCGTTCAACTCGTAAAATCTAATACCTGAGAATTCACAACAAACTTGTGTAAGTTGAACCATGGTTGAACTGTAACCACAGTGCAACTTGTCTACGGTGTTGTGATCTTACCCGTCAGTTGAAGCGGTGACCACCGCCACCTTCCCCGCCAGTTTTCCCCCGCTTGCCGCCCGGCTTGCCATCTTCAGACACTGCTGTCCTACAGCTAGGAAGCGACTTTTTATAGTAAAACTCATGATGTGACCTTTTTACCGCTAGGACGACGGACTTTGCTCCCAGCTGCCTGAGTTTCAGCTCACCTTTGCCCGCGAAGGTGAAAGGTTAACCTGCGCTGGTGGAGCCGAAGGAACACTTACCCCACCTAGCGAAATCAGATGGAACTGCACACATGTATAACAGGTGGTTCTTCGTTTTGGTCTCGCTGAAAAGTTTCTTTTACAAAGTTGATACTAACATGTATATGAATCAAAAGTTTATTGTTGCAGATTAGTAAGGTATTTAGAAAACTAAGGACATTGTTTAAAGTAAGAGCAAATGTAGCATATTTCACTCCATCTCCCTCCCCAAACAAAAATGGAAGATTCCAAATAAATCATATAGCATACAAGGAAACAAGGACAAGCACTTTGAATCTAGACAGATTTATTTGCAAAAATGACACTTGGCAACTTGACATACTATAGTATGGAGTGAAATAAAAATAGCACAAAGCAAATTTTAAAAACCTTCCATACTCAGAAATTCAACTGAATTATGACAGGTAATTACACTTACAGACAGACTTACAGATACGTTAAATTGTCACTTCAAGGTAACGTTATGTAATGATAACGCATTGTGTCTAGTACATTTGTACTACTATTCAAGCTTATTTCATATAGCAGTACAACCAATGAGAAACAAGCAACTAACTAATCTACCAACGAGAGAATGGCTGCAAATACGTCAAATATTGGCATATTTATTTACAAAGGTACACCTGCGCCCTTCTTACTCAAAGGTACACCTGCGCCCTTCTTACCCGGTTACGCATCGGTACCTGCAATCTTAACTATAGTCTTTTTTATCGTGCTTTGATTCTTAGCCCTTCATGTATTTGTGGGTATCCCTGCGAATCCATTTCTCATTTTATATTACACTGCCCTTTGTTTACTCAGTTAAGAGCTGATTTTCTTAACAATCTCTCTGATTTAATCGGTCATTTGATTGATTTAGATGCCCTTTCAGAAAGTGCCCGGCTCCATCTTGTACTTAGGGGATCGTTTGCGATACCTTCTGAGTACAATGAAAAAATTATGTTACTTACTCAAGATTTTATAAGCGGCACTAAACGTTTTTTTGTTACATAGTATACTCTGTTTTGTTTGATCATATAACACTTCTCTTTAGATATATTACTGTATGTATGGGGTCTAGTTTCTCAGCGCACTACTTGTATGACCATTGTATTTATGTTAAATGTTAAGTAGGGCTGTAAAATAAGTTGTATAACTTGAGTTCAGCCCCACTTCGTCCTTGTCTTGTATTGTTTCATTCAATAAAAAAAAAATATTGGCATATTAATCTTTTGATTCTAAATGTTGATTTCAAACTTTTGGTCGGTGTGGCTATATGATCGGTACATATGAAAGGCAAGATTGTGCGGCATTAAGGGTCAGAGTTCATCCTTGGGATCTTGGTCTTCTGTTGCGTCATCGGCGGCCATCTCGGGAAGAATTTTGTTCCATAACGTCACCTGGCGCCTGCGCAGACCGACGTCGGCGGATGACGTCACGTCCAGTTTGAGGTAGGCGGTGACGTCAGGCGTGTAGGCTGGCCAGTTGGGCAGGTCACGTGGTTCTGGGGCACCGGCCGGGTTCGAGGGGTCCCTAAAGGTGTAACAACAATTACATTTGGTTGGACGCTACTCAGTACAGAAGAAAAGAAATCAAGGATTTTTAAATGCAGTAACTTCAGGACCTTCCTGTCAATCTATGGTTACAATATTTCCCCCTCGGATCTCTTAATGCCACTCTTCTGCATGTAAAATACAAACAAATGCACAAGCGCGCGCGCACACACACACACACACACACACACACGCACGCACGCACGCACAAATACACACACACGCACGCACGCACGCACAGACACACACACACACACACACACACAAACACACACGCACACACACAAACACACACACACACACACACACACACACACAAACATACATACACACACACACACACACACAGACACACACACACACACACACACAGACACACTTACATACACATAGCATAACCTAGGTCTGTATACAGGGGTAACATTAAATAACTAGAAAGGTAACATAGGCGAACTAGATGCTTACCTTCCACATTCATGTCAGACGTGTACAGGAGTCTAAATCCCTCCTGCTATAAAATTGCAACATGGTGTAACCCAACATCAGTTACCATGGTGACAGACGTCTGGTTTAGGCCATTGACCTTATTGGTTTGGAGAAGAAGAAGAGGAAACGGAGCAAAAACAAATTGAATATGTTTTCCTTCGGTAACCACCCCGTCTTACCCCGTGCGCACGAAGTTTCCCCAGTACGCCATCATGTCCAGACTCAGCCCCGCCTCCTCCTCCGTGAAGCTCAGCTCGTTCCCGGAGTTGTTTGGATCAGAGAACGTCATGAACGGAACACCGAAAAGGAGGGGCAGCTCGTCCCCATGCTCCGCGCCGGAAGACTTCGCGCCCCATCGGTGGAAGGACAGGCGGTGTCGGAACTCGTACAGGTAGACATTTGCACCAGCGGCTATGTCAATAATAATAATTACAACAAAAACAAAGATAACAAAGATGATATCCAGCATTTCTCAGTAGTAAAATAACACTGCTTTACACATGTTAACGTTAGATACTAGTACACTAGAGCGCCCTATCCACGGTGCTTCGTACCATATGGTGCCTAAAACGTAGTCTCCAATAGACTCCTTTTGCAGGCTGATAAATAGTAGAAATTGGCTTAAAAGGGAATATCTTTGGCCACAGGAGATGGCCACCTGTGCAGGCAAACTGGAGATTCTATGGCGACCATGTCCTCTGTCCAAAGATTTCCCAAAACCCTTTTAGGACAATTTCTACTTTTTTATTAGCCTGCAAAAGGAGTCTGGTGGAGAGACTACAATACCTAAAACCTGGAGGAGCTTTCATCAACGTTAACAGGTCTGTTGATGAAAGCTCCTTGCTAAAACGGTGCCATCAAACCTGGTGTAATTACCTGCCATTCTGTCGGCCATGTCTGCTGTGGGCGCCATGAACAGTGTGTCCGACTGAAGGTCGGTGAAAACCTTCTCCACCTCCCGCGGGTCACGTGACAACCCCGACAGGTACTCCTTCTTCAACACCTCGTGCATTTCCGCCAGGCGCTTTGCACCCTGGGTAAGGTGGTCAGAAATCGTATGTACACAGTCAAATATATATTCTAAGAAGAACAAGGTTGCCCCGTTGTATTGTGATTACTAAGCCAACAGCAAGTGTTTTTTGGCGACATCTCAGGGACGAGCCTGATGGTACAGCATTGTGTGCAGTTTGCAAGAATTCTAGGAATTGTACAGGCCATTTTGTCTATAGAAATTAGAATGTCCACAGGCATGTCTCTGACGCACACCTATTCCCGGCAACTTCCTGGAAACCATTGAGAAGACCTCTCTGCCTGGATGGCCCTACTTTCTGTGACCCCGGGGCTCGTTCACTATGCAATATTGTGACCCCGGGGCTCGTTCACTATGCAATATTGTGACTCCGGGGCTCGTTCACTATGCAATATTGCAGCAGTCCCTGTCCTTGGTGCTGAATGACATTCACATGCAGATTATTGTACTTCAAAGATGACAGATTGGGCAAACTTTTTGTTGATAATGAGCAGCGTAAATCGTGACTTACGCCGTAGAGGATGTTTGCATAACCGACCAGGATGGTGGTGGCCTCCTTGAGAGACTTTCCCTTCCCGAATTCGGTAGACATCATGCTGGGCAGCACGTGTCCGAACTCCGCACTGTTCACGCCTAGCAGGTAGTCTACCTACAGTGCAACAAGGTCGTGGTTTATGATGTAGCAGACGTACACTTATCCCACCTAGCGAAATTATATAAAACTGCACACACAACAGGTGGGATTGTATGTATGTGTGTAGTTTAATAGGTAATTAGGCCACAGCAAGTAAATGCCAATATCTAATACGATAGGGCGAAATAAACTAGGGGATAAAAAAAACAAGGTTTCTACATATTCAAACCTATATTGTGCTATCTAAATTTTACGTATACTGCCAACTACAATATCCATTTTTCATTGAAAAATAAAGTTTTCAATCACTGTACAAATTCTTTTTCTCCAAAATCAGGCAAAAATTAACGCGCGCTAATGTCATCCATACAAATTACTTGCGGTGGCCTTATACCATTATATTATGTACCCAGATCACTTTGTGCAGGCTCCAGTTACTGGTCATTATGTCTCCATATTCACCGGTGATTATTCTTCAATTTTAGGGAACATAACCCTTAACGTTGGAAGGTACTGATTTTTGGCGACGCCTCTTGGGTGGAGCCTTTTAGTACATTACGCGTCCAGTCCAAGGATTCTAGGAATTTCCTCTTGTCAGAGTATATGCGCATGCCAGGTAGAGCTGTTACCTTTGTAAACCCCCCTTTCTTCAGCAGATTTCTCGGCGAGTCCGTTAGGAACGTCCCGTCAGTGCTCGGCAGACAACGGGCCAAAATCTCGCCTTTCCGACTTGTCACGAAGTCGTCCGACTCCTTTGAACGTAGACATTCTAGTATTTGTTCGGTTTTCTTCGCGTGTCTCTTGCACCCGACAGCCTTTGCCTGGGATCTGCAAAAAAGATTTTCATGTACGAGTATAAGATATGAATATCATACTTTGGGTAGTACAAATCGTAACAAGACTGGCAATGAAAACATACATTGCCATGGCAATGTTGGTTGCTGTTAGGGTTATTGTTTGCATGGTACTGCCATGACTTCATGATTTTGGTACCTAGACAGATACTGTGCACTCCCCCCTTGAGTTTATAGGGAACGGGCCCCGGGGTCACAGAAAGTAGGGTCATCCGGGGCACAGAGGTCTTTGCAAGGGTTTCCAGGAATGTGGGCATAGATGTGGGTCAGAGACATGCCTGTGGACATTCCATTTCTGTGGACAAAATGCCTGAACGATTCCTAGAATTCTTGCAAATTGCACACAATACTTTACCACTAGGCTCCTCCCTGAGACGTCACCAAAATGGGGTGGCGGACAAAGCTAATCTTAAAAATTGCAGAAACTTCACGCGAAAACAGACAGAGAGACGTGTAGAATGACTTTTTTGGTGAATAATGATATCTACTCACACGAACTCGTTGTGCGGCTTGACGTACTCGGCGTGCGGGAAGGCTGTTGCCACCCCGCTGTGAGAGATGGCCCGGCGGAATAGTCCACTGCTGACCGGGGACAGGAGGTGGTAGGACACGCTCACCCCTCCCCCGAACTGCCCGGCAATCGTCACAGACTCCGGGTCTCCCCCGAACGACTGGATGTTGTCGCGAACCTACTTCAGGGCCTCCACCTGAGGGCACATCGGTAGACTTATATGCTACAGTCAAGATCGCAATTTCCAAACCGGGGACGGACAGGGCAGTTTGTGGGAACGAAAAGTATGATATACTGTAAAATGCATTTTCCCACTGGCTTCCATCAGGCAAAGGACATGCATTCTTGTCAACAAGTTGATAAATTTACCCTACTCACCCTACTAACTGCCATATCTTTGATATTGTGTTTAACTATATCCACCACTCTGGAAGATTTGACCAATCTCATTAATGTTATGCTATAGGTATTGGTGCGCCAGCCACTTTCATTTTATGTTTATGTTATACTTTATGTCATCTTTATGTTTACTTTTTGTATTATGTTTTATGAGCAGCGGATTCACATAAGCACAACAAGTGCTTCCTATACAATGCTCAAAAATCCATGTGAATGAAATAAAACAAAGGACATGCATTCAGCAAGAAATGAAATAGAGAGAAGAGATAGCATTTTCTTGGACCTTTGACCTAACTTCCTGCAAGTATCCCCGACTTGACTAGAATATTAATTTGAAAATAACAACAGAAACACAATCAGCAATCAAACAGAAAAACAAACTGCGAAAACAAACACCCTATAGCTAGTCAAAGACCATAATCATAATCTTAAATTAACAATAATTTCATATCGCTAATACATGGAAAACGCCTTACCTGATCTAGAAGACCGTAGTTCCCGGGGGCATGGTCGTCCCCAGTGCTGAGGAAGCCGAACGCACCGAGCCGGTAGTTGACGGTGACCACCACCAGGTCCTGATGGGCGGACAGGGCGGTGCCGGGGTACAGGGCCCCCGTACCGAACGACAGACCGCCGCCGTGGAACCAGACCAGCACCTGAGGAGAAATCAGAGATTTCAAACTTCCGGGAAGTACATTAGATATAGTTAGCGTTCAAGAATAACATCATTGAATGCATTTTTATTCAATACGATTTTAAGACGAAATTCTTAAATGCTTCTGCGCCATAGGTTATGTTTCTGTTGCGACCACGTCCTTGAACCCAGAGCATTTTGTAAAGGTAAGCGTAAAAGTATGTATTCTATTTACGTCGTATTTAAGCGCACTGAAAGGTGACGGAAAGGCGTTATTTGCCTTTCAGTGGCCTTTACGAAGTCGTTAAGTCTAATGAAATATGTTCCCACCTTTAATAATACTTAACATATTGCGGACGTTTGCTTAAATATCTGTTTTCTTGCTGTGGGCCCGTCGATCAAGTAAAACCCAATCTTCACCCACCCACTTCGGAACCGAAACATACAAACCTAGCATTAGGGCCACTCAAAGCAATACTTTCGTCCCGGAAGAAAGAAAGAAAGAAAGAAAGAAAGAAAGAAAGAAAGAAAGAAAGAAAGAAAGAAAGAAAGAAAGAAAGAAAGAAACAAACAAACAAACAAACAACCACTCCTCTATCTTACCGGAAGGCCAGTTTCCTTTGTTCCTAAAGCTGTAGTGAACACGTTTAGGTACAGACAGTCTTCGCCCGTCGTGTTGTGAGGCGGTCTAATCGGGTAGAACTTAGAGAACAGCAGGTTGATGTCCTGTGCACAGTGCGGTCCGTACTGGGTAGCGTCTCTCTCATCCGTCCACGACTGGGCCGGGCGTGGGGCCTGGAAACTGTACAATGCATTTCATCATATACTGCATAGATAAGGCCACACCAAGTAAATTTTATGGATGACGTCCTTTAGAGACCCTAAATCTAATGCGAGAGGGCGAAAAAAACCAAGAAGGGCCCTAAAAAACAAGATTCCTAGATTAGAAATATACTAAGAGACGACAAATGTTAGGACACAAATTGAATGAGGTGACACAGTGTAACAAGCAAGAAGTCTTTCATTCATCATCAAAATAGCAATAAATCAGGTGGAACAGCAGTTGTCGCCCTGTACATGTCCTGTTTCTTTCATCACATTTTTGCTCTTTACCCATTTCGCGTTACGGGTTTCACGTCAATCTAACGATTTGCAGCACTGTCGTGACTCTTTGGTCATAGTTACAGGAAGCGGAATTTCTTGTTTTTTTTTTTTTCTAGGCACGGGCCAAAATCAATGCGCGCGCGGACGTCATCCATAAAATTTACTTGGTGTGGCCTAACAAGAAATATCGGAGATTTCAAACTTACTGAACGTGTTGGGTTGGTCGTTAATATACTCGTTTTAGGAGATTATATGATAAACTAACCGGTATTATAAAAATGAATTCTTGCACAACCCAGCAAATGCTCGGGGTCACTTTCAACCATGATCTATCTATAAACGATCCCCTCCGACTCTCTAGCAACCGTAGCCATTCTGGAACCCAAACATGCAACTAACTTCCTAAACCAGCGCCGCCCAAAACAATACTTCCGTCCCGGAAGCAGTAACTTTAATATGTACAAAGTACAACGTATGTGCGTATGGCATCTTCTGCTACAAAATTGTATATAACAACAAACATAATTATATAATAGTACGTATACGTATGGGACAATGACAACAACCAAATGCCACGTGCTGTACACGTGGTGTACAATATGGATATAACACGTAAGTATGGGGAAAAAAGTTAAAACAACACGAACTGCGTTAACATGCCGCAATATGATAACACATAGCCTCGATCGTGTCAATAATATATTTACGTTAGCAAACGATCGAAATCTACTGTTTGTATGTTTTTATTATTGTCTATTCACCGTAGTTCTCCCTCAGGAGGAGTAGCATATGGGACGCCCAGGAAACTGTAGACCGGTGTGTCGGGCAGGTCTGTCGCAAACGTCACCGTACCGCGCACCGGGCCGGTCTTAGTGGTGACGGTGGGAGCGTCAGCTGAGATGTCGGACGTGATAAAATTAATATTTGCTGCATATCATATGTTCTAGATATTTTGTTATAACTGATAAGACAATATGTTTAGCTTAAGAAAATTTTTAGTGGTGACGGTGGGAGCGTCAGCTGAGATGGACATAGAGATAGAATGATTATTCGCCGCTTATCATATTCTAGAGATATTTTATAACTCATAAGACAACACGTTTACCTTCCTAAAATTTTAATCAACCTACTGTGTGTTCAACATTAAGCTGAAGCATTTAAACAAAATACGTAAATAAAATTAAAGTCTACTTATTCTAGTAAATAATCCCACCAATAACCAAAGACAATGTATAAAACTTACCTGCTGAAAGTACATGTAAGTCTGTTATCACTAAAATTATTACCAACGTTGCCTTGAAAACAATGGAACTCATCGTCACAAACTTGATTACACAAATCAAGTCGTCTATGGTGGTAAGAGAAAATAAAAATGTCCGTTTATAATTAGATCCTATAGTAGCTACACATGTACGTAGACTATCCACATATGTGAATGAATGAAATGGTATAGGAGCAAATATGCCGGTCGCGCCCACTCCGTCAAAACGTAGAAATGCATTGAGATACAAATATTCGACATACATGCAATTGCCAATTGCCATTCTCTCATTGGTTAAACTCCTAATTATTAACTGTACCGCCCGAGGATCGGACTTTGTATCCAGTAGGTGCGATCACAGGCAAATGTTTACTTTGGCGCGCCGACAGACAAGCGCCGACCACATGTAGGATTCCCACAACTCACCCTGCGCTGCAAGATTATCCTTATAATATTAATATAAGTTTATTCTTTTTTTTTTATTCATTGACATAGAAAAAGTACAGGACATGGTGGTGCCGCACTCAAGTGGAAAGCACTTATGTTGACGGCACCACTGAAATAAATACATATAATAAAGAAAAAAAAACGCAACTTTAAGACAGGCAAAAACAGTAGATACAGGAAATTCAAGAGCGCAGGTCCGGTTCTCCACCCAATGATAAATGATGGCAAAGAGGGCACAGTACATAGATAACAAAGGGGGAAATTGAAATCTTTTAAAAACGTTCTGATGTGGTGATGAAGTTTTGGGTAAGTGATAATATATAAGTTTATTCTTGATATCATAGATACGTGGAAGCATAGAACATCGATATTTTAGTAGAAATGTACAACTAAAATGATTTGACGATATGTGTTTATTTTTTTAACATTTTATATAATCATATTTGAGGACACCGCCAAAATGCTTTTTCTTTTTACTCAGATCAAGGAGTCATTGTGCTCAGATGTATGGATGGAATTGCTACAAAAAGTGTTAAATATCAAAATTCCAATGCCAATTAATCACCGGTTCTCTCCTTTTTTGAGAGCAAATTGTTTTTTCGATGGAGTAGTGATACTTACAAGTTACATATACTGTTACTAGATGGATCGAGATGGGCAATTACAGAGAAGGCGACGGCACGTAAAATGTAAAAGTAATTTCACGGCAAAAGAAGACAAAAGAAAAGACTATATTATATCATGAAGTTTCTATAGTAACAAACACAGCATAAAGACATCACATATAGCTCATTTTTTCTAAAAATCATCATCAGAAAATTTTATCGGCAAAAAATGACCTCACGTGTTTGTACCACACTCTTCACTCGTGACGAGAGGTCAGAGTTCAGTACAGAATGGCGGAAGTCCGGAGTTCGTCGGAAGTCTGAATTTCTCCTCTTAAAAACGCTCCTTTTTGACGTTATTTGCCGCAGAGAACGGTTTAAGATAATGCAGACTAAATGTTAAATGATAGGTAAGTACGTGAGAACACTGGACTTTGCTGAGTTGTGAGTATAACGTTATATAGTCCTGTCCATGTTATGCGATGAAAGTGTTTCAGATCCTAGTTCGTCTTACCAAGGACATTATACACAAGGACATTATACACATGTGTGTATAATGTCCTTGGTCTTACTTTGAAATTCGTAAACAACATCATTATTTCTCAAGGTACAACTTGCCCCGAGGTTTTGTTTTCTTGCTGTGACAATGGTTAGATGCTTTGAGCCACGATGTTGCCTGCTTACCTGGCCACATCAATTGTCACTGTGTCAGTATGTTATATTATTACTTCAGCTACCCAGTATGGTATTTGTCACGTGTCGGTGCCTGAAGACAAAAGACTACTAGTACCCAACACACTAATTTGGAAAGTGTAAGTGTGAACAGGTGTGTTTGGCCGAATTGGAGATCTTTACTCCAGACAGATAGATAGATGACCGATGACCATTTAGGGTAAAAACAACTGTGGTCACTGGACAATATTGTGTGACCCATTAATACACAGTCATGTCAAGTTGTAAGAAACAGGTGAGCAGTAGAAACAGAAAGAAACTCCTGGTCCCGAGTCGGGGTATGAACCCACGACCAAACACGGGCACCAGTCCACATTCTGACGCTCTAATGGTTCGGCTACTCCCCCTTTTCTTTTCAAGATTCCTCCTCGAATCTTCCGAATTCGTCATCCCTTTGCCAGAAATCCCAGGGCCAGTGTGAGGACCACTAGGAGGAATGAGTAGAAACAGATAAAAAACCCTGGTCCCGGGCCGGGTTCGAATCCACGACCTCCCAAGCACCAGCTTCAAATCCGATGCTCCTACCAAGTGAGCTAAAAGGTCTAGACCCATCGGCCGGGTCAGTTGGTAGCCCCTATAAGCCCTATACTATTACAAAATTGAGACATGAGTGTGGTGCAGACATATTCCTGCGTCTACAATGGCTTTAACTTTTTAAGCAACTTCTGCATCCCCCACACAGGTATCACAATGTTTCCACTACGCCACCCATGTAGCAGATGAGAATCTAGAGACGCCGTGACCACGCCCTGGTGTTACCATGGAGATGTACGACGAGGACCTGGGGGAGAACGTGTTCTTCCAGAACCTGCGTACAAAACACACACAGCTGTACGAGGAGGCAGCCTTTAACAGGTGGATGGTATGTACCGGGAGGCAAGGTGCCCCAAATCCATTTGAAGTATAGAGAGAACTGCTTGACAACCTTTAATTGGTCAACTTAGTAGATCTCTTGCAGTCCTTGAAATTAGCTTTTCTTCCTATTGTCCCATCACTGTCCTAAAAATAAATTTCAGTTGTCCCGAAGTGAGGATGAACTGTCCCAACCTGTTTTTTTGGGAAGTACTTAGTATTGTTACAATACAGTATAAACTTCAACTTGAAGTCAACTTTATTTTGCTTATGTAATTCACTCCCAGGCGGACTGTAATTGCAGAGTAGACAGGAAATTTGGGGGAACTTTTAAATTTCCGTCTGGATCCAAAGGCCGGGACATGTGCCTGCATGATAATCAAAAGTAGTGCTGACATTCTGATGTTGATTTTTTTTCTATTGTCCCAAAAATGTCCCAAAGTTTCTTTTTAGTTGTCCCAGCCTAAATTTTACTTAGTGGTCAGTGGCCATTGGACCACCTTTAATTTCGAGCCCTGCTCTTGGCTGTGAGGGTCTGTGACATACTAAAGGAATTACTAGTGAGTTAGATGTACAGCTAGTAGATTTGATAAAACAGACCACAACTTTAAAGTTGTGGTCTGTAAGAGTCAAATTTGACTCTTACACCATGTCTCAGCCATGTCTGTGCACCAGAGTAAGACTTGTTATTTGTCCTTCTTCAGGTCTGTGTACCAAGACAAGGAACGGCGTCCCGACATCAACAGAACAAAGAAGATTTCGAGAACCACATTCTCCGACCTGTGAGAGACAAGGACGATGTTTTTCTCACTGCAAACAACAAGGCAAGGTTACAACTTGTTATAACATACATGTATTGTCAGTGGGTATAACAATGATTCTATGTGTGGAGATTTTGTTTTCAATGAGTTAGTTTGTTTGTGTTACAGTATCTGTATTAGAGTCACAGGCAGCTCTGGCTTACTGCAAACATTGAAGGTCAAAATGGTATCCAGCAAACCCGTGAATACTTTTATCAAGTTGGTACTGAGTAAAGGAGAATTTCCCTGAGGAAGGTGACAGATGGTCAAGGAAACGTTGGCTGAGAAAAAAGACTTGGTTGTGTAAAAAGAGCATACAGCAAAGTTGGTCTCCCTTCAGGCTTGGAGGATTTGACACTCAGAAAGTAGAATATGCAAAGGATCAGCTATATTGCCCTCCTTTGGTCAGTATGGTCAGTATTGACCATGGTAAAATCCTAATTGATAACAGCCCTACAGCTTCGGCCATGGCTGAACAGTCCTATACCAGAATGACAGTCTCTTCCACATGCATGGCTCAAAATTCATTTTTGGGAATAGGTGGACTGGTGCACCCAACCTAAAAATTTGGATGCAAAAAACTTTTTTTGCGTGCACCATATACTATATAGAATGATGAAAACATAATTACAGATCTTACTGCTCCTCTTCTGAGAGCTTGAATCTGAAATGGGAGCTAACTTCAAAATCTTACACAGTCAAGATTTTATTACTTTTTTATGCTTAGATGCCAAGAATATCCTGCATACTATTATGTAATATGTACAAAAATACCTACAAAGATATTTGGGTGCACCAGTGCACCCACAGAAAAAAATTGGGTGCACAGGTCCAAATTTGGATGCACTAAGGTGCACATGCACCCAGTATTTTGAGCCCTGACATGGGACACATTTGCAAGCTGACTCAGGTCTGTTGCAGAGTTCTTTTCTCTGGGTCCACTTCTCATGAGAAATCCATAATAAAAACAAGACCTTCACAGCAGTGTGACATCTTTTTTTTTTTATAAAGTGGAATTTGCGTGTTCCCAGGAGGTTCAGGTGAAAGGGAACACCATCACCACAGTGAAGGGGTTTAAGGAGCTGAGGAACGTGCTGGTCCTGTTTGAGGAGACGTTCTACAACAGCAGTGACCAGAGTTACAGGGTGCTGTGTCTGGACCAGTTCCTGGAAGGCAGGACAGGTGAGTGGCAGGATGCTGTGCTCTTGTACTCTCCAAGCAGAGGTTTGGGTTTTGGGGGTATTTTTGGCGTATTTTTGGGCTTTTTTATCGGGGTTTCTCTTTTGCACTGAATTTTTTTTCCCACCAAACCCAACCTCTGCCGGCACTCACCCCGGGGAGGGGCAAACCTATTAAAAGCTATTCAAAACAGGCGATAGTGCCCCTCCCCGGGAACCATCAAACTGTCATTAGGGATATCCATTTTATTGCGGTGGATTATCAAACATCTAGCCAGTCAGAAAGGCATTCATTTGGCCACACGCCTCCTGCTGACTGTGCCTATTCATGAGTCTGGTTCACACCTCCTTGCAGAACGACTGAAATGTGTTGAAGAGATTAGGTTTATAGCCCATTGAAGCTTTCGACTGCCTGCAGAGGTTGGGTTTGGTGGGAAAAAAAATTCAGTGCAAAAGAGAAACCCCAATAAAAAAAGCCTAAAAATACGCTAAAAATACCCCCAAAACCCAAACCTCTGCTTGGAGAGTAGTGCTCTTGTACTTTGCTGATAGACTCTGTGCAGGCTTTTAGCTAGGGGTGTCCAGGGCGTCTTTTGGATGCCCTGTACTGAAAATAATAAGAAATTGGACGAACTCCTTTTTGGTAGGACACCCTAAAGACGCCCTATTTTTCCCACTCACAACCCCTGCCATGCACACATGCCTTCCTTCAGCCTTACTAGTATTAATACAAAAATGCTGGTTTACTGAAGGGAGAAACCTCAAACTCCCCAGAATTTGCACCTCGAAATGCAGAAAATAGTGTTTGAGAGCACAATGAATTTTAAAAAAGCCCAGGAATGTATTATGATGTGGAAAATTTGACGAAGGACCTTTGAATTCAAATTTTTATTTTTAACCACATTGATTTAACTAATGGTGCCTTCATTGGAGAAAGTTACTTCACACAGTCGTATGAGCAGTAATCCATTGTGTGATATAGTTCCCTCTGATCATGCAGTACAGTTCCAAAACATTCACTGATGGGGTCGTGTGGCATAACGTTAGAGTGTTCACCTCAGACCCAAGAGGTTCCAGTTTTGAATCCTGCCCAATGCGACCGATCTTGTTCCCTTGGGAAAGGTACTTTGCACGATCGTGAAACGATTTCGTCACTTCTGTCAGGGGTAAAGGAGTACCTAGGTTTGGTTACGGACGTCCCTCGGATAGGACGTTAAAGAACCCACCACACCTATCAAAAAGAGCAGGGGTCCTTCCCGGTGTGAGTGGTTCAAACCTTACAGTCTGGTCTCAGGTTTAACATCTTGCAGAGGTGATATCAGTATTCATCTGTTATGTCAATCCTTCCACAGATACGGTAAATCTTTATAAATAAAATTCACAGAAGTTTAAAAACTCCAATTTTGTGTTCCACTTGCAGAGTCTGTTCAGGAGCCCCTGCTGGTATCCCTTCAGTCATTGGACGACTGCACGGAGTACCTGTGGGGTCGTCATGGCAACCACCGCACCAGGAGACAGGTGGATCAGCGCGTGCAGCACTTCATCGGGTCGTACCACCAGCTGGAGGGGGTGTCCCTCAGGCACACCATGGTACAACCTAATAAGTTATGATTATGCTCGGATGACTAAAATTTTCATGGTCTATTCTGTACTTTAAAATGTTATTATGTCACAGCAGTATTATGTATGCTGAATTTTAATGTATCTCATAACAGAAGCAGTGCAATTTTGTGGCGGTAAAGTGACTTGTATCTGTATCTGTATAGCCGGTATAACCGCCCCTCGGCTTAACACACCAGCTTCTGCATGTATCTGTATAGCCGGTATAACCGCCCCTCGGCTTAACACACCAGCTTCTGCATGTATCTGTATAGCCGGTATAACCACCCTTCAGTGTAACACACCAGCTTTGCAGGCATGCAGCGTGACTATAGCTGGCTACATGTACAATATATTACACTTGTTACACCTAGCCTTTGAACATCTTGTGATTGTTGAAAGATTGTATACAAGAATTCTTTTTTCAAGAATTCCATTATACATGTAGATTGACCTTGATGCATAGATATTGTCCTTGCTGTCTGTAGGATGCGGCAAATACCCTGTTTGTTCGAGCAATGCAGACAGCCCTGAAGGACAACAACATGGTAAATAAAAACTTACATGACATTCAAGAAGTCAAATTTCATACCTCTATTGAACATTCAGGGGTTATGTGAATTTCTTTTTACAATTTGAAGACTTGCAGTGAGACATTTTTTTTTCTTCGTGTATAGGGGAAAATTGCGAAGCAGAGCACAATTCACATGGACAACTTGAAAATTGCTATGGAGGTAAGAAAAAGATAATTCTGATCAATCGTAACAATTGTCAATTGACAGCATGGCAACAAATCCATTACTAGCTAGTACATTTGTGTGTTTCTGACTTCACTAGTTATTTTAGCTTGTTTTTTCTCCATTCATATTCTACTCTCTAAGTAAGTTTTTTGTGAAGCAACAGAATGCTTAAAAGTGTAAAAATAAAAATGAAAGGAATGTTGCTGAATATTGCTATTGCTTACATTTACTAACTTAATATACTTCTTGTCATAACAGACCTATGTGATGCATGGTGTCTTCAACAAGGTGTTCAACACCATCAGTACATTCACTGCTGCTCAGGTAAGACATCACAGTTTGAAGTTCAATCAGAACAAAGTCCCAAACATGGCCAGACTGTAATCGTAATGGGGTTGTACAAAATAGGTCAACTTAATGATAGGTTTTACACTGAGCTTCGTATTGTTTTATTGTCTCCAAGATAATAAGTACCAATAGTTCAGAAATAGGATTACCTGCCAGGGGAAGTTGATTGTATCTAGACTCTAGACTACTGAAAAGGATTTACTAGTAGTTTTATTATATTCATTTTGTGAATATGTTGTTGCCAACAAAACACGTACAAACAACAAACCAACAGTTGGTTGTTGATCCTGTATATTTATGTTTACCGAAGGAAAACATTATTGTTTTTACTCAATTTCCTCTTCTTCTCCAAACACTAACCTCTGACCTGGCCAATGACATGATTTGTTGACGTCTGTCACCATGGTGACTGGTGTTAGGTTACATAATGTTGCAAACTTCATGGTCTGCTCTGCTCCTGTCACCATAATACTAGTAGTACATGTATGTGAATATGTTTGAGTAAAAATTAACAGGGCAGACCATGTCCGAAGGTAAACATTATGCATTTGCTTTGAAAATGTTTAATACTTCTCTAGTTGAATATTGATTTGTATACTGTCATATGGTTTTGCATGTTTATAATAATTTTGTTTCTATTTCATCATGTCAATGTCTTATTCCATTACCACAGGATGCTGCCCTGAACAAGGTCACAAGAAATCTGGCAGATGTCCAACTTCGAGATTTGGGGGTCAGGAAAGAGTTTTGGTAAGTGCTGCCATCTAGCAGACTGCAATGGTACTTCAGCTTTTTTCACTGTGCAGTGTTTTGAGTACTGTAATGAACTTTTGGTACTCATCTTTAATATATAATTGATAAAATTTGCTGACAAAGTTGACAAAGATGGTATATTTTTTAATGAATGAAAGAAAGACCTTTGTTGTACATTTTTACTCGTTGCGAACTAAAGTACAGGTCACGGCAAATAGCGATGGTAGACTAAAATATATCTATTATATATAATATAGTAAAACTACATATGTACAGGTTCTGCTTCTTCTTGCTTCTTAAGACAGTTGTAAATGTAAGAACATGTGGAGTTTATAGTACGAGGATTATCGAGTTTCATGAGGAATGCAAATTTCAACCCTTGAGCTACGGGGAATGCGAGCCTTAAGCAAGCAAGCAAATCTAAAAAAATCTAAAACTAGGGAAAAAAATCTTGTATACAATTGAAGAGAATCTTTCATTATTGTATAGAGTACAGTGACTGTCATAATTGAGAATCAGAGAAATGCAAAGCTAAGTCAATTCAGACAAACCGCTGAAATAAAAAAAGCAACTGCTCAAGTACTTGTCAAACGTACATTCTTTTCAAATAATCATGATTTATATCTTTGCATGTAATCTCAGGCAAAGTGTTCCGAGAGCGAGACGTGAGCTCCATGGACTGAACAGGTTCTGTTCCCCTCTGGAGAAACTGTTGTGTGTGAAACGTGCCATCACTGCTATCACCCGCCCCTCCCCACTACACAAACGCAAGGAGTCAGGTACATACTACCTCTGTGGAGTTTTTAGAGTTTTTGTGAAACTGGTTTATTCCTTATAATTATGATATTTTTCTCTGACTTATTCTGTCTAATAGCATGCATTTTCCCCACTAGCTCCCATAAGGCAACAAACATGCATACAGCATAAAATTGAAGATAGGAAATTAACTTAAAATGATACTATAACCTTTTCTGGAACCTTTTCTTTTTTTTTCTTTTTTTTTATTGCATTTTCAAGGGAGTAGTACAGTTGTAAAGTATGAACATATACATTTGTAAGTGGTGTACAAGACAAAAGACAGTTTACAAACGATTTCCTAAGTAACAAGATAATTGTGTAATGTTCCCCATTTCCCCATATGTTTCTTTACTTTTTGACAATTCTGTGCAATGATCAACTCAATCTGGAACCTTTTCAGTGTGGCCAACATGCTTATGTACAAACACAATCACATGTGCGCAAACTAAGAAATTGAAAAGTAAACTGAAAACAAATACCTTTGTACACGGGGGTAACTAGACTAAGTATTAACATCTAGCAGTGTTCGAAAAACCCATCTGCATTCCATATATTGCAGGGAGATTTACAATATAATAATTGCAGAAGAAACATCCTACAATCTGCAACTTTGCATTATTAGGTTGAGAAGATTGTAGTATAGAGGCTTGTGTATTTGCAGAAAGTGTTTCCAAATTGCAGAACAAAATTTTCACTCATCTGCAATATTGCAGAACATTGAAAAAAAGGATTTCTACCACTGCATCTAGCCTAACACAAGCAACCATACAGACACATTGAAAACAAAACCTTTGTACCTGTAGATAACAAGTCTATAACAAGTACCTGTTTAAAGTTAAAACTTTTGTTCCAACACAAAAAATTCTCTCACCTAGTCTAAGAGCTTTCGACCAGTCACTCTGGTAGACTGACCCAGTGAAATTTGTCACATAGCTTCTTTGAAGTGTGATGTCAACACTGGGTCAAAGGTATCTGGTAGACGATGTCGGCCCCCGTCGCGGTTCAATGTAGGGTGATGGGTCCTGATCTAAATGGCTTCCTTCACCCCTCTTAAGAAATAGTCTTGTTCAGTGTCCAAAATCCTTACATCGTCTACCAGTTACCTTTGACCCAGTGTTGAGGTCACACTTCAAAGAAGCCACATGACAAGCCTCACTGGGTCAGTCTACTGAGGAAGACCAGAGTGACTGGTCAAAAGCTCTAGGTGAAAAAATTTTTTTTTGTGTTGGAACAAAAGTTTTAACTTTAAACATGTAATTAGATGAACTTTCATGATAACCAAGTACCTGATGATGTATCTCCATATGGTAGTGACGATGTCCTCGGATGACCTGCTGCCAATCCTGGTGTACCTGGTGATCAAGGCTGACATCCCCAACTGGCTGGCTAACCTGAGGTACCTGCACAACTTCAGGTTCTCCAGACCTGCCAACGATGCCTTCGGGTCAGTCATACACAACACTTCAGTCTACTTACATGGTTAAGTCTAGATCTTCCTCTTCTTCTTCTTCACTGCATATCAGCAGTTGACACTGAGGGGGGCGTCATCTCTGCATGTTAGAGTCTCCGTAAGTCTCCAAATGAATGAATGAATGAGTGAGTGAGTGAGTGAGTAAATGAGTGAGCGAGTGAGCGAGCCAGCGAATGAATGAATGAATGAATGAATGAATGAATGAATGAATGAATGAATGAATGAATGAATGAATGAATGAATGAATGAATGAATGAATGAATGAATAAATGAATGAATGGACAAACAAACGAATGAATGAATGAAGAAATATGAGTGAATGTACAAAAATTAATGTACAAGGTACGAAAAAATGTGTGTCACATATCAGGTTTATCTTGGCATGTAATGATATCCATGACTGTCACAGTATCAAGATATTTAGGATGAATTTTGGACTGTTCATGTATATTATGTTTAGCCAACAAACATGTTTTGCTCACCCACAGGTTCTATCTTGCATCTCTTGAAGCTGCAATAGAGCATGTTAAGAGTGGGAGTGTTGGAGTAGAGGAGGTAAGTACAGTCACCATTAAAAAAACTTACACTCTTGTAATTTTGTGATCTTATCAGCAATTACATATATGGTAAAGTTTGATCACTTTAATCATCACCAGGAGTGTTGAATTTTGATCATTATTTCCAGGGTTCAGACCAAACGCTGACCTCCAGTCCCCAGTGGCAGGCTATACAGAGACAGAGTTCACAGGACAACTCCACAATACTGGTACTGTTTGAGGTGAACACTAATAACTGATTCTCTTATCAAGGGCAAAAGCAATTTGCACATTAATTTTGCAGTAATATCAGTTGGCTGTTTACCTAAAACAAGTAACAAAAACAATGATTTTTTAAAATCTTTTTCATTGTGTAATGTTAACTACATGTAACAGATTGATTTAATTACCTCCGGGGAAGGAGATATCCTTCCGCGAGGAGGTTTTACTATGGTTCGAAACATTTCTGTCAGCAGCTGTTTCTCGCGATCGGCTGGACGGATTGGTCTGTTGTTCGGTATACGTATTGCTATTGGGCTGCAGATGATGCAGAACGTTTTTGTTTAATTGCATATGTGTTTATGGGCGTCGAAATAAAAGGTTTTTAAGTGCTCCGGACACCCCCGCCATGCTGAAAATGGAATTTACCATGTTGTTAAGGAATGGGGAGGTTGCAGTTTTGGGTCTTAGCATTTAAAAGGGGTCAAACAGAGGGGTGTCTGGTTCCGATAAAAATTTTGGGTGACGGCGCAGCAATGACGGCGCGGGATGACGGCGGGGATAATGGCGCGGGTGACGGTGCAGGCTGTCAGACTGTGAGACACGTTAATCAACAGTCCATACCGAACCAACCGTCAGTAGCCATCAAACACATACAAACATATTACGCACATAACTTTCATACTACACACAAACAAATAACCTAAACCAATAGAACACAAAAAAACCCGGAGGTTTGAAATCTACGATTTCCCTTGTTAAATTTTAAAGAGATCAGAGGACTCAGCTGCTAAAGTAGATTTGGCAACCAGGCTATCTTTATTGAACACAAGTTTGGTGGTAGTTTTGTATCTTAGCATCTATATGTATCTTGGTACAAACGAGATCCAAACAATTCGATTACTTCTGCTGAGCCGTGATTATTAATCCATATGTTTCTCTAATAACAGGTATATGGTCTAATGGTTCACAGGAAGTTTAGCACTTAGTTACACAGAGGGTTACCAATGGTCTAGTATAATACAGATGAGGTACTGACACTTATCTACAGAACAGTTACTACAACTGTACATGTACACATACCTTGAGTCCAGGTCTCGAACTGACTAACAAGGCACTCATTGTCTCTTCCAAGCTCAGCTATGCTAACAATAGTCCTTCACCTGATCTTGTTTGTTTCTACTCGCTCCTCCTGTTTCTTACACAACCAAAGTTGTGTGTGTAGTCAACATTTTGGTGGATCATCTGCCACCTTCCTCAGGGTGATGATAACGCTCAAGTTTTCTTTGTCTCTTGTGTTCAGCACATCCGTGAAGGTACAGTAGAGAATGTACAGGACATGTTAGAGGTGTCCACACCTGACCACACCCAGCTCAGGACCAAGATGTGCCACCCTCTCTGCTCCTGTGACAGCTGTGAGAGACTGGTGTCAGGGTGGGTTGGACTTCAATTATTGTTGATTTTTAAGATGTCAACCCTGTGACCAGACTGTAAGGTTTGAACCACTCACACCGGGAAGGACCCCTACTCTTTTCGATTAGTGTGGTGGGTTCTTTAACGTGTGTGGGGCGTGGCTCTCCCAAACACGGGACCTCAATTTAACGTGCTATCCGAGGGACGTCCCTAATGCTTAGGTCACAATTCAAGAAAGGGGCCCGCTCGGCGCGTGTTCGGCGTGTTTTTTGGCACTACCGAACGGGACCTGGACGGAGACCGGCGGGCTTCCCGACGGCTGCCGGCCTATTTTTGGCCCCGCGCGGTCGCCGAATCGATTTTAACTTAGAGTTAAAAACACTTTGGGCCCCGTTCGGCGAAATACGCCGAAGCGACGCCGTAACCTGACTGCCCTGGACCCGTCGGGCGGCCGAACAGGCACCTGCCTAAGATTATGACGTCACATGTGCTGATCAGTGCATCAGATGGTCAGGAAAAGGGGGTTATACTTTATAGGGAGCATATATAAACTCCTGCCTCAGACTACGTCGCACAGTTCACCACGTGTGTGTTACATCGTGTACTTGTGTGTGTTACACCTTGTATTTGTGTGTCAGAATGTCGAAGGGCAAGGGAAAACAGCCGGCACGGCTCTCTTGCCAACTTCATAAAACAGATCATAACAGGAATAGAATGTGTCTGACATTATCTCTTGTTACATCATATGCCTTCGTAATAAAATGGAATGCAGGAGTTATTGGCATTTATTTTCAGTCCAAATTTCAACAGAAGTAACGATATTCAGAGGTTTTATTGCTCAATAGCAAGGAGCTGCCACGGCACACTTCCTGCGTCACTGCTGAAGTACTTCCTGCGTCACTGTTGAAGTACTTTCGAAAGTAGGCCCTCGGTTACTTTTGCGACGCACCAGTTCTGCCTGCCTCTCTTCTTCAGCTACCAATGCCAGAAGACCTACATGTAGGTTGTCACCAATCTCAATCTCAGACGGGCTTGTAAGTTGTTTGCAGGTTGCACTGAACGCTGCATCGCCAACTTCAGTCTACTTTTTACTTGACGTGTACTCTTTACTTGAAGTGAACGGTAGCAGGCAGTGCAGCGCTTATATAATGTACCTGCTCAAAAACACGAGAGGAGCCCGTCGGGATCCCGCCAGGAACACGCCAGGGACCTGACAGCTGCCCGGCCGAACTGTAAGAGCCGGTCGGCACCCTACCACACGCCGCACGGGTCAAGACGGGCGACTGACCGGGCACTGGACGGGTCCCTGACAGAAACCGGCCGCAAAAGTTTATGAATATTAATGAGAGCCGCCGGCCGGAGCACAAGCAGGCCCCGACAGGGAGCCGTAAAGGAACATTTAATTGTGACCCTGACAGTACGGCGCACGCTCGGCGTCATGACGCCGGCCGGCGTCTACTCCGAGGACATACCGAACGGGCGCCGTTTCAAATGTGACCTAAGCATAACCAAGGCTAGGTACTCATTTATACCTGAGTGAAGTGAAGTCATGTTAAGTGCCTTTCCCAAGGGCACAAGATCAGTGACACCGGGCAGGATTTGAACCCTGGACCTCTTGAGCCTGGGCCGTACATGGTACCTCTATGCCACACGACCCCCTTAAACTTTAACTAGTTTAAGGTCCGAAAAAACAAAAATACTTCATGGAAGTCTAAAATCTCTCTTTCCTTGTAAATCTGTGATTATTGTACTTATTAACAATAGTGTGAATGTTCAGAACTTAAAAGAAGAACTATGTGTCCCCAAATGTTATTTTACAGGTCTTATCTTCACATACATACTAGGTTGAACTTGATGACTAAATTTTCCACTTCTCCAGGAGGAGAAATGACCCAACCGCTGTCACAGCCTACTCCAGAGATGACAAGGGGCTAACAGCTCTCCATGTCGCAGCCATATATGGTAAGGCCTCATTAGCGTAATTCTCACCATGTTGTCAATCTATGAAGATTACATTTAACGTTACCTCAAACTAATTTGGTTCAGACAAAGTGATCAAGGTAGGATATTGTTAAAAACCTCTCTATGTTTTCAATGTATGTCGACTAGCCATTTCAGAAAACCAGATGCAAGTTTTTACAGATATCCTTCCTGTCACCAACCTAAGCCACTGTCTAGGATATGTTTTAAAGGCATCGATCCAATGCAATTTCAGGGCAGCAAGACTGGAAATATTCTGAATAACTACAATAAGGCAATCTTTGTGATATTGAACCATATAGTGTTTCGCATTAGCACATTTGATCCAATATTTCATACTCTGGGCTTTTGAAACAGCCAAAACAAGCGCTAAGATGAGTCCTTTATTTTCTGGGTGGTACCCTAAAAATCTGCCAAGGGCCCTTTCATTAATTATCTTCTGCCAGAATTTTTGCTCCATGAGGGTCAATATACATTGGGACAGTGTGGTTTCAACTTAGTATGTATAATGTAGATACACGTAAGTGGCTAGAATATTGGCTTTGAAAAAATCAGGTTTTTAAGCCCTAAATTCTGCACTGGATACATATATCAGGACCTTCCATATATATAATAAGCTATGTGTGACGGACAGGGGCATTACAAGTACAAAATGTACTCTATGAATGATTGGCATTTTCTCTCTGTGATTGCCCTAGGACGAGCTGACATGATAGACCTCCTAGTTACGAAGGGTGGAGTAGTGAACGCTACAGACTACCACGGCTCCACCCCTCTCCACCTGGCCTGTCAGAAAGGTCACCAGTCTGCTGCTGTAAGTCATGATGTCAAACTACCACTCTCTCATTGGTTGAACTGCTAACTGCCATGCTCTCATTGGTTGAACTGTTAACTGCCATGCTATCATTGGTTGAACTGCTAACTGCCATGCTCTCATTGGTTGGAAGTTGTTAACTGCCGCTCTCTCATTGGATGAACTGCTAACTGCCATGCTATAATTGGTTGAACTGCTAACTCCCGTGCCATCATTCATTGGTTGAACTGCAAATTACCATACTTAGTCTATCATTGGTTGGACTGCTAACTGTCACTCTCTCATTGGTTGAACTGCTAACTGCCATGCTATCATTGGTTGAACTGCTAACTGCCATCTCTCATAGGTTGGAAGTTGTTAACTGCCGCTCTCTCATTGGATGAACTGCTAAGTGCCATGCTATGATTGGTTGAATTGCTAATTGTGTTGGACAGTTAACATCAGTTTACTACACAGTGACCCTTTTCCAACAGTATGCTTGTCAGTTGAGTGACAACAGCTTAAATTCAACACTGGGCTACGTACACTGCAGTATGTTATACATGTACGTTGAAGTTGTTTTTTTTCCACAGCTGTTGCTGCTACACTTCAGTGCCGATGTCCGGGCTCAGGACAATGACGGAAACACCCCACTTCACCTCTGCTGTGAGAATGGACACGAAGACGTAGGTTTTCCAGGCTACATGTGATACATGCACATCGTAATTTAGTAACAAACTTGACAAACACTGTGATGTTACATGAATTCTTGTAATATCTCATGACATCAATGTAACTGTCGTGTGTGTGAGTAGTATTCGTGTTTACTTAGTATACTCAATTATGCATTAAGAAAATTTTGTAATTCTTGTATTTTTTCGTGCACACTGACTTAATTCTATGGATGACAAAAAAAAAAAAGTTCACTTCCTGCAAGTCTCTGAGGCCTGGCTCTAGGCCTGGGTAGTCCTTGGTAGTTAGCGACAATACAGAGCCGGTGATAACTCTAGAAGATGGCACCCTGGCTCCCGAAGCTCAAGTGCTGATTCATAAATGTCGCAAAAATGCAGCATGTGCCGGCTTGTCGTATACGTTGCTATGTGCTGACGTAAATTCACAATACCAGCTTTGCATTCCTGTGGTTTAGTAGCATTTTTATTTTTGGCCGGGATTTTTTTTTATTCGCACTAATTTTGGGGGTCTTCAGAGGATGTCATCCATAGGTGTGGCCTTATTGTACATTCTCTACCTGAGCAAGACTAACTGATTGTACCACTCATGTAATAATATGTGATCCATGTATGTTGTTGCAGTGTGTGAAGGCAGTGGTGTACTATGACCGCAGCTATGTGGTGCTGGACATTAATGCTGCTAATGACAATGGTGACACCCCCCTGCACCTGGCAGCCAGATGGGGATACTGTAAGTTAACTGGTCATCATCGTCACTGCTGATAAAGGCACTGTAACAGTTGTCTTTAGGCCACACCAATTTAATTTGTTGGTTCTCAGATTTTTTCAGAAAAAATATGAAGCGACGGCGAAAAAAACAACAGGTCTAGGCATATATTATACCCATCAATACCTGAGAATTATAGGCCGATCTCTCTGCTATGCCACACATACAAGCTCTTTGAAAGACTACTACTCAACCGAATTGCTCCACTTGTGGATGAGCTTCTCATCCCTGAGCAGGCAGGCTTCAGACCAGGAAAATCCTGCACCGGCCAACTCCTGAACCTCACACAGTACATTGAGGACGGCTACGAGAAAGGCCTGATCACAGGAGCTGTCTTCGTAGACCTCTCCGCAGCGTATGACACTGTAAATCACAGGATCCTCACTAGAAAGATCTTTGAGATAACCAAAGACGCAAGACTAACTGAACTGATCCAGAACCTACTATCAAACAGACGTTTCTTCGTAGATCTCAACAACGATCGTAGTAGATGGAGAAGGCAGAAGAACGGCCTCCCCCAGGGCAGCGTACTTGCACCCATGCTGTTTAACATCTACACTAATGATCAACCAGTTCATCCTGACACAAGGAGGTTCCTGTTTGCTGATGATCTCAGCATCGGGGCACAGGGAAGGACCTTCAAAGAAGTAGAGACAACTCTCAGTGAAGCCCTTACAACCCTTAACCCGTATTACGCTGTGAACCACCTACGAGCGAACCCAGACAAAACACAAGTGAGTGCCTTCCACCTGAAAAACAGGGATGCAGACCGACAACTGAGGGTTAGCTGGCAGGGTAAGTGGCTGACCAGCACCAACAGGCCAGTCTACCTAGGCGTCACCTTAGACAGAACCCTTTCATACAAGACCCACATTGTGAACACCAAGCTGAAAGTGGGTGCCAGGAACAACATCCTTAGGAAGCTCGCAAACACCAAGTGGGGTGCAGATGCAAGCACTGTACGGGCCACAGCCCTTGGACTGTGTTTCTCTACTGCGGAATACGCAGCTCCTGTGTGGTGCAGATCAGCACATACCACAAAGCTGGACACAGCCTTGAACTCCGCTTGCAGAGCCGTCTCTGGATGTCTTCACCCCACCAGAGTCGACGACCTTTACCTGCTGTGCGGCATTGCACCACCACACATAAGAAGAACGGTGGCGGCACAACGGGAGAAACTGAAGCAGGAGACAGACCCACATCACGTACTCTACCAACATGCTCCTGCACCAAAAAGACTCAAATCCAGACACAGCTTCCTGCACTCAGTTGAGTCACTCAGTGGCAGCGCAGAGTCACGGAGGATGGCCATGTGGTCCCACCATCTCCAAGAAGCTCCACATAAGTTAACCTTCACCCCGAAGGAATCCCTCCCTCCAGGAGCGGAGGAGGCATGGCCAACTTGGGCATGTCTCAACAGGTTAAGAACAGGCACAGGAAGGTGCAGGACACTAATGCAGAAGTGGGGCCTTGTCCCAGACGGACAAACTGCATGTGACTGTGGGCAGGAGCAGACTATGAGCCATCTCCTTGTCTGCCCCCTCCTGCCCGAACCCTGCTCGAAGGAGGACCTGGAAGCCCTGACCCCCAGTGGAAGGGCATGTGCGGAGTACTGGAGGGGAAGAGTGTAGCAGTGAACGGTGACCCGAGAAGAAGAAGATATATTATAGCCCCAAATGCTACAATAGGAGCCATGAAGTGAACAAAAAAGGCTGAGTAAATATATTGAATTTTGAACTTCAAAGCACTGCATTGATAGATGGAAAAACTGTAGGAAATAGCAAGAAAGGGACTTTCCTGAACTGTTGGGGGCAAAATATTTTTTTGCAAATCAGAAAAAAAATGAAGAGGCGAATCTGAGAACCAACAGATTGAATTGGTGTGGCCTTTGGCTTGTTTTTAAAATATGTGTAAGTCTGTTTGTGTGTTTGTCTGGCCTGTAAGTCTCTGTATTTCCGAAGTTCCCACATCATATACAATGTTTGTATTCCGATTAGCCCACTAAAGTTAAAAGCTTTTGCCTATCAAGTCTGCCAACTCTGATTGCTTTATTCTACAAAACAAAATTACATCAATCTCCATCCTTTATTATGACTGTCTTCAAAATGCTATCTGACCCATCATACCCAAAATATTGACTTTGTCTTTTGTTTTTTTACAGGTAACATAGTGGACACTCTGCTCCAGAATGGTGCCTCAGTTGAAGCCCTAAACAGGAAGAAACAGACTTCTCTAGACTGTGCACACAATGATACAGTAAGCTGTAGTGTTGGGGATAGCTTTTACCACGAATACTAACAATTGGACTGATCTCAATTTGTAGTGTCATTTCATTCAATAAAATGTTGAATGTTGCATGTAACAGTATAATAAAAGATAGCTCTCTTGAAATTTCATTGTTTGTTGTCTTTTTCTTCCAGGTTTCCAGAGTCTTGTTGCAGGCACTTGAAGACAGACGGGTGCAGGAAACAGAAGAAAATTTTATCAAGGTAGCCCGGGTTACGGTGAGTGTTTATGAGTGGTGATAAGGTAGAGGTTTCAAAGTTATCAGCCATCTTTTTAAATTTAAAAATTTGTAGTAGGGACAGTGTGATGTAATTTCCGCAATCCAAAACCTCAGAATGCAAACTGAAAACCTAGCTTTTGTTGATCATCTTGTAACAGTGGGGGCCCAGGTTCGATTCCCGGTGTGGAAACCACTTTAAGAATTAGGAGAGACTAGAAAGAGAAAGACACTCCTGGTCCCAGGCCGGGGCTCGAACCCACAACCAAACCCAAGCACCAGCTTCGAACCTGGCTACCAATTCTGTTAAAAGGTCTAGACCCATCGGCTGGGTCAGTTGATAGCGCCTATAAAACCCCAACTGTTACACTCTCTGTATGCTTTTGGCTAAAAGTCCTCTTTCATTAATCTTTTACTAATAGTATATCATTCTATAATAATATTATAGTGTTTAGCAAGGTACATGTAGTCTGTGGCATTCTACTAGGCTGAAAATTAACCCATAGCCCAATAAAGGAACCATTTAGCAACCATATCGGCTGTTGGGTTATGTAGCAGGGAGAAAGTTAACAGTGTGTGGTTTATTTTCTGTCCAGGATGCCAGCCCTCCTAAGCCCACCAGACCAGACAGAAGGGAGTCTGGTCCTCTCAGTATCAACAAACTTCCCACTGCTGTACCTCAGGACTCCCCTCAACAGCAACGGGAAAAACAGGTACAACAGACAAAAAACTAGTACACTTTAACCTTAAGGTAACATTTGCAAAGCAAATGCATAATGTTTACCTTCGCATATGGTTTGCTCTGTTATAAATTCTTACTCAGACACAGTCGAATATGGTCAGACAAGAGTATAAATCCCTCCTGCTATAAAATTGCAACATTATGTAACCCAACACTAGTTGCCATGGTGACAGACGTCTGGTTAAGGTCATTGACCTTATTGGTTTGAAGAAGAAGAAGAGGAGGAGGAAGCAAAGCAAAAACAATGTTCTCCTTCCGTAGACATAATTAAGATCAAATCAATAATCTTTTGTTATACAATATACTAAATTTTGAATGTCTACGATTGCTGCAAAGAATGTGTAATTGTGTTCATCTCAACATTTTCCTGCTGTGTTCCAGGTTGAAAAACTTTTGAAGGCAGTTGCTGATGGGGACATAGAAATGGTAAGTGGTGCATTCCAACATGATGCAAACCACAACTGCACAGCAAGAATGCAAATTAAACTTTATTAATATGCAGTCTAGACACTGGGTTTGAAGTGTAACCTACATGGGTTGTTATTTGAAAGGTACCACCTACATGTACAATGTACATTTTGAATAAAGTGTAGAAGAAATGATAGTAGTTTCTGATCAGTTTTCAGTGTAACATACTGTTGTAATATACATGTAGGTTCCTAAATTCTGAGTGGTGAAGGTAAAATCTATCATGGTGCAGGGAATTTTAGATAATTATACCAGGTATGCAGAAAACAGTATTTCTGGCCCTACTATATAACACTGACTAGTACATGATGTGTGTTTGCACAGGTGCGTTATCTGTTGTGTGTGGAGAGTTCAGATGAAGATGAGGATGTGTTTGATGCCAACGCCTCCCTCTGCCACCCACTGTGCCAGTGTGAGAAATGTCACCCTGTACAGAAGGTAATACATTGTACATGTATATACTGCAAGCCACTTTATGTTCAAGGTAGCAAAAGTTTGTGGTCTGAGAAAAATGGAGATGTTCTGTGAAATTTCACAGGGGCAGCAGGTGAAGAAAAAACGAAGTCTGAGAATTTTTTTTCAATCCTAAGGCAACACCAATTTAATTTCAATTGTTGTTTCTGGGATTTTGGTCAGAAAAATATGAAGCGACAGGGTGAAAAAAAAAAGGCCAAGGCACCCATGATAGCCGGAGACTCGAGAAGGTGAGGGTTCGAATCCTATCTGATGCCACCGATATTGTGCCCTTGGGAAATTAAGGCACTTCACACAACTTTCCTCACTTCACTCAGGTGTAAATGAGTACTACCTAGCTTTGGCTAGGGATGTCCCTCAGATAGGCTGTTAAATGGAGGTTCCGTGTTTGGGGAGGGCCAAACCCCATGCACGTTAAAGAACCCGCCGCACTTATCGAAAAGAGTAGGGGACCTTCCTGGTGTGAGTGGTTCAAACCTTACAGTCTGGTCTCTGGGTTGACATCTTTGAAGAGGTTATAGTCACCTGTTATGTCAATCCTTCCACGAATGTGGTAAATCGTCAAAAAATACAAAAAATAAAATAAAAATGGTGACATGTTTTTTGCCACCAGAGAACAGCAGTGATGTCGGTTGACGAGCTCAGCGTGAACTCGGCCAATGAGGGAGGTTTTACGTCCCTTCACGTGGCGGCGCTACACGGACACAAGGACCTGGCGCTGCTGCTACTGCGGAACGGAGCCAACGTGAACGGGCAGAACAAAGCACAGCGCAACACGCCCCTCCACATAGCCTGTCAACATAATCATGTAAAGGTAAGACAACAAGACTGGCAACGAAAACATACATTGCCATGGCGACAGTGGTTGCTGTTAGGGTTATTGTTTGCATGGCACTGCCATGATTTCATGATTTTAAAGCGTTTGTACCTGTTAAGTCTAGACAGATACAGTGCACTCCTCCCCTGAGTGTATAGTGAACGAGCCCCGCGCGCACAGAAAGTAGGGCATCTGGGGCAGACATGTTTTCCCAAGGGTTTCCAGGAATGTGAGCATTGTGGGAGACATTCCTGTGGACAACATTCCTGAGTGTACAATTCCTAGAATTCTTCCAAACTACACAAAATACTGAACCCCAATAGGCTCCTACCTGAGATGTTGCCAAAAATGTGATAGCCTAAGGGCACCAATGGTTACATCTCGGTACTGTACAGAAGTACATGTATTGTTTTGGGAGGCTGAGCTGTGTTTTCTTGTCTGTTGGTCCAGGCAGAAAATGGGTGTAGGGATGATTGACTGGCAGATTGACAGGTCACAAGGTCAGGCACAGAAAATTGGGGGGGGGGGGGAACTTGAAACTAGTATAATGATAAACTGTATTTAGGTTGACAGCATGTGGGTGTGACAAAATTGACAGACAGAATCATTATGATAGGACATCAAAAAGTCGGACACAGGGAAAAGGGTTAACTTAACATGAAGGTCATGGAAATCCAAAATATTCCCGGAGACCTGAAATTGCAACATTTGTCTCATTAGATACTTTGGTATTACAGTGTTCTTCTTTGAGGATAAGACTTAATAGTTTAAATCTTCTTCTGTTGTCAGATTGTGTCAGCCCTGTTGGACCACGGTGCCAAGTGTAACGTTAAGGACCATAACGGGTGTACGCCGCTGTACCTGTCTGCCACCGCGGGAAACCTGCAGCCTGCTCAACTGCTCATTCAGGTACTTGTTAATCATTGTAGGTGTCATTCAGCTGTAACAGCTTGGTGCCTAGTCAGGGCTCGAAACTAACGGTGTCCCAATGGCTAGTGACCACTAAAATTTAAGCTGGGACAACTAAAAAGACAATTTGAGCCTTTTTTGGGACACAATAAACAAATCAACATCAGAATGTCAGCCCTTCTTTCGTATGGCTCTGGAGAAAGCTCCCCAAAATTTCCTGTTTACTCTGCAATTATAGCGCGCATGGAAGTAGTAACGTAAGCAAAATAAAACTGACTTCAAGTTCACTTTCTGAAAAACAGGTTGGGACAGTTCATCCTCACTTTGGGACAATTAAAATTTATTGTTGGGACAGTGCTGGGACAATAGGAAAAAATTTTAATTTCGAGGCCTGCAAGTTTCACAAATTTAAAGCTGTCAAACGTTTCATTTTTCCCTTCCTATGGACTAGATTTACTACCTGTATATGTAGTTTAAAAATGTGTTCATGTGGTAAAACTACATGTAGTATATTAATGATGCATAATTGGTAGAATTCTAGTGAATTACGTTGTATACTTATAGGTTTTTGAGTAATGGCTGTGTAGTGAAATGGAGCCAAAGGTCCTGAAAATGAAAAAAAATACTTCCTGGAAGTCTGAAATCTCTACTCTCTTGACATGTTTTTTGCAGAAAGGTGCAAACGTCAACCAGACAAATCAGCGAGGTAACACGGCGCTTCATGAGGCAGCTCGCTGGAACTACCCAGAACTGGTCTCACTACTGCTGGAACATGGAGCATCAGCAGCCATCAGGAACAAAACTCAACTCACTGCACTGCAGTACGCACATGTGAGGAAAACTGCTCTACATCCATGACTTTAGAAATCATTACTTTCCAGATAGAAGTATTGTTTTGGGTGGTGCTCTCTTAGGCAGAGTTTTTATGTAAATTATGTTGATTAACACAGTTTTGACCTGTTATGCACTGGGCTAAAGGATGTGGTCAACATGAATGTAAGGCCACACCAATTTAATTTGTTGGTTCTCAGATCCGCCTCTTAATTTTTTTGTCTGATTTGCAAAAGAAAAAAAAAAGATTCTGGTTCTGAATCAACTAAAAAATGCTGATATTTTACCCCCAACAGTTCAGGAAAGTCCTTTTCTTCCTACTTGTTACAATTTTTCCATCTATCAATGTAGTGGTTTGATTAAAAATTTGAAATTCTTTGAATATTAACCCAGCCTTTTGTGTTCATGGCTCCTATCGTAGCATTTGGGGCTATAATAGGATGCCTAGACTTGTTTTTATTTTAATTTTTTTTTGCCCTGTTGCCTCATATCTTTTTCTGAAAAATCTGAGAACCAACAAATTAAATTGGTGTAGTCTAATATATTGAATATTGTACAGAATGAAGCTGTTGCTGAGCTCTTGAGGAGCCACATGGAGGAGAAACCAGCCGATCATGTCAACCTGAGACCTCGTGCCAGAACACCCTCGGGAAGTGCAGGCTCGGAAACCTCCGGGGTAGCAGGCACAAACTTACCACCCGGACACTCAGGTGGGTCAAAATCATGAAAGTTCATCTGTACATGTGTTGGTAGTTACATGACTTTAAAGTTAAAACTTTTGGTCCAACACAAAAAGTTCTCTAACCTACAGCTTTCGACCAGTCACTCTGGTCTTCCTCTGTCAGTAGACTGACCCAGTGAGGCTTCTCACATGGCTTCTTTGAAGTGTGACGTCAACACTGGGTCAAAGGTATCTGGTAGACAATGTCGGTCCCGACGTGCTACAGTGAAGGGTGATGGGCCCTGATGTATATAGCCTTCTTCACCCTTCTCAGGAAATAGTCTTGTTGGTCAGTGTCCAAAAATCCTTATATATAATTATACAGTGTCAAGTGAAGGGTGATGTTGTTGGGTAGGGCAGTAACAAGCATCTGCGGGTATCAAGTGCTGATGCAAGGTGGACGTGGACATCCCACTTGAGGACATTATTTTTTCGGCATAGATGTGTATATACATGTAGGACATACTGTAACTGTAACTCTAACTCTAACAATGATTTTTCTAAGGAAGGCTTTTGATCATAAAAATTACCTGTTTTTGTTAGTCATGAAGATTTACATGAAATTTATGATATTATGTTCTTATATGTATTTGCTGTCACAATTTCTTCTCCAGGTCCAGTGGGCATCAAGGCTCTGTTCCAGGCATTTGATGCAGATGACATCAAACTGTCCAAACAGCTGGGCAAGGAGATCAAGACGTTTGACAAGTGAGCAAACATGTATTTTTTTACTGTGTTGTACTTTGTTCACCACTTTCTAAGCTTAAGCCCATTGTATGTTAGGAAAATTTCTGTCTATTGAAGAGCAATTTCACTCTTTGTAAACATTTTTTTTCCTGATAGTTTTGCATGTAATAACAATAATAAAGAGTGTCTGCTAAACGTATATAATTGATTCCCATTGCCAGGTCCAAGAGGTTGAAGAAGACCATCACTCGAGACAGGAGCTATCCTCAGCTACAGCTCCTAGCTGTTGAGCAGGTAAATATACACTTGTATGTCTGATAGACACATCTACATGGATAAAAGGATAAACCTACATACTAATAGATAGGTGGATGAATGGATGGTGCAAATTAACAAGTCTAGCAATTTAATATTGATGGTGACATTAATTTTTTTAATGTCAAAGACTCAAAGTCTTAGTTCTGTATACTACCGGTACATCAATTTTTGTCACATTGAAGAAAAATGATGAGTGAGCTGTTGTTGGTCTTCAGTAGACTAGAATGTTGTTCAAATCAGTGGGTAAAAAGTTCCCTCATTATGATTTGTGTACTATTTTGAATGTAGACACCACCTTCAGCCTTCAGTAGTGGTACATGGCCCCCCACTGAGGTTGACTCAGCAACAGTTACATCACCAGAAGCACAGGACCCTATGACAGGCCTGGACACCCATAACACAGGCCCGGTGGAGGTGACAGAAAAAGAGATGGTGGAGGTGCCTGAGAGGGACAGGAATACAGACAGGAGGGAGAACGAGGGGACGTGGCAGATCCAGGAGAGGATCACCGAGGTAGCGTCCCCGACACGGATCCGGGAGTTTCTGACGTCCATAGCCTCAATCAGGCTGGTGGAGGCTGACAACAGTACAAGTGAACACGACACGGAGGACAGTCATGTTTCAGACATAGAGGGACCTTCTGAAAGAGGTAACACTGTGAAGAATATAGACGAAAACTCCTCAAACTTGGGTCATGAAGGTAGAAATGGCGAAGATGCATCTCCAAAAACTCCATTGCAGCCCAAATCTGGCAGCAACAACGGACAAACATCGGCACTTGACAATGCAACAGTTGTGCTAGCAGAGAATCTGATGGTGGAACCGCCATGCAGTGACGTCCAAACTGCCCGAGAGGTCCTCCCTGACCCCAGTCCACAAATGACCTTCGCAGTCAAGGACATGGAAGAACTTCTGAGCGAAGCAGTCGAGGAAGATGACTGCGAGAGACGGGAAGCAGAGTTTGTGGTCACCTCGGTTGTGGAGGAACTGGTCAGAAATGTGGACAAACCTGTGGTGGAGGACATATTGGACGATGTCATAGAGTCTGTACTTGAGCAAAGTGCTTGTACATCCTCATCAGAGACACAGAGCTTTGGTATGGCCACAAGTAGTGACGGTCTTGGAGAGAGTTCCCTCAAGGAAGCGCAAGTCTTTGACGAATCGGAAAAAGAACTCCAAAACATGCTGTCACTGATAGACAACCCATCCACCAATGATACAACCACAGAGTCATCGTGGGAGGACATCCCAGCTCAACCAATGACTGAAGAGCTAGAGAGGACGTCAACCAATGAGGACGTCTCTCCAGATGTCCAAAACAACCAATCAGAACAATTGTTGCATTCAGAAAACCAAGTGGAACATTCTTGAAAGTGTGTCTAAACCAATCACAACACAAAGACTGAAAGACTCTGAATGTTTGAATTGAATGGAAAATGAAGCAAGGCAATCAAAATCAAAATACCCACATTCAGGGGTCCAATTTGGTTATTGGTTGGACTGGACATCTCTTAACTGGTGTTACTGGGTATCTCTCAATCAATGATACAAACAAGAAAGTTGTCTCTATGTATAGTAATAAGCTATTAGCTTGTGGTTTAATAATATTATGTGCATGTGCAGTGTGATACATTTTGGGTAAAAGTACAGTAATGTAAAAGTTGAAGAAGGCCCCCGGCAATACACAGAAAAATTAATGTGATATATTACACCCAATGCACCACACCGCACATGCCCAAAATGACGTCTATGAACAGGGTGTTCTCTCTAAGTCATATTACTCAAAATTTCAAATACTGTAGATTTTGAAACTGTGTCCAGCAAAAAACACTAACATCTAAATTTTTGAAAATCTCTAGTTTCGAGATCCAGCTGTAATATAACAGTGGTCTATTTTAGGAGTCCGAAGCATTGACATTTGCCTTTCAAATTTGCTGTCACACCCAATGTGTGCATATTAATAAGATGTGAAAGATATAGATGTACAATGTACATTGATTTCTTGTCTTTTAGACTGAAGTGATTATTGTAGCTAGCCAGGATATGTCAACTGGCCATGTAGTGGCACACAGAGGTCTTGCAGATGCGTGGATTAAGTACAGGGTCTGTTAGAATTGTATTTGGTGGTGTTGAATTGCCGGGTGGTTAGACTACTGGGGGGTCATGTGTTTGATACCTGGCATTCCTGGCAAGAAGTGTCTTTGGGAATGACATGTGTAAAATGGGCATCTGACTTTGGTTGGGGAGGTAAAATGTGGTAGAAAGAGAGGGGGGTGGACTCTGCCTTCCCATACTGTGCTCTTTAGGCCACACCAATTTAATTTCTTGGTTCTCGGATTCACCTCTTCATTTTTTTTCTGATTTGCAAAAAAAAAATGAAAATTCCGGTTCTGAATCAATTAAAAAAATGCTCATATTTTGCCCCCAACAGTTGAGGAAATTTTTCTTTCTTTCTAGTTTTTCCATCTATCAATGTAGTGGTTTGATTAAAATTTCAAAATTCGTTGTTGAAATTTTAACCTAGCCTTTTGTGTTGACTTAATGGCTCCTATCGAAGCATTTGGGGCTATAATAGGATGCCTAGGCCTGTTTTTGTTTTATTTTTTTCGCCCTGTCTCTTCAGATTTTATCTGAAGAAATCCGAGAACCGACAAATTAAATTGGTGTGGCCTTAGACACAGTAGATTTAACAACCCACTGCCCTTTACAGCCTGTAAAAGGCTACATGTATATGACTTCCTTAACTTGTACCTTTTAGTAATTATAATTACTATGAATCTCAGATAAAGAGAAGGACAGTCGGTAACACTAGGTGATGCACACTTGATGAAAATGCAGTATATTTATGCAAAAGGCTATCCTTGGTTTTATCTGCAATGCAGATGTTACAAAAGAATTTACGTTAGTAGTGCAATGGCATAATAATTTATTCATACCTTGTTTTTTTTATGATGGTGAAAGATTAGGTTTCATTAAGGTGCTAATATGTAAGGTAATACAAATAAAGTGACTGTGTTGTATATCATGATCAGAAAGGAAACCAAAATTTATTGTTCTGCAAAGACAAAGGCATTTCACTTAAGTTGTTACAAATTTATGTTGGTTTTGTAGAAAAGGCAATAAGGCATAGGTTTGTTGCACAATGTCTCAATATTTTGAATTATTACTGCAGAATAAACATAATTATGTAGTCCTCTCACAGTGTAGTGGGACTGCATAAGATTCTTTTTTTTTTGTCTTTTTTCAAGAAAGTAACTGCTAATTACAGCAAACAAACGGAGAATTCTACGTTACGTTCAAACATGTGTTCTCAAAATGTAGTTTAGTCCGGTCTTAGCGCATACCAGAGTGACGTATAATAATGATGAAGATGACGATACTCCTGCCTTTGATGACCCATGACTTTTCCACATTCACTGATTGATGTCTCTACCTCACTTCGTCCCTGAGGAAAGATATTCACAATTACTACCATCAATATTAATGCCCTTTTATGCAGTTTGCTGCACACTCTCTAGGTGGCATATTAGAGCAGTGCATTCTACATGTTGGCAACTTTTTAAAGACATATCTGTCTCTTTAAATGAAACTAATACCAGCAGTAATGGTATGTAGTGGCTGTTAGCAAAACAGATAGTACATGTACAACAAATTTTTTAAAGTCGCTTCCAAGCCATATGGTGTATCATGCGGCGCCCATCTCCGTTTCCATGGCCCTTCATGGCACACATCAGGGTGCTAGTTTCTTCACAGCTACATGTACCATTACGCCAAAAAGCAGTTACTCAAGCAACTGGATATGATTTTGAAAATTTTGACGTTTTCAAAATCATATCCAGTTGCTTGAGTAACTGCTTTTTGGCGTATCGTATTACCTGGATGTCTAAACTTTATCGACGTACATGTACCATTCTCTTACCAGAAGTGCTGAGTGCTAAGCACTGTGTACGAAATTCTGGTATGAGTTTATGATGACTTGGTTGATAATCGGACGCGGGACCTTCCCAATCTAAATTTATTACCAGGTTTCACATGTTTCCGTGAGTAAGATGTCAATGCTGTTACTTACTAGCCTCTACCAGGCTTCGGGAGGCGGCTGGAAAGAGTAGAAATCGGTCAAATATGCCGAGGGAGTTGGTCGGCTAAGAAAGTACATTTTGCCGCACCCGAGCGGCAAACTGTTCTCTCCAGCAGCACCAACTCTCTTGGCATGCTATCTCTCTATTTAGCCGATTTCTATCTACTCTTTCCAGCCGCCTCCCGAAGCCTGGTAGAGGCTAGTTACTTACGGCATCCGAACTGACAGTTGGCGGGGCAGAAGCGCGCGTGCCAGGCCCGGTGGGTGTCACAGTCACCTGGGACGTTCTCCCAGAAGGCGCACTCGTCAAACCCGTCATCGTGCCAGATCGGGTTCGCGCACTCCTCTGGAAAAACAACCCAAAATGTTTTACAGGGGGTAATTACTCACACAATCAATCAATAACCTTTATTTTAACTGGCATGCCCTCTCCGCCATATTGTACGGTGAACTCTCTCAAGGGAGTCGACCAAGAGGTCGCCTAAGCTCAGGTTTAAGGATTTGTGCAAAGCTACTCTCCAAGACTTCTCCATTGAGTCCAGGGAGAAGGTAGCAAGCGACAGAAGCAAGTGGAGAGCAGCGATACACAAAGGGACAGAACTGTTCTAGAGAGAGCAGGAAGGCAGACGCTCGGAGCAGACGAAAGGGACTTGTAGAGAAGAGCACCACACAGGAGTACTGTTGCCGATTCTGCGGCAGAGCCTGCCGGGTCAGAATCGGCTGTACCAGCCACGAGAGGCGCTACTCATCCAGACCCGCAGAGAACGACTGAAGCTGTAGATCGTCTGGCAAGACGACAAGGGCCCAAGAAGATGCCCTCTCCGCCTTAGCCACTCCTCCCACGGGTCCAGTGTGTGTGTGTGTGTGTCTGTGTGTGGTGGGGGGGGGGTGTTGTCATGGGAACTTAGAAGAAAATTAATACAAAACTAGAAAGGTAACATTTGCAAAACAAATACATAATGTTAACCTTCTCACATGGTCTCCTCTGTTAATTCTTACTCAAACACATTGATATATGGTGACAGGAGTCTAAATCCCTCCTGCTATAAAATTGCAACATGATATAATTCAACACCAGTTACCATGGTGAAAGACGTCTGGTTCAGGTCATTATCCTTTGAAGTCTCATTTGTTTGGAGAAGAAGGAGAAACAGAGCAAAATTGGTAAAACTTGGTTCCTTTGGTCAGAGGAAGAGCTAGTGTCCTACCGTCGCAGTTAGGACCAGTGCCCATCTCACACCTACAGGAACAAGTTTTCCTGTCCAGTGTGCCAGACCCGACTCCAGGCTTGCCGCAAGTCAGCTTGCATTCTGTCGAGGTATTAGACATTAGTAGAGTAAATATTCATCCCCACAAGGACATACTGGATGATTTATATTAAAAAAAAAACTTTATTTCGTCAGCATGTTAAGTCACAAAATTGAATGCTACCCTTTTACACGCAAGGGTAAACTACAAGACCCTTTTTTGACATTACGTTTGTCTTGTCCCTAGGCCCTGTGATTAAAAATTAATATGTCTGGCTCAAATCTACGTGTACGTATGTGTCGTCGACGCGTAGAATGTAAATGGAATAGAACTTACCACACATCTCTGGATTGATTTCATTGCAAGGAACTAGAAAAAAACGATAGTGATTATCAAATACGTAGAATATCTTCACCTGTGCCTTTAATCTAGTAATTTTACATTGTACTACTAGTATATATTATTACTTTAGTGATCAACTCTAGTTAATAAATCATTAGACTTTGGTATAATACTCTATAAATACTTAATTAATATCTTATTCCAAGTAGTTTTAAAATAATTCTTTGATATTGTCTTCCAAATGCAAATATTGTGGGGTTGTGTGGCGTAACGGCAGAGTGCTCGACTCGGAACCAAGAGATCCCGGGTTCGAGTCCTGACATGCCACCGATCTTGTGCCCTTTACACTTTACACGACTTTCCTCACCTCGATGTGGTGAAAATGAGTATTGAATTCGAATTGTCCCCTGTGTTTGTGGCACCACTTATTGTGATTAGATCTTGGAATATTAAAAAAAAAAGATGCTTACCACATAGCCCCTTATCGCAAAACGGAGACTCTCGGGGACACTTAGTACACGAGTCCCCCAGATGGTACGGTTTTGTCCACCTCTCCTTCCTGTTGAATAACGAAGTATATATGACTTTGCATGAAATTAATATTTAAGAATAAGCACGGCTAAATGTTCATGGATGTCCTAAGAATGCCCTTACTTTGCGCGCGATTGTATGACGTATGTGACTGTTGTGTCCAGAACCGTGCTTTATCCAGAGGTTACTGCCTAGACACCTCCGTCAAAATGTAGAAAGGCAAATATTCGATCTAGGACATGCACTCTCTCATTGGTCGAACGTCTAATTTCCATTCTCTCATTGGTTGAACTTCTAATTGTGATGGACTGTCTAGTCAGAATGGGTCTTCCTGGAAGCCTATGACTACAGTGACTCACGGTGGAGAGTAGTAGCACACCAACATGCTGATCTTCCGTTCTTTAGACTCGCAGTCGGGCACAAGAGCGCAGCCAACCCGGTTTGTCGCCGCCCAGACCGCCTGAAAAAGCATCAGTCATTACATTGGTCATCTATCCGTGAACAATTTCATCACACAGCACGGAAACGTAGATTTACCAATAGAAGCATATACCAGTATTGTTGGGTTACCGTAATGTTTACTAGTAAACACTACTGGACTTTACAATGGTAGTAAATAAAAGTCAAGTACGGTACTTCCTCACTTAACAAGGGTTGTAAATGAAATTACCGGACTTGACTTTTATTCACTACCTTTGTAAAGTCAAATACTATACATAAAGTAAACATTACCTGGATTTACTACCTTTGGTAGATCCAACGTTTGGTGCAGCTAGATTGACGAATATGATTGAATGGCAAAGTTCTTAAATCACAACCACTTGCTGATGACTTGTTCATGATCGTGATGTCTGTCATCTTTTTCAGGGCAATTACAAATATTCACTGTGTACTTTGCTAGTTATTACCGTCACACACTACTTTTCAATTTAACTACCATTGCCGTAACTGAGTAAATTGGCCACTTTTAGGAAAACACACAAGGACAGTGGGTTGTATTCCTGGGGAAACTCAAAAGCATATAAACAATTAAAAAAATATGAGTTTAACATTTCTGAATCTCTACATTGTACCTGCACATAGTCCCTACATGTGTTGTTCCCGACGCACGTGTTGTTGTGGTAGCTGTAGTACTCCCGCTGCGCCATCCACTGCTGCAGTAGCCCCACTACGTCGCCCTCTGGCGACAGAGCTATGTTCTGCAGGGCAAGAAAGACATAACAGCATATAACAGCCGTAATGGACTCGAAGTACATTATTCAATAACCATAGTGTCACTCTAGATCGTAGCTGAGTATACATACAGCGTCCTTACGAGATAGAGACACACCGTTTGATTACTATCAGAATGTGTCACTTTACATGGTTATAGCCTACAATCCAATTTCACTAGATGTACAAACACAGACTATGTGATGCCACCTTCCGCCCTTCGTGTAAAGTATTATGACTTCGGTCTCTGCGTTAAAACCTAACAGGGAGCCGTCTTGTATCGGTTGGACACTGTCCAAGACAATCTCGTTAAGTTTTGTGGCGCTTCGAAGTCGTGTTTTTTGGCCGTCGGCCGAAGTTAGGAGCCAGACGAAAATGACATTTGAGATTGAGTCGTTCCGAAAACTAAGTTTCCCATCGACGTCAAAGTACACAATAAACTTCATTAGGCCACAGCAAATAATTGCTATGGATGACATCAGCGCGAGCATTAATTTTCGCCTTCTGACAGTGGTCACCATGCCGAAATGGGCAAAGATGTCTGTTGCCATGTCGGAAGGTGGATGACAGATAACTATAAAGAGAGGAGACAAGAAAAGGCTCTGATTTAATGTTTTGTGCAGTGATATGTGATGTTGGCTGTGTATATGTGAGGTTCCCACTGAATCAAAATCATTTGTACAATGGTTGAGTCAAATTTTAAAAATGTAGGAACCTTGTTTTTTTCGGCCCGCCTTGTTTTTTTTCGCCCGCTCGCATTAGATTTGGAGTCTGTGGAGGAAGTCATCCATAAAATTTACTTGCAGTGGCCTTAGCCACAACGGCAGGTCTTTACATATTTCCCAGGAGAACATAGCAGTTAGCAACGATTGTTACGAGGTACAAAAACAGACGCCCTGGAGAAATCATGTATAAAACTATACGATATTCGATAAAATTACGCGATGAATTTTTCAATCATATTCGGCTAAAAGAAAAGTTAACTTGGAAATCAATTTTACCACCCGGCGACAAAAAGTTAACTTCATATCTTGAAATGGAATAGTTTTTTTATTACAACATTTAATGACAAAAAAGATGACGACATACCAAAGCCGAAGCTTATGTTAGTGTCACCATCTAACATTAAGAAATACATCAAGGCAAATACAGACATACAAAGCTTAATAATGATAAAATAGAAAGCATAAGGTAACAACGCATAATGACTATGTTGCTGTCGTATAAATTATGTGAGGAGACGTTGTAAATGAAAGTAAATTGCAAACTAGCTAGGTACTCCAACCAAACTTACAAACTGGTAGGATAGGAAAAAAAACATTAATTAAATCTTTAAGTTTCTTTTCTAAATGATTTTGTAAAAGTAAAAGTTTTGAGTTATTTGAATGCGTTAGAAGAGAAGAACCCCTAAGGAATAAATCAACAAAAACATCATCAGAAAGATCATTGAAATTCTTAACAAGTCCTACAAGTTTATCTAAATTGCTGAAGAGGGAGGTACGGTATTGTGCATATTTTTACACAGTACAAAAAATAGTTCATGGAACTGTACCTGTCCAAATAGTTCCTCTACTAGATTTGTCTCTCTTGTGCCGAGTCGGGAGCAGGTCGCCCAGTCCATCGCCATCTTTTCCAGATCCGTGTCCCAGTCCTAATAAAAGTAACGTCGACAGTAATATAAGGGCTTTCGTGGTGTCGGGCTTTTGTCGGGTCGTGTGGCGTAGCGGCAGAGTGCTCGACTCGGAACCAGGAGGTCCCGGGTTCGAATCCTAACATGCCACCCATCTTGTGTCCTTGGGAAAGGCATTTTACACGACTTTCCTCACTTCACTTAGGTGAAAATGAGTGTTGTATTGTCCCTTGTTGGTGGCAGAATTAAGGCTATTTTGATTTGATTATATGGATGAAATCCTCTGGAAACGCCAAAACTGATGCGAGCGTGCAAATAAAAAAAGTTTGGCCAAAAATATTTATATTAGAATATTATTGAAGTTATTAACTTTGAAAAATCTGGTTTCCAAGCCCTGAAAACTGCACTGGATGCCTTTATGATTAATCACTGTACGAAATGCCTGGCTGCATATACTGTGCATGTGATGCCAGCCATTTTTACTCGTGGAATGTCCTGTCGATAAGGCCATGTTGATTTAATTATATGGATGACATCTTCTGGGAACCCCAAAACTGATGCAAGCGTGCGAATAGAAAAAAAAAGTTTTGCAAAAAAAAAGTTGCTTTCATTCTGAAATAATGAAACGTCATGCAGGTTGAACAGATGACACAGAGTATGGTATGACGAATAATCTACTCTTCAAATTAATTTCTTTACATTTTCGTCTTTTTCGTTTGATTTTGGCATTCTACGACATTGGTATCGTTTTCCAATATGCTTTTTGCAAATTACGGTATATATTTCCTCATTGTGCAACTGTTTTGTACGATTTACAGTATGGTTGAAAACTGTTTTATTTGGAAACGGCCGAAAATTCATGCGCGCGCGGTTGTCATCCATATAATCAAATTAACATGGTCTAAGCCATTCTGCAGCTTGTACGGAACGTATCCTCGGGGTCTCCCGCGGAGGTGTTTGACATTCATCACGGCCCATCGGTTTAACTCCTGGCATTTCACAGACACCCCCGGATGTCGCATTGGCAAGAGACATCAACACATCATCGGCTAAACGTTAAGTCAGACTCTTCGTAGTTATGATATCTAGATCGATACAACGCTTAGGCCATGTTGTTTTGATTATATGGATGACATCCGCGCGAGCATAAATTTTCGGCCGTTTCCAAAAAATAAAAGTTTTCAACCATACTGTAAATCGTACAAAACAGTTGCAAAATGAGCAAATATATATACCGTAGGCAGAAAAAAACATTGAAAAACGATACTAATGTCGTAGAATGCCTAAATCCAACGATAAAGACGAAAATGTAACGAAATGAATTTGAAGACTAGATTATTGGCCATACCATATTCTGTGTCATTTGTTCAACCTTCATAACCACGTAGATCATGGTGGTCTACGTGGTCATGTGTGCTTTCGGTTTCCAGGTCGAGCCTACAAAAAATCTCTCCGACTACTGGTAAGGCTAACACTTTTGTTATCGGACATTTGAATTTCGAACCCTCTGAAACGTTCACACATTTGTAGTATGAAATCCAGTGAATTTTAATTATTTGACAATTTTTTTACCAGAAAACGGACGAATGGGTCCTAGGGACAGCCTTGCATTTTTAGTTTTACATAGTTGAATTGTATTTACAGGACCCTTTCAGCCCAAGCCAAAAATAGATTTTAACTAGAAAAGTAACATTTGCAAAGCAAATGCAAAATGTTAACGTTCACATATAGTCTTTTCTGTTCATTCTTACTCAAACACATTCACATACATGGTGACAGGAGTCTAAATCCCTCCTACTGTAAAATTGCAACATGATGTAACCCAACACCAGTTACCATGGTGAGAGACAATCAGGTTAGAAGTCATTGTTTGGAGAAGAAGAAGAAGAAACGTAGCAAAAACAATATGTTTTCCATCGGTAAACATAAATAGACCTTAACACACCATATATTTTCCAAGGCCTATACGCCTCGATGCGACTTGGAGGGTCTTACATTCTGGAATCGGAACGAATGCAAGCGCACGAAAACTAATTTAGAGGGAATTTCTAACGTGATGGGCGAGTTTAGGAGACACTTGAGTAAATTCCTTAATGGATGAGGAAATTAAAGCTATAAGTTAATGGTGTAGCAAAAATCCATTTACCCTCGGCCCTGTTGATTTCTGCTTACAAGTAGTAATTTGAATCAATCCTATCCCATAGGCCACACCAATTTAATTTCTTGGTTAACGGATTTTTCTAGAAAAATAATGGAGCGGGCAGGCGAAAAAAAAACAGGCCTAGGCATCCTATTATGGCCCAAATGGTACGATAGGAGCCATGAAGTCAACACACCAGGCTGGTTCAAAATCTAAACAAAAAATTTTGAACTTTCAATGGTACCACTGCATTGAAAGATGGAATAACTGTAACAACTAGGAAGAAAGGGACTGTTTTCAACTGTTCAGGGCATAATATGAGCATTTTGCAGTTGATTCTGATTATTTTTTTGGGCAAATCAGAAAAAATGAAGCGGTTGAATCCGTTAAAGAAGAAATTAAATTGGTGTGGTCATAGAATACGGAAAATGGTTGCTTGCTTTGTATAGTAGGCTGGTTCTACCTATTTATGGGTGGTACCCAAAAATACAGAGAAGCCTTGCGTAGCTTGTTTTGGGGCTATTTCAAATGTTTCAAGTATTGAGTGATGAGAAAATGTGCAGTAAATGTCAGTATCAGATATATTTCCTCATCCAAAAGATGTTTTGTTACTGTCCTGAAATTACATCGGATGCCTTAAATGCGATTTTAGGGCAGCAAAACTGGAAATATTCTGAATAAGGCAATGTTTATGATATTGACTCATACTGCTAGCTTCATATTAGCACATTGCAATCAGTATGTCACACAGTGGCTATTTAAAACTGCAGAAACAAGCCCCAATATGAGTCTTTTATTTTCTGGGTGGTACCATAAAAATCAGCCCAGGGCCCATCCAGTAACCATATATATATGCATTTTCCGTCAAAACTTTGGGCATGTTTGCTCCATGAGGGTCAATATATACATTGGGACAGTGTCACCGCGGTTTCAACTCAGTATATGTAAATAAGAGACTGGAATATTGGCTTTGAAAAGTCGGGTTTCCAAGCCCTAAAAACTACATTGAATGCCTGTAAGTTGTACTTTGCGGCGGGTCACATACGAAATCAAAATTTGGAAGACGTTCGACAGAAATTTCATTTATTTCGAAGCCTTTTAGCCCTGCAGGGCTAATCTTTCAAGGCTCAAACATTAAAATTACGTACATGTATTCACATACATGGAAAATATAATGAATACATTTAAAACACATAAATAAATTAAAACATCAACAATGACCACACAAATCTTACCATTTTCTCCATGTCTGCCGCTTGTACCTCCCGTCTCAGCTCGTCGTGTGCGGTAAGCACGATCATCTTTTCCAGCGGATTCAGACCCCGTCCTGCCGCAGAGACTTGCCAGAACGCGCCCGTAAGAAACATCAGTATGAACATGGTGGACATTTTGTTCCCAACTTCACTTCAACACAGACTTTTAAACTCTAAGCCAAGAATGTTAGTTTCTACCCCCTGGTAAGACTTCTGTATGTGAGTTCAGATGGACTGGAAGATTTTATAAGGAGACTCCGTGGTTTGTGTGTCTTTGAGGGGATCCTGTGTCGTCTGTAGTAACTCAGACAGCGCCACAATAGGTCATGTTAAAGTTATATTAGGCCACACCATCTTAATCTTATGGATGACAGACCCCAAACTAGTGCGCGCGGGCGAATAAAAAATTCCGGCCCAAAATAAAAATGCTACTAAACCACAGGAATACAAAGCTGACATTATGAATTTGAGACAGTACATAGCGACGTATACAACAAGCCGGCACATGTTGGCTTTTTGCGGAATTTATGAATCAGCACTTTACGTATGTACTGAGTTCTTGAGTCGTGGACTTTCTGTGCCATCCTCCAGAGTTATCACAGGCTCCTTATTGTCACTAACTACCTTGGACTACACAGGCCTATAGCCAGGCCAGAGCTTTGGAGGGCATGATTTTTTTTTGAGAACAGGAGTAAATCAATGCGCGCGCGGATGTCATCCATAAAATCAAGTCGGTGTGGCCTTATGTCACAGTCAAAATACGGCTCTACGTGCTTGTAAACGTTATGTTCTCTGTCCACTAGCCGGAGGCTACTGAGCGATAAAATATTTGACTGATTGGTCAACGAATTCCATAGAATGAATTTTTAAAAACATTTTGTGTTTTGCTGTTTTTCAAAGTATACTTTGGCGTCCTGCATCATATTCCAATCATAATTTCAAGGGAAACACACACACATAGACACATAATTTTCAATCCTACATACATACGCCGCTATTACGACCTCCTTGTTTGAGGCTATGTCAGACTAACACTACTTGATTAACCTTGCGATAAAGTTTTATTTAGAATCACACGGAATTTGCACCGCAAAATATCTTTAAGCACACCTTAAAGCAAGTGTAAAGATTCCATATATCCAATGGAGTGAAGAAACAGAAACGTTACGCATGCTTTAAGTTCTGCTTAAACTTCAAGATAAAATTTAATGCGGCGTTATCGACCTCACCTACTTTTAGGAACAGACGTTTCTATAAATTTCGCGAGCTATATGGGCTTGTCAAAAGAACCGTTATTTTAAAGATGGGAAATTAAATATTTACTGGTTCCCTTTTATGTTATGAAAACTGTGACGCCGAGCCGAAATGAGAAAGGAAGATGTCAGCCCTCCCATGACCCCAATTTCTACTGTAATGAGCCGCCAAGGACATGTTGGAGCGCAGACCGACCTTGGGCATAAGAATGGCGGCTGTTTATCATTTTCTCACGTTGTATCGTCTGCAGTTACACTTCCGCACAGGCAAGATGTTAAGGCCATGTTGATTTGATTATATGGATGACATCCGCGCGTGCATGAATTTTCGGCCGTTTCCCCCCACAAAAATTCAACCATACCATAAATCATACAAAACAGTTGCAAAATGAGCAAATATATACCGTAAGTTGCAAACAAAAATATTGAAAAATGATACCAATGTCGTAGAACGCCAAAATTAAACGAAAAGACGTAAATGTAAAAAAAAAATGAATTTGAAGAGTAGATTTTTCGCTATATCATACTGTGTCATTTGTTCCACCTTCTTGACCACGTAGATTTCATAAGGAAAGCAACGTTTTTTGCCAAACTTTTTTTACTCGCACGCTCGCAATTTTTTGGGTTCTCAGAGGATGTAATCCATATAATAAAATCAACATGGCCTAGCTGACGTAGATTAGGCCACAGCAAGTAAATTGTATGGATAACATCCTCCAAAGACTCCAAGTCTAATGCGGTAGGACGAAAAACAAGATTCCTACATTTTCGAACTTTACATCATAAACCTTGTTAAACAAAAAACGATACCTATATTGTATACACATATTTTATGTATATTGTACAATTTTACTGCAATCTATGGCAACATCCAATTCTCAATGAAACAGCTTTGACAAAGAAAAGTTTTCAAGCATTCAGCGGGAACATCACATATACAAGGAAATTGAATGAAATGCATCACTGCATCAAAGTAAAAGACAAAACAATAAATCAGAGCCTTTTCTTGTCTCCTCTCTTCATAGTTATCTGCCATCCACCTTCCGGCATGGCAACAGACATCTTTGCACATTTTCGGCATGTTGAACACTGCCAGAAGGCAACAAAATTTCTTTCTTTTTCTTTTTTTCCAAAATCAGGCGAAAATTAATGCGCTCACTGATCATCCACTGGTCATCCATAAAAAATTACTTGCTGTGGCTTTATATATGGCAAGGGTAAAATTTGTCATAATTTTCTGACAATAATAACCATGATGTGTGAATTTAGCTATATTGATATCGTTCAATTAGAAAATGAAGGTCATACATGTTTTAGAATATACTGTATACAATGTATGTATTCCATTTTATATTTATATATACTAGAAGTATATGGAATTTTTTAGCATGAAATGTATTATGATCTACATACCTCATCTATAAATTGTGTGAGTGGTCCCAAAGTGTGGTTTATACGGTTGAAGGCCAAAAGTGAGGCATTCTGTCGTGTAATGGTGTGATAAATAGCGTTTTTTTTTATTTACTTCAGAATTCACCTCAAAACAAGGCTCGTGAGAGCCACTTACATGTTTTGGGTTACAGTGATGACTGCGTGGTCAGATATTTGCTCACCCTTGATTTAAACCGTTGGAGGTTGTAATTAGCGGTGAAACATTCACGGGGAAGCTTGTTCCACAGTGAAGTGGTTCTGGGGAAGAAACTGTCAGCATGAAATTTTCTCTTGACTGATGGACTATTGAGGAAGAAAGGGTGATTTTCTGCTGTTGAGGTGGCTAAGCGTGTTCTTGCAGAGAATGTTCGTTTAGCAGCAGGTATTTAATTTTGGACGGTCGCTTCCGTTTGAACTCTGATCTGGTGGTGAAGGAAAGGGCAGAAAAACGTGACGAAGTCAGGCAAAACTCAGTTTGCCGTCATTGAGGTAAAAGGTGGAGGAGTGGTTGTTGTGCCCAAATGCTGTGCCATTGGGAAAGACACTTAAACCTACAGTAGTACCTAATATTTTCTCACTCGATTCAGATGAAAATGAAGTTGAAAATGTATCTATTTATTTTTATGCTTTTCCAACACAGTCTCCCATATGGTGAAACAGGTGTTATTTGACAAGGTCATATTTTGAAGTATTTGAGGTTTGAATGTTGGCGTTATGACTCTTACTCAGACCTGGAAGCCCTGACCCCCAGTGGAAGGGCATGTGTTGAGTATTGGAGGGGAAGAGTATAGCAGTGAATGGTGACCCGAGAAGAAGAAGATGACTCTTACTGATCTTGTGATTGTATTTTGGTCTATCACAGGATGCCTGTTTCCTTGCCGTTAATTCTATTTTGCGAAAAAGTCCGAGAACCCAGAAAGTCATTTGGTGTGGCCCTATAGCTAGCGGTTCTGAACTTAATCTCAGGGATTGAGCTTCGAACCAGAAACACCTGCGACCGGGTAAAGTACAGCCATACCAAAGGGCCGCAAGACGTTTGGTTGGCGCTTTTCCAGATGTCTATCTCTGATACAGGTCTAATGATGAAAGCAGAACCAAAAGAATTTAGATAAGCTGAGCTCAACATTCTACGAATGACCACTTCACGCCTTTATGATTAATTCACCATCCTACCAACTCGGGAATCCAAACATACAAACACACCCTACTCCATTCCAGCACCGCCCAAAACAATACTTCCTCCCTGAATGGAACAACGCTAGCTGAAAACTCACGCCTTCAATTTTGTGACGATCATTGAAACACAGGTATACGCTGTACAATCCGGATCCGTGTTCAATAAAAACACAATCCCTCGGAGGAACAAGAAAAGGCAGCCAGCGTGTTACACAAAGGTTCGCTCATTTCGGTAGGATGTTGGAGTAATAGAGGAGTCTATACACATGATTGTGATAGATGAACATGTGCTCTATTATATCCATTCTGTCAGTAGCAATCAACGATTCTCAGACAGGCTTTCGAAGCTTTTTGATCTCTCTAGTTGCAGTTAGTCGTCCAAGTGTATCGATGTCACATCAGTGGAAGATGAAGAATGTATTTGGTGTTGGCAATGAACTATTTCTACTTCGCGGTTACCAGGATGGCAGGCAATACCTGCCTGTCTGTCTGAGTGCTCACGCCAGAAGCTGGCCCCTTAATTGCTCCTCTCCGTAATGTAAGGTACCTCCAAGTAGCACAGTCCCTAGTCGTATCTTCAGCTGCTTGGAATCTTAATCCTTTATCTTGTACAATTTGTGCTTGCGCGGCCGGGTGGTTGCAGATCAATGTTTGTGGCAGTCTCCTGCATGAGTAAGAATGCTGCAGTAGTAAGTTTCAACTTGTAAGTATTTTCCCTACATCTATTCTAAGTTTGTTATTTCAATGTGTTAGTGTTTCGTAATTTAGCGTTATAACAGCATCATTAACGTTAGGTATACTTCTTGTGATGTTAGTATACTTCTTGTGATGTCGGTACATCAGTTCAGCCATACACTTGGCTGAAAGCTGTTGGAAAAATGATACCTAGATGATAAACCATAATAATGTGGCCAAACTATCTTAGCCTTATTGTCCTAATTGTTTCGACAAAGGATTGGCCCACCCCAAGTTTGGCTCCGATTTCGTGGCAATAAAACTGTCCAGTGCAAGATCGTACAGGCAGATTCCCGCCTACGGACAGACAGCTCTATAACCTTGAGAGGAGGGGATAAAACGAACCCACTAATTGCATCTTCAGGCGTAAATTGTCATTATCGTTGGCTAAAGGCGAATCGGGTTAGCTCACTCCCCGTCTCTCTTCTTTCATTAAAAGATTAGCAGGGGCCA